CATGTAGTGGCGATGAGACGCTGATTTCGATCAAAATGGTTTGGGCGATTGCCAACGGGATAACGAGGGAAAGGAAGCACGTCAAGAGACGGGAACTTGTTTTAATACTACTCTCCCGTTCATAATGGCTTGTCGGAGTATCACCGAAGATGCTGACCATGCCGATTTGGAAATTAAGATTCAAGAACATCGTGGCAGCCGACACCAATGCCTGAACGCTCGTTCCATGCACGAATATAGAGGTGAGCACCTCATTGCTAGAGCCCGGCTCAGAGATGTAGAGGGATATGATAGAAAGAACAGACCATAAGGCCACCCATCTATACCAGACTAGTTCAGTCATTTTGACCATCACAAGAAGGCGCGAGTACTTACAGTGCAGTCACGCAGACGGTCAATCTCGGTTGGAGTCTACTGTTTTCATCGACGCCTGCATCGGAAGGCAGCTTGAAGAATGCGAATTTCACGGCGAATATGGCACCCCCGAAAGCGGCGGCAAGGAAAATCAGTCCTACCAGCACAAAAACGCCACCAAAACCAAGCATGATCAACTGGGAGGTGGGGGTCTTTTAAGGGGTAAACGAGTGTAGTGACGATACAGGTCAGGAGTTTAGAAATAGGTGATCGGCCCAGCGATACTAGAAATGCGGCTGCCAGTCCGTAAATCGACAAGGAATGGAGGAGAGCAATGGACTTCCCAGAGATGGGACTTCGCGATGGCTTCGCCTCACTGTGGTGTTGAGGGGGAGAATGGCCTGGTCATGCGATTGCTGCATGATCAACTGAAACATGCACCGTGTAATCAGCTCCCAGCCAGTCCCAGGCCGAGAAAGCGCTGACAAAGCCCACGTTTATGCCAGGGTGACACTCTGATGTCCACTTGGATCACGCCTCTCCTGGCAGGGATTCGCGTCCTCCATCTCGGTTACAGCTCAGTCGTCCTACCCTAGATGTCACATCCGCCACCCAGAGATTATGAGGTGCGGCGTGGTTTACGAATCCTAAACTTGTGAAACAGTGTTATTGTTATTCCTTTCAAGATGAATCAGTTTGGTAACGGATTTCCTGTACTCTCCTATTTTCACTTTTGGGAGCAAGAAGATGCCTAGGAATTAAACTAATGAATCAAGCCAATACATGCCGTTATCTCCTTTGTTTTTTACAAAGAACATCATAAAAAAAAGGGGTAGGAGAGCTTCTTACATTGGTCGAATAATATCCCTATGGCAAAGGAAGCGCAGTTGCTGTGCCCTTGATAGCCTCCTTTTCGCTTTCTGTGAGCTCCATCCCAAAGTACCGCTCAAGCACTTTAATTCGCTCCTCTTCGTTTGAGAGCTGCTTCTCGAACACTTTAACCCCATTGACCCGCCACTTAAAACTATCCCCGACCAAGATAAGAGTTCCATTGATTTCGCCACCGGTAGTGGCGGCGCTGGTCCAGGGGTCATTCGGCTGGGTTTCCTCGGGATTTGCAAAGGTTTGTCCCTCGCTAGTAAAGCGCACGCAGAGCAATTTTTGGACAAAGATGCTCCTGGGATCCTTTTGTGGCCAGTAGTTCATGACTGAAAAATCCTCGGGCAGAAACTCCATATCCGTAAAGCAGTAACAGGGCACCCACTCCGAATCATCACCCTGGCGAAGCTCATAGATCCAAAGCTTTTGATCTCGTTTGAGACCTCCCGGAACTACATCAAATCTCAGGCGGACAGACGCAGGCCCGACATGGGGTTGGATTTCCCGGTCGATAATCTTGAGGGGATGGATAGGCTCGTTGGGACCGTAACCTCCATCTACTGCATAGCGTTCCCCGTCGATAGTGACGATGTTCAGACAGTGCGCCAAGCCCGCAGGCCGCCCATTTTCGAAGACTCTGCCCCCGACGAGGTACACGTCGAAGCCTAGCGAGAGCAGGACAGTGTGAAAGAGGGTATTATTTTCCATGCAGTATCCGCCACGCCCCGGCTGTCGAAGGATCTTGTCGACCAAATGCTTTGCATTTATGTTGATTACCCTGTGAGTCGAGTAGTGCAGAGTCACATTCTCAAAAGGGACACTTGTGAGCTGATGTCTGAGTAGAAGCGCGAGATGGGATTTCTGGGACGATCCGTCCTGTTTTGATACGTCATAGAGCCATTGGGAGGGTGGTAGGTTGACGCGTGTGAAGTATTGATCTAACTGGGCTTTCGTGTATGTGATTCGGCCGCTCATTTTGAGGTATGATTGAACTCGATGCAACGACACGAGCCTTCTAGAAAACTTTAAGAGCAATGGATGTTTAAGTTCGGACTGCCTCAAGTTGGTCGCTGTGGTTTGTCAGTAACCCCGCACGAGAATAGCCGCAGAGAGCAGCTGACTGGCCGGCTTCAAAAAGTGTCCCTCCACAATATGCACGAGCTGCTGGCAAATCAATATTGTGCATATTTTGCTTCAATAAGTGCGCGCACTAACTGAAAGGAATCTAGCACATCTTGGCCAATACAATAAGACCACTATAACTTAACTTAGAGGCGGTTGATTTGTAACTATTATATATGAAAACCCAATTCCTGTGAACGAAGCTAAAAGCTAAGACTATATAACATATAGTTGAAGAGCAGTGTTGGCGTGGATGGGGACTTGAATACCTTATGTTAAGACCAAGTACCTAGTTGGGGATCTGGAAATCTTAAGAATTAATGAATAAATACATGTTGGTTATTGATACATGTGCCCCAAAGCACAAATGTTTACGGGCTTGACTAAGGATAGCATCAGCAGTTTAGTATACTTCTTTTGGCTAGCTTCTTGGACAACCCAAACTACTCAAGAATCCGTTGGAGGAGTGGCCGTTCGGGTACCCGCAAATTTCACGAGGGCCATCCAGGGATTGAGAAATATACCGTGTCCAACTTGGCGGTGACTCTTCGGGTATCCAAAGTTATAAAACGCTACCAAACGGGTGCCCGTGAGCAGAACACACCATTACCTCAAAATAAGTCGTCTCGTGAAACGCCCACGTTATATATAGGTTGACTCTTTCACGACCAAGGCCAAATTAATCAGATCCCAATTGGACGGCGCAGAATATGCCTGTAACAATAAGACCTCAACCTGAAAAGGTCGGTAGCAACACCGATCCTATCGCAAAGTCTTCTCAAGACCTGTTCCATCAAATATCGAAATCATGGACGATCGAACTAGACGGAGACGACATTCTCGGAGAGACGATTCAGAGCAACAAGAAGATAGGCCCTGACGATCGCCCCATTGTGCATACATCGCTTGTCGACCTAGATCAACCAAGTGGCCACGCCCTTGTCCCATATGGAAACGGCTTCGTTGAGGGCATTCTACGAGCCTTCCAGCAGGATCTGCATCTGGTCCTGCGCCCAGATGATGTATGGCTTGCCATTCTTGTACAATTTAGCCTCTTTGTGAATGGCAACTCTGAGAATTTACGAGGCGCAATCGTTCGGCACGAGGGAAAAGAAACAATTAACATTGTTACGCCTTCTTCATCCCTCAGTGAACTTGATCTTGATTGGATTTCCGAAAAAGTAATTTCCAAAATGCGAGGCTTCCTTGCCGACGAGGAAATCGTCGACTGGTTACTCCCACGGTTCAGCACTTCGACAACACAGGATCAGACAGTAGCCGCGATGACTCTTATGGCCACGATGAAGTCATACTTTGAATACAGAATTACCTTGGGTTGTGGCTTTCCATCCGTCACTTTAGAGGGCACCAAAGAGGACTGGGAAAACATCTCCCAACGGGTCCAGAAGTTTGCCCAGTATGGCACGGAAACCAGTCTTTGGTCGACGTATCTTGGCAAGGCTCTTGACAAGATGATATCAAGTTTTGATCGACCAGAAGATCCAAAGATCAAGGAATTTTGGATGCAAGCTTGTCATGCAGCTGGGTACGAAGGCTCTGGAGATATCGAGACACTCTCTGGCTGGATAACTGCTTTCTGCTTTTGGGACGAGAAGGGCATGATCCACGCATACAGCGATAAATCTCTAAGGGGCCTTCCTTCGGAAATAGACCACAAGCGATTGATTCTTGAGGACGTACCGTTTCCCATTATCCGACGTTCAGACATCCCTAAATCCGTCTCCGATGTCCCTGTCGTTATCGATGATCTGGACTCTGGACTTACCTACTATACAACTCTGATCTCTGGCTTGCTAGGAATGGAAGCAACGAAAGCGGACAATACTTTTGACTCTGGATTAACTCAGTTCCAACCTAGGTCTGGCTGGTGGATGGTTATGGATAGGATGGAGCCTATGATTTCTGTCAATCCTGTGATCCCAGCTTTGTTGTTCCCAAGCACTTCCCTTTCTCTAGGGAACAGGATGTGTATGATATAATTTATATTTTATTCTGACCTCAAGGGGTATATAGAGACATCGTTTAGGCGTCGCCGCAAACTAAGTCATCGATGGTGTACTTATTCTTCTCGCAGACATGTTTGGTGGCGATATTCATTGTCCGAGCAAACTACATCTATCTAGTAGTGTATACAAAGTTCGTTGCCCTTGAAACCATTCCATAGTCCTAGCTACCTAGAGTAGTTCTTATGGATCTAATGTTCTATATCCTTAGTGGATATCAAGCGTCAATAATAAGGTGTTTTCCGTCTGATTGTGTGTTGTAGACCTTTTTCTTTGAACTCTTACCCCTAGCGGCTGCAGATTTTACCGAAAACCCCGTTCTTAGTCCTTGTGATGACATTTTGCCCGATTTCCTCCTCCTGAAACTTTCGTTTGGTACTCGTTGGCGTTAGCAGGGCGGGCGGGAGCCAGATGGCTGCCTGCACAGCACTTGTAGAGGGAAGACCGTCCATCAGGGGGGACTGATCTGCTACGAAGGCGACGACGTGTGGCATTATATCGTCTGACAGGGAGCCGGCCGTCTTGGGTGTAGCAGTAGAAGACTCCCTCGGCGCCCCAGTTCGTCCCGTTACCCTCGCGACGGTGGAGCTGCCTGTAGCCGTTGTTGGGAAGTCAAGACGTCAGCAGGAACTGGCCAACTTGGCTGATCTACAGCCATTTGTGCTTTGGTCTAAGCCTCCTTCCGCATCTTCTCTTCCCAGTCCTATTTGTTGTAATATTAGTATGTGGTAGTTTGGAACAAATTTGGTGTTATTACCATGTGATTCTTCGCATAGAAATGCCCACTGGCATGCTTGACTCTGCCGCTAGGAGGGTGGGTCGGCAGTCAATGGCCTTGACGATGCATTTTCCGGCCTTGGATTCTTCGAATGGAATTGTCCAATCAAACTCAGAATACTTCAGATGGGAGACGAATTACCCATGAGGCTTTCCAGCCTCTTCTTCCATCGCCTTGAGACGCTCGGCCCCATCCTTCACTATAAGATACCGAGTGTTAGTCTGAAAGGTACCGTAAAAGAAATAAGATATGCTATTATAATTGGCCCAAAAAATAATGGTAAATGGGAAAGGTTAAGTAAATATAGCTATGGTGTAAACCAGTCAAGCATAAATGAACACTGTCGCAGTTGTCGTGGCAAAGAGTCAGACTGGGGAGGACACCAGTCCAAATGGTACCATAAGAACTGTCGCAACAGATAGAGCAGTAGGACAAGAGAAAGTTCCCACGCACCATAGGCAGGCTCGGGGTCCTTCTCCTTGTTTCAGACAGTCCAGGTCATAGCCAAAATGATGGTATGGAAGGTTGTTCATCCAGTGATCATCTCCCATCTTCAGGAGTTATCTGCTTCTTCGACGCCCTCCAGGTCATGGCCAAGGCTGTGGCCCACCATGGTGATAGTCGAGTAGGATCCCAGTAACATTGCCACCAGTACGTGAGCGACCTCTCGCGCCCTTCGAAACGCGGACACGTCAGATATTCTCCAGAGAAGCGGTGGTAAAACAGGAGCCCTCATCTCGAAGCATCCATCCAACATCAGTAACGGTGCTGTGACAAATTTTGCAATTAAGAAAAGACAGTAAATCAACAGCGGTAGAAGAATTTGATTAATATTGGCTCCGATCAAAATGAAGACAAGATGAGAAGAAGCCAGATATGAGAGTTTTGCCATTTTGTGGGCGTGCCTCAGGCACCGACTTGCATCAAGGAAGGAGCAGGAGCGGTGCCTTCCCACACATCGCAGGTCTCTTCTATCTACCTACCTAGGTATTAACCTAGATCCATAACAATAACAATAGTAGTAACTAGAACAACAACAATGACTAGCGCCGACCGGTACTAAACGAAAGTTTGGTGATGCATTCCAGGCATTAAATAATGGGGAGTTAAACTCCAAAAATCGGGAGATGGAAGACTCTATCAAACCACCATCAACGACAGACGGATAGTGACTCACACCATACAAACAACGTCCAACGATTCTCCATGTGCGCATCTTTGGAGAACTGTATCAATGACGTAATAGTGTCTTCGACGAGTTGTGATATGAGGGAAATGGGTCAGGGAAGTGAGATGAATCAACAGAACAGCTCATCGGTTAACTCATCCGAGAATACTTGCGCTTTCACAAGCAACTCTCATACAGAGCTCATACCACCAGAAGGAAAATCACTCTCAATGGGGGGATATTGAAGAAAGGCGACGCAGCCGAGGATATGAAAGACGGCGTTGAAGTGAAATAATGATGATGATAGTAATGACGACAATTCCAATCACGCCAACGATTGCAAGCCCTAGCCGGCCCATGTAGCAACCGCTATCATCGCAATAATGCTGAGGATGGAATTGTACCTTTGAGTAAGACCACCAGATCCTTCAATATCCCCAAATGGAAGAAGCGGCTTCGCCAAGTTCATTCGCCAAGAACATCCGAGAACAAGCTACGGAATTCGGAAAGTTTCTCCTATCTGGCAGAGTGCCTAACGAACACCGTTTCTACTGTTATTACCAATCTCCCACTGTGAATAAATAATGTTGGTGCTTATTTGAGTGGATAGAGTGGGTAGTGCCGCAAGGAATTCAATGTAGAGTGGTACGTGATGTGGGAAAAAACATGTACCTGTTGGCGTCAGGCGTATTACTGTTTGTTGGTTGTCTTGCTAAATTTGGCGGATGGGCTGCATTGTAACGCGGCCAAGGACACTTATGCAAGTTGTGACTAAACTGGGGACCAACGAACAGTCAAGCGTGAAGAAGGATCCTCTAAGTATAGCACCTCGCCTGAACGACTTATCGTGAGCCTCTAGTTCTATTTAAGGCAGTAGAAGGCCTAAGTCTCGTCAATTTTCATAGCAGAACTCAATGTTTGTCGAGGTTGGAGGCAAAATATCTGCAGTAAGCAATAAAGGCCGCAACGAACCTCCAACGATCAGGTAGACCAGGAGATTTGCCCCGAACATTTGGCTGCTGTACTGAGAGTACCATCAGGCATCCAAATTAGGCTCCACTCCACGCAGTGGAGAGTAATCCCTCCCCGTAGGTAAGCGATGCATTGTTGGTTGCTACCCTGGTCATAAGGCGTTATGGGACGCAGTGTTGGTCGTGAAGCGCTACGGTTCCTGGCAAGTGATGTTGGTCGTGGCCGGGAATTTGAACAGGGAAGAGAAGGGGAAAGGGGAGCAGAATAGAGGCTAAATTTCAAGCACAACATGAACTGTCTTCTTGGTCCTTTCAATGCAAACTTGCACTGAGATATCGACTTCTTCTTCTTTTGAGAAAAAAAGGGGGATAAGGAGAGGGCAAAGACTCGGGAAACACGCAAAGAGCTGCATGTTGTACGATAACAGCCCTCATCAAGATGCCAGCCTCCGCTGCGAGACGCTTTCATGTGTGTATGATCGGAAGGAGTGGGCTCCCTCAGGTGACGAACAACCAACAGTGCTCCAAGCCACCAGATATTACTACACGACGCCTGTTGATATCTGTTGGCGGTGGGGGCCATGTCTGTAATGCGTTGCTCTGAGGTTTTAATCTGTTCCTCTGAAATAGCCTCGAGATAAAATTAGCTGATCAGATGGCCTAGAGCTGACATGAGATCAATTTTGTGGAAATAGAATCGAGGGGAGGTGATTGCGCTCTTTGTATTTAGTATCCTGAACTCCCTACCTTACATAGACACTCTCATGGTGATATCTAGCCATCAATCCTTTCTCCCTATCCTCTACTCTTTTTCGCCCCAACCTGACTTCTTTATTCATCCTCATCTGCCTACTCATCTTTATTGAAAATACTTTCAATAATCGATTGATACATACATATTAGCCCGAGCTGTCCGAACCACGCAACGGTTCAGTAAACCAAAATAATGCGCTTCCTAGGATGCCTTACCCTCGCTTGCTGGCTCTTTGGCTTGGTGCATTGCCTTCTTGATAGAGTGGATCCTGCTCAGGGAACAACTGTTTTGGAGATTGCTACTCCAACCAAGCCAACTGCGAAAACATGGCATGCAGCAATTGATGCTTCTGGCAAAATGGACTTTCGCCGTCTATACGGCGAGGCAAGCAAAGCATTCAACTGGGTCAAGACCCAACCACAACCGTTTACAAAAGGAGGCAATCTGGTAGTAGCTGCCTTTTATGACCACAAAAGCCATAAGATATTCATATCCACCATTCTCAGAGGGGCATACTTGGATCATATTAATAAAGAAGGAGGTGATGCTTTAGCTCCACTTTGGGCAAAATGGCGACAGAAGAAAGAGGAAGGCGATGCAGAGGATGGTGCATTCTACTACAGAGAGGCATCATTTCTCCCTAACATCCGTACGGGATTCAACTACGGGGATCCTGTAACAGGTAAACCAGCGGGCAGCATGATTGTGGCTTGGGGCCAGGATGGTCTGAATCCCACTAATGTGCGTAAGGCCGAGGGGAAACCATGGACACTTTGCGGGTCTTGTGAGAAACTCTCATACGCGTTGGGTGTTGACTTCGATGGGGCCAATCCAGCCAACTTTGGCAAGAATCCTCCCCGGCGTGATCCCGACGCACGTCGTCCCAAGAGCGCCCCTCCATCTGTGGGACGTCCTGCAAGCCCGCCCAATCGACCAAATAGTCCTCCGCCCAATCGACCAGGTAGTGCTCCGCCCACGGCCCCGCCCAGTCGTATCCCTAAGCCCGTGAAAACACCACCTGGCAGCTCCTATGGCGGTTCTTTCATAGACAATGCGAGCCCAGGCCAGCAAGCCAAGATCAACGACGCCTTTGGAGCCAAGAGACCTGCCACGTCGCCTTCGGGCTCCGAACAGCGCAAACCGAAGGGACCTAGTACTCCACCTTCCAGGATTCCCCTTCCGATCAGACCATCGCCAGGAGGCACCAGCAGCGGATCGCCTTCGAAGAAAAACAAGCGTGCTCTAAGTCGATCTCATGGTCGACGAAGACGCATGCGAGAGTATAAGCGGAGATCACTCTGGGACTAAGGTCTCTACTGATATTGGTAAATGCTCGAGTAGGCGGTGTGTCGAAGTATGAGAGTTGGAGCAGCGGTGGGTTAGGCTTGGATATAGAATGATATATAAGCATGTGGTGAAGAGAGCGAAAGGTAGATAAGAGAAGCATTTAGATTTCCTAATCCTCTTGTAAGGTTATCTGTAAAGAGGTTATATTTTTATATCTTATTCTACCTACCGATAACGGAATATTTTATATACATTTAATATTATTCCATTAGCTTTTGACTCAGAGTTCATAAATGCCGTTCTGTGGTATATCACACTGATACTCTATACATGTATCTTCGATCAGTCTGTTGGCGGCGCACAGCTAGCAATATAGTAGATACACGAGACTACATAATCCAGATCCCATATACGAGTTATTCTAACAATTTTATCTCCACGAGGAGGTCCCCTAGTGTACAAAGGTTTGTCTACTCAACGAACATAGTAAAATTGTTGTTTGGAAACACGAAGCCACCAGCCCGCTGAGGGTGATGAAAGCAATACGTCGGCATTCGGAAGTTGTATGAACTTAACATGTTGCTTTGTAAGTCCAATCTTATTGAATCCTATGGATAGTTCATGTGATTTATTAGCTCAGCTTTGCCATCATCTGGGCTCAAAATCGCGAAAAGCGACGCTTTTAGTTAGGTATAAGATCTAGGTACTTCAATTGAGATTTTTCTAGAATATCAAATGAGCTCCAACTCAATTTGGCGCTAGGTTCATCGCTATTGCGGTCCAAGGTGCCAGGATCTGGTCGCTCACTCTCACCAGTTTATCGAATGCTTTAGAAGAAACTTCGAGCAGCTTTAACTACAAACCACGTCGTATTACCCAACCCGATCAAAACATAGGTACTCAATAAACCCATTTTGATCCTTGTAGGGGGTTTTGTTGAAGTCAAAGGACCAACCAGGCATCTCGGTTTGAAACAAGATCGGTTCGTCCTGAGTGCCAGGGATATATCTTTGAATTCGGACCTGTTCGAGATACTGCAGACGCCTACTGGATAGGATGTTCTCTATTTCTGCAGATATTTCGTTTCTTGGTGGTGACAGTAGAATATCATGTTCCATGTAATTGATGTTAAGTGTTGCGATTGATGATGGCAAAACGCTTTCCAACGGCAAATCATTCTCCTCTTGTTCCTCGCCTAGTTCTTGAGCGAGGATTAAGTCGTTCCTATAGCATTGTATATGGCGGAGTTTCGGCATGCTGCACAAAGGCCCAATTCGACCGGTGATGGGACGTGCCAACTTAAAATTTGAGAAATCAAGGTGTAGATCGATCAAATTTTCCCCGAAACCCCGTAGAGCTTGGCCGATATGTTCAAGGTTAATCGTCCAAAATATATTAGGATCTGATCGCTGAAAGGACTGCTCAGCCTGCTCTACCTTGGTCACATGAACACTGAAGACTTTGAGCCTTGGACAACTTCGAAGGATGTTTTCCAGACTTTGTGACTCCATATAGCAGTCGCTAAGCTTTAAATCATGTACACTGGATAATGAGTCTTCAAGAGGCTGAGGGACAAAGAGACTCGTAGATGATCGTACATGATGTAGATGAAATATAGAGAGACCTGGCTTCTTTAGAAAGTCTAATAAGTCGATAGGCCAATTTTCGTCGTCTTCTTGATCCACATAGAGCTCATCCAGGCAGGGAAGACCATAATTGGCAAACGGACCTAGCTCGAGGAGCTGGTCCGAGCCAAACTCGACTGCATAGTAATGAGATCGACCATTTGGTTGCCATGATGTCACGATCCACCTGACTTCAACACCGTCCGGAGAGCTAGGGAAGAGAAAGATCTTCTCAACCATAGTAGCGTACAGCAGCAATGCGATAGGTGGCACATTAGAACCATTGTAGGCTATTTCCGGTTCTAACTTGGATCGGATACAACGCGGAACATCCCAAGGGAAGTCATTCGACGACGTATCAGGGAGAAATGCCGTATCTGGCGTTTCAGGGATATATAAGCTATCTTCCATGGCCAGGACACGGATATACTTTGCTAGGCGTGGATCTTTCACTATCGTTCTAAGGAGAAATCCTGGCCACATGAGGCGTTTCCGGCCCTTTTCGGAGCGCGTTACAGTGGTACTGTGTGTAATATCGATAGTATGGTAGAGTAGAGGTTGGGCGATATGGCGAAACCTTCGGCTTACCAGACAAAGAGAAGCCAAGTCGATCGGTCGCAGAGAAGGGTCATATCGCCATGAGCGGGGTTTTGAAGGCAGCACAGGGACGAGATAACACATGATGTGATTCAAGATCTCATCAGGAATATGAAGCGGCATGATGAATGATGATACTGTCGCTAATAAGCGCTTAACCATATAGTTGAACAAGGTGGTTGTGTTGGTGCAGGTACTAAGTTAGGTAGGAAGCTGAGGTAAAAAAAAATCAATCTTGACACCTGGCCATCTTTGTAAATGTACCCACTTTTAGAGCAATGCAAAGACCACTAATCTTCTTCTTCTTTTTTCACCTAGAAAGTAAAATAGCTGTGCAGTGGTCGCTCGTATTAACAGTAGAAGGCTAGCTTAAGTTCAGAGTAATTTCGTCTTCATAAACAATAACTAGGCTAACTTCTTATAAAAAATTATTATAATAAATAACTTATGAACCAAGTTAGGCTTATAAAAAGGAAAATAAAACTATAAGTACATATATTAATTCAATCTAGCCTCTCTCTCTCTTTACATTAGCTCTTTTCTCTACTGTTTGACTACTTAATCATCCTTTTTGAAGAGCTCATAAGTTTTCCTTAATGATAGATTCTTCAAGCTATATAATAGAAATATCATGTGGAATAAATGAAGCGATGAAGATATGGGATTAAGTGCTTTCTATAGATTATGAATCGCTCCATTTCTTCAGTTCTCCCTCGGTCCAACTCCAAAGCCTCGCAGCAAGCTTGTCATTCAAGCGAAAGGAGGAATAGGCCGTCATTGCTATACCCACTGGCTCATATACTTCACCGGCCGCAACAGTGTCTTTGGGTACTCCAACGGCCCAAACCTGATTCCAAGGACCCTGTTCAACCGACAAGAATTGCCCCAGGCTAAATGGAAGATCCTTGAGGTATGTACCAAGATAAACAACATACTTACTGATGCCCGATAAGTTTAGAACTAATGAAGTCTTGACCTCGCCCGGATGGATCACAATCGTTGTAACCTTGGGGTAGCGACGGGCTAGCTCTCGTCCATAGAGCATATTCGCAAGCTTGCTTTGACCATATCGCTGTAACGGGCCCAGGAACATATAGTCCTGTTCAGTTTTTAGGTCTTCGAAAACAATACCTTGGAAGAATGGAGCAAGAACGAATCCGACGCTTGACATCATGATTACACGAGCGTCCCCATGGGAATTAGCAGTTTCTTCTAGTACAGGAAGAAGCCTCTCTATCAAGAGAGCGTGGGCCATATGATTAACTCCAAAATGCATCTCGTATCCGTCTTTTGTCAGCCCAGGAGGAGCGGCCATAATACCCGCGTTTGCCATCAGCACGTCGAGACGCGATTCTTTGGCTAGAAAGGCGTCAGCTGCCTGCTGAACTGACGCAAGGCTGGTTTGATCGCACGCGAGGAAAATTATCTCGGACTGTGAGCCATCTTCCTGAGCTTGGTTGATAAGTTTCTGCGCAGCTGCCTTGTTCCGTCCGGTGATATAGATCTTGGCGGGCTTGCGCTTAGCAAGAAGAGATACCGCCCCAGCACCCAGACCCTTTGTCCCTGTTTTTCGATAAAAATTAGTCTTTACGAGCAGATCGAGTGAGAAAGTACCAGTCTTACCTCCGGTAACAAGCAACACTTTGCCACTTAGTTCTGGGACATCGCGCTCCAGCTGAAAATCGATCTGGTGGACCATAGCTACTTGCTTTATTGTAGAAGTCGATATTCTACCGCAGCACAATACCGATTGTAATGTGCGGCTTTTGTAGTCTTGAATCAAACAGGAGAGGGAACTAGGTAGGTTAAAATGTTAGCAGCTCGAACAATCCGTTGCTATCTGTTGGTCATGACTGCCAGGGGGTACAGCAGCCTTGACACCACATCTGACATCGTTCGTACATACAGATAAAGCAAGCTTTAAGATAGGTCTCTTAGAAGTTACAACTGACACGGAGGACAATAGCACATTCACAAGCTTCACCGCCGTGCTTAGAAGACAGAAAGGAATTGAGCTCAATAAACGGGGCTTCGATACTCATTTTATCTGGACTGGTTTCTTCGAAGGTGACCCTGGTGCATTGCTTTAAGCCCTGGCCAGAGTAAAAGCACGGATTCATCGGCGTCTCGCCTTCAAACTGTTTAAGCTACGAGGATCCTACCTGATGATTGCACTTGACTGAGGCTGGGGGCGCGACAAGCTATGCGCGACCCCTGCAAGAGACAGTGGAAGAGAGGCTCAACATTAAGAGCTAATGGAGTAGACAACGCATGAAATCCACCTTCCATCTGCAACCTTAGACTTTAAGGAAAGAAAGGGCGAGCTCTTACTGTCCCTCAACAGTTGCAGAAAGATAATGCGAATGACCCTAACCAGCCAACCAACCGGGCCAGGCGTCCCTCAGCAATGCATGGGACAGGTCTTCAAGGCAGATTTTGTGACTCCCACTTACGATTTCGTTATCATTCTAGATTGCTCTACGTGCGAGCGATTTTCAGCCACGAGACGTGCAAGCTGGTACATCCTTATATATGTAATCATATCGCTAGCTTCGTGTTGCTCCTTATAGAGTAGGCGTCTCGGTCACGCGCAGGCGAAACTGAAAACTGGTAATTACGTGATCTGATAATATGCGGTCGTTCACAGCCGAAGCCAAAGAATCACCGGGAATAGGGACCAGTCGGAGCGAACCATTCCACACTCCCGGGCTCAAAATATCAAAATACGCATTTGTAGACTTTTTCTGGCTTTTCGACAGGTCTGTTTTGCTTTTTTCTTTTCTTGTGGTTATATCGAGCAGGAGCTGTAATATGAGGTACGCAGAAAAGGCAGTGAGGCGTGGTGTAGCGCGACGAGGGGTTCAATACTACCATCACGTGTTGGATTCTTGCTATGTAATGAGGGATGGGCGGGATGGGCGGGATGGTTGTTTAGAATGTACGGCCCTTCTCCTTTCCTAACTGTTTGATCTCCGGTACCTATTTGTTCGAGGGGGCTATAGAGAAAACAGACATCTGAGACAAGTCTAACTTGGCAGATCCCTTGTGTTCAAGGGGCAGTAAGTTTACATTACCTGTTCATCCTTTTCGTTTTCATGTTACATAATCTGAATCTCCCTCCAAATCTCCCCCTTGTTAGGGCAGCGTAGATTATTCGCGACAAGATTGCGTAAAACTCGCGTCTTTCAATACAGAGCATGAATAGGTTTGTAGAGATGCTAGTGTGAGTCAAAATTCCTCGCTTCGTGACATTAACATTCTTGTATGGTCTTCTATATGCACTTAATCTTTAGTTTCTAGTGTTGTATAACCCGAGATACCATCTCATTCGATCGTAGACAAAAAAGCTTGTTGCCATCATAGGTGCAACTTTAATATAGCCAATGGGCAAACCAAAAAAGAACCCTCCTAATCCTCGCTCTCTAAATATTGTTATGGCAGTTTCGGCAATGGCTACTCGGCGGTTAGTGCCAAGAGGATTGCAAACCTGCATCCGGCGCCGAATCGTCTCAAGAGGATATGATATTGTCTGCGCCACTAGTCCGGCCATGGCTCCGGAGAATAGCTGGGCAGTTATTGTTAGCCGTATGGAACTGTGCGACCCTGAAATTCCTGTAGAATCGTTTTCTCTAGTTCTCGTGCTTGCAATAGTGGTGTATGGGGCGAGCATCGGTGATCGAAGCCAGTCGCCGATTTGGTCGTGAGCAAGAAACGAGAATCCAGAATATGGGAGAATACCCAATAACGTGGGTGCGAGACCCTGGTAGAAACCAGCAATACCGGACTGGCCAGCAGTGCCACGGTACATGGTTCGACACACCCTTGACCAAGATGATGCCGACCCAGAGTTTTTCATCTCGCAAGCCATCCGTACCCTGATTAACTCCAGGGGATATGTAAGAAAAGTAGAGACTGCCCCAGCCAGGCTTCCTGCAACAAATCTGCGATATGGAGTCTCGGACGATCCAGATGAGATTAATGCCGATCGGAACTGCTCATAGGCGAGAAAGTTGGTCCCTGAGAAGGGAAATACACGTAGTAATGTGGCGGAATGGCCCTGGAAGAGAGCTCGGATTCCCTGAAGCTGGCGGATATCTTGTGCTGCACCGAGAAGGCCACGCCAGCTTGTGGCGTGGTGTATAAACTGAGAGTGTGATGTCTGAAATAGAATTTTGATGCGATCCAAGGGCGCCACAACCGTTTTAGCCTGCAATGATATCGAGGCTCGAAGTCAGTAGATGTGCCAGAAGGTCGGACAAATGGGATAAAGCCTCACAGCACACCCTGCTACACCTCCAGCGAATCCTTTTCGCATGGCGGCATCCCACGACCGTCTATCTTCCATCCTGCGACGTTCTATGCTGGCGAGGACTTGCCGCGAAGGCTCGGCAACCGATGCATTGAGTGTTGCCATGTTCAGATGCTCTTTTTACCGTCAGTGGCATCTTATTTGATAAACTATGAATCTACGAGTTTTGTTTACAAAGGACGAGAGATGAATAGTTTTACATGGACGCATCAATCTACGGTCAGAACACCCGGTGACTTCCAGGACAGGGGAGCGAGTGGTGAAAAGGCGAGATCAACGATAATTAGTCGGGCAATGCAAGGGTCATCGGGAAGGGGTGGGACCACCTCGAATATCGCCAGGAAGCGAGTGTTGCATCCGGATAGCTCCCAGCCAGTGAGACGTGCAGACCTGCAACTGCTTCTCCACCCATCATTCCAGACCTGTGCATCGTTTCTAAACTCAGGACTAGCTGCCTGATGTCTGTGGAAAATGATCTGACGAGTTGGTGGTGCCACAATGCGGGAAGAAACACAAGAGAGAAACCTAAAGGGATGAGCTTTCGACCGTTCCGGTTCAAAACCTCCGATCATATGATCTACGCAAGGGACCTTGTGATCTTATTGGTATTTTGCCGGTCCATGATAGCGGTTTCATTTGGTAGCAACCAGTTTTCTCTGAGGATTCATTAGAGACGAGTGGGACAACGTTGAGAACCTATCTACTAACGCAGGTCTAAATTAGATTTGCATGACTTCTGCTCTCGGTTTCAAGCTAACCTGAGATAGCCAGTTGGAGATGAAGTTGCATCATTATTCCCCCAGGCGGAATTTATTGTTATTAGGTATCAATCATGACCGTCTTCAACAATTGTGTTGTAATTTCTTGGGCCTATTAAATCAGGCAGTAGCCTACCAAAAATATTGAGCCGACCTTATCTCGCTAGCAAGATTTAACTCAACCGTTTTCGCTGCCACTGTTCAGATCTTGTATTGATTAATGGAAGATTACATGTCAACATAAACTCTTCCCCAAATCACCTCATGCACCTTAGAAAAATAAGAGTAAGTTGATATGTAACCACTTCAATACGTGGAGATACAAACGCATGCATTGTCATCATAATCTATGAGGCCTCCTCTACTGCAACGATCCGCCCCTCGCTCTCACTGGATTCTAAACACGGGAAGTTTGCCCGGCCATCTCCTCGTGAGTGGCCTCAGCTCCCGTCTTCTCGTTTCGGTGAATCTCCTCCTGCTCGCGGTCGTACTCCTCGGCGAACTTCTTTCCGTGGAGTCCAATCTTGTACCAGGGGAGGTCGAACAGCTGATCGATGCTCTCGAGGCTGCGGCCGGCAGCTTCGGGGACGCAGAGCCAGACCCAGAAACCGCCCACCAGACAGAAGATTCCGAAGAAGTAGAATGTGCCCTGAGGACCAAGGCCAGTTCCGTCGAGGAGCATGTTGGGCAGCGCACGGTTGACACCATACTGGCAGATGAAGTGCATAGCCATGGTGATGGAGGAGCAGACGGCACGGATGCGGAGAGGGAACAGCTCAGAGGACAAAAGGTACTGTCCGCTGTTCCATCCGAGAGCCCAACCTGCGCCAGAGATGTAGATCATAGCAATGGCGGCCTCGGAAGCTATACTCTGGGACTTGGTAGCCTTGAAGCTTGGGTTGTTGGCGATGGGGACGACGTTGAGGAAAATGCCGATGAACAACAGAGAAATGGTCTGAAGGATGATTCCGTAGATGAGCGAACGCTTTCGTCCTGCCATATCAACGAGGAAGAGGGCGCAGATGATGGAGGCGACAAACTTGACAACTCCGAAGATGACGGTTGAGAAGAGAGACTGCTGCTGACCGGTGATGCCGACAAGCTTGAACAGGTCGGGGGCGTAGACGGTGATGGCAGAGCCTCCAGACCAGCAGGCCATGATCTGTGCCAGGTTGGTGAGGAACAAACGATAGGCGTTGCGCTTAACGGTGAAGATCTCCTTGACAATACCCATCCATCCCATGCCAAGTGTGGACTCCTTCTCTTCTTGGTAGGTATAATCGATGGCAGTGATTTCATCAATGACATATGGGTGGTCAACGGGAAGGCCTCGGAACTTGGAGAGAACCTTCAAGGCCTCCTCGCGCTTGCCAACGCGGATGAGGTGACGAGGAGATTCCATGGTGAAGAAAGTGAGGATCAGAGTGAGGCCGGCAAACATGAGGTGGATGGAAGTAGGAATAGCCTATAATGTAGAGATCAGTAAGCGTGTTTGAAAGTATGTTGTTATGTATCACAAACTCACCCATCGGCCATATCCATCGCTCATGTTCATCTCAGTTCCCCAATTAGCGAAATAGGCAAGTAAAATACCAAGATATACGGCTCCTGTAAATTTTGACATAGTGGTCAGTAAGTGGGTTGGAAACATGCGATGCTGTACCATGAAACTCACCAGTGAATGCACAAGTGCAGAGACCACGGATTGGTGCGGGGGCGATTTCGGACAGATACACGGGGCCAACAACAACAGTCTCTCCAATACCAACACCGGCGATGAAGCGACCAGCATAAACAGCAGCCATGCTTCCTTGGTTGGCCATGAAAATTGCAATACCCACAAGCCAGAGGACACAGAGTTGCCGCGTGGCCCAGACACGACCCCAGCGATCACAGATGATGAAAGCACTATGCAGATGTCAGTACATTGCTCTCATATTCTGATGAGATGTGGCGGGGGGGGATCATACAAGAGAGCACCGGGCATGCTGCCAAGCTGAACCATGGATGAGACATTGCCCTTGACACTGGCAAGATCTGTCTTGCTCAGGCCGTCGAGGCCAAGCTGTTTCTTAAAGGAAGGCGAGTTGAAGACACCGGTGATGAGACCTTCATCAACACCGCGGGCGGCGCCCAGAATGCCGAAAGCAAACACGGCAAACCATAGCCTCCAGTTCAAGGTCTCTCTGGGAAGACCCGTGGCTTTTAAGCTCTTTTTCAAGCTAAAGATGTTGATGGCAGCACCTCCCGCCATATTGAAGGTTGGTCAGACTACCTGGCCCAAATATTGTACGATGTGAGAGCAAGTATGGTCAGAAAGAGAGACGAAGCACTGGAGAAGATGGGCAAACAGGAATATAGACCTGTGGACTGATTGCTTCTGTCTCCAGATGATGATCCTTCAGTTCAAGGTTTCTGGGGTATCTGGGGATCTTAAATACTCAAAGTTTTACCGCTGGGGAATCCCCCACTCGGGCCTTACTCCTCATTTCTAATTCCCCTTTTCCCTTCCCACCAACATCGGTCAACATTCCGGATTCATTTCGTGCGGGGAATGGCTTATGGCGCACAAATTCGGGCGCTAGGCGTATTGTGTCATCTTCCGGCAAAGGCCTAGTCACAGTAGACGGGTTCGAGAAGTGAGTCTAGGGATGGGGTAGGATTTCCGGCAGGCAAAACGATTAGGCAAATATTTTAGGCTTGGTCCTTCCAGATCCAGTTTTGGCTCGAGTGGAGAAGCTTCCCCGCGGAGATATGAGGAGAAAAGGGCGCGAGACGTGGAGGAGCGAATCACCCACCTATGCTTCCAGTTCCACAGCAACAGAAGCGAGCAATAACTCTCGATAGCCCAGGGGGTAGAACGCTCTGGGGGGCAAATTTACAAGTGGGCCGGTGACAGTCTCACCGCTGCATCACACGAGAATGAATGACACTCCAGCTGAGACCACGAGTCGCTTACGGGGCATCGTCATGGAGCATTGCCCCCGCGATATTGTCTTTCGGGTTTCAGCGAGTGCCGGATCCTGCCTGTCAATTCGGTCCGCCGTCAGAAAACAGTTAGATTGGATGCCTCTCCCTGCCTAGATGGCCATTAGACTTAAGCCACAAGCTTACACGGGCGACGGACGGCAAGAAATTGCCGATGGAGGTGTGATCCAAGAGATTTAGCTTCTTCTTAGCCTGGCTCTAGAAGCCATGGTCCCCAAGCACGGACTTTGGAAGGCTTCTAGCTCGGTCACATTCCGACGTCGACTGACTAGGTTTATTCGTTGGGGTAATGATAGTCGCGGGTCTTGTCCTGGTGCGGAGTAATCACGGGGGAACTGATTGGCCCTCAGGGTTGGGGGTTTTGAGATAGCCTCAATGTGCCCGCACCAAGGAATAGCCTGGTTTGACTTGCTGGAAGACCGACTAGTAAGGCTCTAGGCGTTTATGGATCTGCTGGAGAGGGGAGGAGAGGGGTTTTTCCGATGAGATTGGCAGTTGGGGCCATCTAGACCCCGACAACGCGGAGTAAGGCAAAAAATGGACATTGTTCACCCTCCAGTGTTGATCAGAGACTTTTCACGAGCCCCGTTGAGAATCTGGAATATCTCGGAAGAGGCATTTATCACTTGCAAGGTATATAGTGTACTCTTCAGCTTATGGGAGTCTGTTCATGGTTACGGGGGTCGCGAATCTGCAGGAAGATCACCTCCAGAGCAACGTCTAAAAGAAAGTAACCCATGACGAAATGGGGATTTACATCACTAGGCCGGGCGACCTTCCACTTTTGGATTCGTGAAATCCCGTTCACGCTATTCGATGTCCCGGTTCTTTCCTACAACATCTTCCAACCAGATCATCCTGCGTTAAGCGTTGGGGAAATGCAGATGACAGCCACTTATGCGTAAATAAACAACGTTATCTCTTGTGGGGTTCAATATGATGGGCTAGACCAAACACCATCAATGCGTTCCCCATTAACGAAGAGGGGCCTCCGTAGCCAAATCTAGTGACATGCCATCTAGACCCGGATGTTTTTAAGTCGGCCATCTCCATAAGAATTGGCTAGAGGGGTCAGTGGACTCGGATCCGATATTTTAACAATGACTAGACCTTGCTAGTCATTGGAGAGCACGTTGACGAGCGGTGTTCGTGTAGAGTCGAGTCAGATTTTAGAAGAATCCATCCCGACCTTCGGCGATGATATCTCGTCAGCATGAATACGTAGATGTTCTAAAGAACAATGATATCGTTATCATCTCTTTCACACACGAGATATGTAATGGGTAGTGATACTCTTCAATGTAGGGAGACAGTTTGCCTCGTCATCAATACTACATATAAGTCAAGGCTAACGCGTTGACGCCGGTCGGAGCAATTTGCCAATAGTTGCTATACATTTTTTTTATACTCTTATTTAATCAAATTATTCATGGCACGAGTGCAACGAGTCCCGTGACTCGCTTTCGCTTTCAATACGTGGGGGCTGGGAAATCAGGAAGGGCCCAGCCTGGGGCCCTCCTGGATTTATGCCTGCCCCTGTCCTTGCTCCGTGAGCGGAGATGGTTGAGAGGTTTTCACCATCGCGTCTAGTACTTTTTAATTACCAGTACGTGCGCCAAGATCATGATCTTTGAGTAAGCATCTTGTCTGGGCACGCACGTGGGTTGGCTGCGTTCAGAATGGAGGAGCCCAGTATGCATGAAAGCACGACATCGCGACCCCAATCGTTTGGAAATGTTGAGAGGCATAATATCGTTTCCTACGGAAGCTAGATAACCAGCTAGAAAAACATCCGGGGACCTTTCCCTTCATTGCCCGATGCCAGATGTAGGCGAGACTTCGTTTCCGAGCATCAAAGCAGAGTCCTCTTCTCACTACGAGACACGCTGAGCATAAATGCAACCATCCAGGTCCTCAAGTCATCCAAGCTTGAACAGGATCCCAACCCCTACTAATTTCACGAGTTGTCTTGCTACCTTCGACAGTCCATGTTTCGAACTGTGGTCCCTCCGCCTCGATAATATGGTCCTGCTGGCATGATGAGAATGAGACCTTTGGAATTGTCTCGAAGAGCTCGTCATATTGAGGGCTCATAGCATCAGTTAGGCTATTAACCGTCTCATTCGGCATCAGTGCTTCCCATGGGTAGCGGCATGAGTCTCCGCGGCAGCTCTTGAGAACATACAAGAGCGCATCAAGACGGTGAGCAAGTCTAACAATGTCAGTATTCTCATGACTTCTTCCAAAACCGCCTTCGAATAGGTTGTTCATCTGCTGCGAGTCACTCTGCAGGTGAAGCTGTCAGTCCTTACTCATGAAAGATGTTTATAGTGAGCGAGCTGGGCCAACACTTGCCTTCATATCATACAGCTCATGCTCATTCGTACACCAAACAGAATAGTACAGATTATACTCTCCGCTGATGAGGCGAACCGACTTGTAGGTATTTTGCGCCGCTTCCTCCATCATCTCCATCTTTCCAGTCCGTAAGAAGCTTTGGTTATTGCTTCTCCACATCTCTATGCTAGTGTGCTCGGTCTTTGGCTTCGTCAGCGCCTTGAGTGCCTCCTCAGTTAGAGGAATGGGGCTACCATCGAACGTGTCGCGCTGGGAAATTCCGGCCATCTCCAAAATGGTTGGTGCCAGATCGATATGGCCAGAGACGACATCCATGGTGTGTCCCTTGGTGATTCCAGGACCACGGACGATAAAAGGTACGTTGATGTCTTCCTCGTACCCGCATGTCTTCCCGGGGGAGAGCCTGTGCTGGCCAATGTGGAAACCATTGTCGCTCGTGAAAATCACGTAGGTATTGTCTAGTCTCCCACTTTCCTCCAGTTTAGCAAATAACGACTCTACCATCTCGTCAACAGCCAAAAGGGATTCAAGACGAGCTTGGTACCACTCATCGCCCTGCTGAACCTCCGTATCGTTCAGCTGATCCAGAGTCTTGACCCAACTAGCACCTGATGGCTTGTCCGGGTTGAAATTATCGGTCCGCGGCACCTGAGCACCAGCAAGCTTCCCAATGTGCCGCGCAGCCGGCTTTGGCGCAGAGAAGGTCGCGGTAAGACTAGTAGTGTTCACCAATACTTCGCTGTGCGGGGCAATGGGTGCAACCCCCAAGAAGAAGGGCTTGTCATCAGCAAGCGCATCTTCCAAGAAGCCCATTGACTTGAGGGAGACCAGATCCGTTGTGTAGTTGTTGCTGTACCGCTGCCAAGGGTCCTTGTTCATAGCAAAGGCGGGAGACCAGAAGTCGTAGGCAAAGGGATCAAGCAGCACATCGATACCATCCCACCCATTTACGTAGGGATTGTTGTAGTTTTGGGTACTAATATCGTTGAGGAGCTTGCCTACATAGTATGTGCCGTACCCAGCTTCCTGGAGCCACACCGGAAGATAATTTTCATTGAAACCTTGCTCATAGAACTTCTGATATCCACCTGGGATAGCACATGTCAGTACTTTTCTTCAATCATCAAAGCACGGATGGACATACCACTGGGGTAGTGAACATCGGTCACATTGTGGTTGTGAGCAGTCTGGCCGGTTAGGATGGATGCGCGGGCAGGGCAGCAGAGAGATACTTGGCAATAGTGATTGGGGAAGGTTGTTCCCTGATCAATAATGTGCTTTTTGACCGATGGCATGACACTGCCCAAGTCGGTCATGTGGTAATCAAGATCGTCCAGAATAATGAACATAATATTCGGCTTTTCTTTAGAATGTAGAGGTTCAGATGCCTCCGAACACCCTAGAAGGGCAATGGCAGGGAGAAGCTGGTAGAAACGCATGATGGTAGGAGTGGCTGTCACGCTTTGTCTAGTTCTATGCTTGACGGTATATTGGAGACATGATGCTTTTATGCTTTCTCCTGCCTGTGCAGCCGCTGATCGGTATCTGAAACTCCGGCTGCGCTGCCACCGGCGGAGATGCTAAAGTTCCAATCATCCAACTCGTGCTGTCAGCATCCATCTGATTAAAGGACGTTGACTACAGCAGCTTCTTGTCCAGTATGGCTTTGTTGGTGACTACCAAGCCATCCGCCGACGCAGTCATGGTAGATCATTTCCCAGCGAGTGTTGTTTCAAACATACTGGAATTGGAAACTGACGTGCAAGAGTCTTACTTCGCCTCCCTCCGCTTTGGGGGCGTCGGGGATCGGGTACTACTGGTACCGAGCAGCTCCGAGTCGGGCATGACGGCGATCAAGCACCGGTCAAGCTCTGTAATAAAAATCCCATACATATCGGCTTAATTACTGCCAAGTTTTTTGATAAAGAGAATTTCCGGTGCCCTTTGGAGACTGGTTCATGTTTTCGATTGCTGACATGAAAGTGGTGATTTCAAGGCGTCATACATAGCTTGGCTGTGTTCTGAAACACGCTGTCTTCCATCTAACCGGCCCCAAACCTCATTTTCTCACAAATTATTTCTTTGCACAATCTCAAACTCGGAGCGAAAAGATTGAGGTACCTCTGTCACTGCCATAACTGGAGTTGCTGCTGTAGAACAGTTTGTTCACGGGCTTCATCGTCCCTGGTATGTGCATATCGGGCAGAACGATTGGCCTACTTAACGAGTCCAGTAACACTTATCGCGATAAAGTCGCGTCTTGCCACTCCTCCAGCGCTTTGGATCCACGACGAAGTTTGGCACTGCAGACCGCTAAAATTAGTGGCCCGTGCCCAAACAATTAATCTCCAGCTGTCGGGTGGTTGTAATGCAATATGGAGGGAGCCCGAGCGCTATAGCGGTCATGGCGCGCTTCCAGCACGTTCATCAGTGCTCCTGAGATTATCAGCGACTCTTGTAAACCTGGCTACCCTAGACCAACATTAATTATCATCAAAGGTACCATCTTATTCCCTTGAAGACGGTCATTGATGCAGTGAGCAATTAGAGAGAGTTTTACTAAGTTACTTCCAATAGCGCTATTTAAAAGCACACTGTGAGTGGCTGCACACAGCTTTTTGGTATGTTGTCAAACTTTATCTTGTTTACGCGGCGCGTTAATTGCACGTGAGTTCCGTCACGATATCAACAGTGCTATGCCCAATGGGCAAATGGCGACACGTTTGGTGACCAGAGTGGTTGGACAAGGTTCCACGTGTCAGTGAGGGGCCTATCTGAATTTTCACCCGAGTTCGAGTCCTCCCCTGCCAAAGACAGAGACGGTCTCAGTCTGTGAAGCTGCCCAGCCCTATAAGGTTTGAACGATGAGACTTGTGCAGAAGCATCTTCTCACTCTCTTACTGGGCATGGTTTGGCTTGGTTGGGCTCGCTGGTGACACGAGCCTGCTTAGCTGCATAACAGAGCAGCAAACCACGTCATCGCATACAGGGAAGGCATTTCTGTAGCGAGTCAGAGCCGTGACTCACGAGACGAGAAGCGGGGCGCTCTGAAACGATTTTGCATTTGCTTTGATCCCTGCACTTTTGGCACAAACCTGCAATCAAACCAACCACCAGAACCAGCAGTCAGCAATTGAACCCATCGTCAAATTCATCATCCAGCCATCAGCCAGTCACATGCCACGCGCACCATCTCGGCCGCCTCCCCTCAAGGATGGGAAACACGCCAGGACCAGACTCGAGCCCAGACGATGAGGCCGGTCTGGCCCGCAAGCGACCGCGCAGTCCCGATCCCGAGATTGAGCCTGAGCCTGGCCACGTGCCCAAGAAGCCGCGCCACACCTCGTCCATCTCCAAGACCGCCTCCAAGACCACCAAACCCGCCCGCTCGTCCAAGAAGCGCGCCCACAGCCCAGATGGCGACGATTCCCTGGGGCCAGGGGGCGATGGGGGCGACGTAGCCAGGAAGCGGCGTCGTCCTAAGCAGGAGCCAGAGCAGACTTCGTCACAGTCGCGGAGATCTGCCGTCCAATTCCTGCCAACACCGCCACCACCGCCACCTGCAGCATTGCTGGACCAGGAGCATTCCCGGAGTGTAGCCCACATCCAGAGGATCCGCTCCGGCCTCCAGGACATTGAGAGGAGGCTTGCGCGCTTGGCGAAGCTGTGTGAGGCTGACCGAGAGAGTCCCTGACCCGGCTGGAAACCTCACCAATGGCGGTGGGAAGAAATCAATCAGCCCCTTCCACAGCAGACGTCTACTCCTTGCATAATCAGAGCACAAGCAGGCTAGAGCTCCGGGAAACGAAGAATAGAAGAAGAAACACGATACCCTCAGTCTTGGATCATCCGGGCATAACTCACTTTGGATACTTTCTACGCCAGCTCACAACTCACGGCCAGCCACGGCCTCGCCTTCCAGCAGTCGCTGGCAACCCTACACTTGGATACACTTTTTCTTTTGGAAATGCATCTTTATTACTAGCGGGCACGGATTTAATCGTTACGGATCGGATACTACCCATTATGGACATGATTATGACTTTATGATAGAGCAGCTACGACACCAGTACCAATACACTTAATTAGTCATTACTAAATCGCTTCTAATGGATCATGAAGACTTCATCTAAACGAGAGCCCTCATAAACAACTACACTCATGCAGGGATCCAGGTGGCCCTCATTGTGTAGGTATCGGACCCGGCTGTCGATACCCTCCCTCAAGACCCTCCTCAAAAGTCCATGCCGACTTCTCACGCGGAGATTGGTATTAGGAGTTTTGTGTCTCCAGGTCTTGTGTATGAAAAGCGGAGGAAGGAAAAGCCAGCAAGGTCGAGCAGAACGCAGGACGAGCTGGGTATGCCATACCTTTGTGGAGCTTCTGTCTTTTGAAGAACCTCATCCTCTACTCGTATGTGCTGTGAACGAAGCCCAACACCGAATTTGGCATTTTTAATGAGCCTAAAATCAGCGGGTGCGTTGGTGGTCTTTCAAAATCGTGCGAGAAGGAAAGGAAATCAAGGAAGGCAGGTTGGTGGGCAGAACAACAACCTGGGAGCAGCTGATCGGACTGGCCCTCCTTGATCATAGTCACAATGCTTACTTCACACGAGACCCCAAAGTTATTAGAAAGACACATTTTTTACCATGGGCTAGGCCCTCATTTGGATAAGAACTCTTGATGAGAGCGGTCTCGAGCCGCTTGCTGCAATTTGGTTGGATATCGATGCAGTAGGAACAATCGGGATGGGTGAAAATTTCGCCAGATAATGAATTTTTAAACTTTCTCAATACCAGAACATTATAATCCTCCATGAATCGCCAAGAACAATCGTGCCGTGCCTGCCAAGAAAGCAACATACAGTAAATGCAAGTCGGCCTCTAGCCAAGCCTCCATCCAGATTGGCCTCTGACCAATCCGTTTTTTCCTCAAAATTATCAGAGACCTTTTAAAGAAGTTCGCCCACCATTAACAATCTTCGGGGCGAGGGAGTTTGAGTATCAAGTTAAACAACAATAGAAGATGCCAGACCCGACATTTCAACATAATCAATACGAGAATCAATCTTCAATGCCAGCAAGTTTCAGCTCGAGTAGCCGAAAGCCCTAATCAGGGTTCATCAGTAAGTCTTCGCGACCTTCAAGTTCGATGGGAGAATACAAACATCAAAAATCCCTTCTACTCCGCCAATTCTCCCAGAAATGAGCAGAGATAGCTTCTCCCGAGCTGTGTCCTCAACATTAGCGGGCCAATCGGATAGGGGCTCATCATTATCGGGATATGCTCCTTTAATGTCGACAATTCCATCTCCTGTGATTTCAAAGTCAAAGCCAATCAAATGTTCTTCAAACTGAACCGATTTTGAGCAAGGTGTTGAATATCCAATCTTGCTTATCGACCCACAAGCCGTTTTAAAGGTGATGCCGGCGACAACGGACTGTGAACAAAATTTGACAAGATAAATGCGCATCGTCACCATAGGGCTGGGGAGATGGACCCTTTGTCTATATGAGACTTCCCAAGAATGATAAAAGAACCGCGGGAGATAGAGCCAGTTCCATTCAAAGTCGCACACAGCATCCTCAGCGAAAGAGGAAATGGGCTCATCTGGTATAATGTCTTGAAGGCTCCGAAGGAAGGGCCATAAATTCTCCATTCGATGGAGACCTGGCGAGTAATTTCGACCTGTAAGCTTGTATAGAGACCTCCAGTCGAGCAATGGAGGAGGTGTTTGGTCTGAATATCCAAAGACCCATCCCCTCTCGTGGTCAGATGCGAATCTCTGACCCCAGAAGGTCTGAGAGTAAAAGATGAATACAAAAGCTTTGGACGATTGTCGGAGCTTGAGCGCGTCCGACGTATCCAGCAGGTCAACGATGAGAAGCTTTAACTCAGTCGGTAGGCAAGCGAAACCATCGTTGGCAACCTCTGGCGGCGTTACCTCCGTAGCTCTCGCCGGAGGTATTTTTGGTTCCTTGTTCATCAAGTCTACTACCTCTAGAGAGAAATTGGTAGTTGCAGCCCTGCCTAAAGCTGCTCGATCATAGCCACGTAATCGTTGCTCTGCTAGCATCCGTCCTTGCAAAGATGCCAACGTGTTCCACAGGCATGTCCATGGGACTTGCCGTGGTGCATATATCCTCTCGAGGACGCGCCAGCAGGTTTCGTGCACAATATATCCACATCGGCCAGATGTAGCTTCCACCTTCTCGCTTTGTATCGTGATAGATTCGTATCTCGGGTCATCAAAATCCGTGCCGTAGGTTACGGTATCGTTGAATTCTTTCGGCACGATCCACCTGTCGTGCAACTGATGTTCGCGAAAACCCAACCCGCTGAAGCTAGTACTATAAACATCGTCACGGAACACTGTAGAATTCATCGGTCAATTTCTTGAGTGAATCATCGCGGACGCTATTCTGAGATCACCTACGAACTCGATATCGTCTTTGCCACCCGTTGCTAGTACCACCTACCCGAATTGAAGCATTGCATATTGCGCAACAGGGGGGGCGATCTAAGAGGTGTTCTATCAAGTCATTTGGCTGCATCGAGAAAACGAGAGCAGAGTTTTCCTAATTTCTGGTCAATAGTATGTTAGAAAGAGAATCCTTAACACAGTCAAGTAGAAGGAAGGCATAAAGAAGGAAATATCTGTAAGCCGTGGCGATTTGGAACCTCTGGAAGCCCAACAATAATCGGATGGTGCAACTATAAAGTCCCACACCAAAACAATGGTCATCCCCAACGCCGCAAGCAGTGTGCCTCATATTCCCGGTTGGGTATCATGCAATGCAACTCTGCCGTGGGGTTGATGAGCTTGGTTGGCCCAGAGACCCGCATGCCAGCTCGACAGGGGACAGAGGCGGGGACTTTGGCCGCAGCTGTCCCACACTCCGGTGCTCGTCGAGGCAGTCCCAAGGCGTCTATCCCTCTGTGGCACTCGGGTGATTACAATATCCAACCGTAATCGTGACAGTCAGGACCCTGGCGCATGCACTAGAGCATCATGATAGACGGGTTGGTTGCATACAAGTCTCCACCCTCACTACCAACGGTGTCCTGGGCAGCAGCATATTGCTCTCTGCTCTATGTACTGTACGGCGTACATATGCAACAGGGTGTGTGCCCGAGGTCGGGATAAACACAGCTTGGCGAGCCCCTACCAGGCCGCCATGGATTACAATAAATTGACAGGTAACATTCTTGGGGCGACCCCGGCCCAACTACGAAATCTATCTTTCAGGGTGGACTGTTGGCACCCAACTCATAACAATGATCCCTGGAGATATGCAGCATTCAGCTCCGGCGCTCCCATTATGCGGTTTGGAGTGCAACCGAGGTCTTGATATTGGTCCGAGTGGCCAGGATGTGACCACACCTCCAGATATACATGTTTATGCCAATATGCAAACATCTCAAGGCGGAAGTTTGGTGTAACTATTCATCGCACACCCCTCATCAAGCTTTGAAGAACCAACCACAGGAGCCTATCTCGCCTCCTCTCGGAGCGAGTTCTAGATACATGCCATTTTGGCTAATGCCACGCCCAACTCCTACCTCCTTGGACATGCAGCTGAGCAACTGGCTTCTTATCAGTCGATGTAGCGAGGTCTTACCGCCGGTGTATGCCTTGGGAGAGCCGACGTGGCTTATGCATTTCGAAAGTATGTCAGATTCCGGTACGTTATCGATTGCATCCAATGATCTAGACCTCACCATTTACTTACTAGCTCACCGGTGCTAACTAACCTCTAGTGTGATCTACACGGCACAGCCCGCGAAAGGCTCCTAAATTGAACTCGTATTCGGGCAAGGATGAAGGCCGGTGTACTTTCTCCTGTTTGCTTCGCAGATCACGACTACGTCCGACGTATCAAATACAGTGAATACGCACTCCGATACCGGATGATCAGAAGGCATGGTCATGTGAATTCTTGCACGTCTATGTTCTTAGACCTTTATCTCGTCTAATTCTCCTAACACCTTGTCGATATAGCTTAGACCAAGTCTCTCTTCCTCTGGTCCATTGTCAAGGCTCTTCTCAGAATCCGCTGGGACATCGTCCATGATGGTCAGACAAAAGTTAACGACATCTCGATATCTTCTTCCCATGTACACAGGAAGGACCTCGTTGGCGTGGCGTTCATAAAGGCTTTTTAATCTAAGGCCCGCATTGTGGATGCCTTGGCGAATCTCATCGCAGATGTAATTTCCCCCTTGAAGCACCTCATCGTCGAAGACGAATTTCTCTTGCTGCGTGTCGTAGCATGTGAAGGATGACCAGATCCCAATTTCCAAAAGATTCACCCCGAGAGAATAGATGTCATGGCCAAGTGTATATCTCGTACCCCCTTGGTGTCGAGACGGATGTAAATACATGCATTGCTGCCAGTCGGTATTCCCATTCATGCTGCTGTACGCCAACGGCGAATCCTCGCGCGCCAATTCGAAGCCAGTCAGAAATGTTGTTCCCACGGGATCTGGAATAAGATCCTCCGTTGTGGCCACTTTTCCGTTTACATTCTGAAAGACTAGAAATGCTTCAGGGCAAATCGCTTTGTGAACCAGCCCGCTCGTATGGGTATAGAAGATAGCAGTTGCTACATGTCTCGCCACTTCCAATCTCGCATTGACAGAGGGCATCCCGGTGTCCAAAAGCTTCCGCAAAGTCTGGGGAGCTCCAAGATTCGGAGGGCACTTCATGACAAGATCGATCTCGCGCGCTGGGTGAGCGGAATGCGAGTAGCCAATCGCCTGCAGCAGATGAGTCTCCTGGGGTTCCATCCCGGCAGCAGCAAGAATGCGCGTGACCAGGTTTGTAGCAGCCTTGACATCAGATGTTGATCTCTCTACCCCGTACTTATGGCGTTCTATAAGGCACCGGGTACCCGTATCTTCGTTCTCGTAGAGCACCGTTTTCATCGAGGCCTGTCCGATTGCTTTCGACCACCCGTCCGCGTCTACCACAGGCCGTATCTCAAGATCATCCTGTACTGTTTCCGAGATCCGAGCTTGCAGGATTCTGCTGCTCAGTCTCTCTGCCCTCGAGATTCCGCCAGTGCTATCTCGATTGGAGCATTTCCCAGTAAAGTAGAGCATCTGAACAATCTCGTTGAACCGTCTTTGCCAGGCCTCCAAGTGAGGGATTAGCGTGTCGAGACGTGGTTTCACATCCGTCGCCCAGCGAAGCCGGTTGACGGAGCCCTCCCTGTCGATGGCGCGGTTGAAAACCTCAACCGCATTCTGAAGGCTGCGGTTCAACTCGGACAGGATGCCCTTGAGCCTGAGCTCAATGTCGATGGTGAGAGACCCAGAGTTCCGTGTTAAGAACTCGGAATCTTCCTCGACCCATGCTAGTAAGTTGTTCAATATGACCCATGAGCTGGTTGCGTCAGGGTATCCTTGGAGGTAGGAGTGATATATATCCCGGAGTAGTGCTGTTGACTGGAGAACCGACTGGAAGCTACGTCAGCATCCAATATGGCAAAAGGTCGCATCATACTGCTCCTACCTGGACCAGCCCTGGAAGGCCTACACCCACACCGGCAACGCCCAGTATCGTATCTACAGAGAGCGACATGGAGTATACCAAGAACTGCACTTCCAACTGAAATGTCGATTCGGTGACACATTTGTGGGAGGATTGACGAGAGGGCGACTTGAGTAAGGCGATCTGCACTTCCCCCACCTTGGGAAGTGCCCAGTAATAATTCCACAGGTGCGGCTGAGCTGCATATGGGGGGCTTAGCCAGCACTCAATATTGAACTGATTGGCTAGACAGATCGCCAGGCTAACTCGGCACTCTCAGCGCGTGCAGGATCAGGTGGCTCAAATAAACAAAATTCACGGCGGGGAAGATAACGTAGGCTTCTTCAATTTCGCCATCTTCCACCTCCTTGGCCGCTTCTCGAGGTCTCAGTCTCAGTCGCTCTCCGCATATGGACTCCTTATGTTGAGTTAAGGCTATGGAACGAACCGAAGATAATGGAAAAGCCTTTAAGGCCAAATTTCGGCAGCGTATACGAAGTAATGGCGTCAAACCCTCAATACATCAACGGCCTCCCTTGCCGAAGACCCAGCAATATAACCACCTGTACGGCAGAGACCAAAAAGCAAATATTCTCAACGTGATATCTATTATCAGTGAAGAAATTCCACCGAATAAGAGGATTTCAGTCTATCCAAGAATCAGATTAGACGATGCTCCAGTTATTGGCCGCGGGGCAACCTTCGAAGTCTTGACAAAGAACTGGCAGAAGAATGGAGAATCGAAGCCTGTCGCTGTCAAACGCATAAGACGAGATCACATCCCTTGCAGAAACCCAGACCTGCCATTGCAGGATGATTATGTATACCTGAAAGAGCGGGATGTCTTCTATTCAAAAGTTGAGGACATTTTGCAAGAGCTCAGGATCATGGCGAATGAAGGTACTCTACTGCCACCAGACTTTTAATTTACTGACCGTATGATAGGAGCCATTTGCGAGCCACCGAAACATCGTCCGCCTTTTAGACTTGGCGTGGGACTCAATAGACGACACTCTGTTTGCTCCCGTAATGATCGTCGAGCTCGCTAGTTTAGAAACACCTACAATTCAACATTATTTCCAAGGAAAAGATAAAAGGCAGTCCTTTTGTCTTTCAACCGTCCGCTCCTTCATCGCCGATGTTGCCGATGGATTAACCGCTTTACATTTCTCCAACGTGCTACATTCCGATCTCAAGCCGTCAAACATACTGTTGTTTCATGATCACTCGTCAGAGTCTCTGGTTGCTAAAATCAGCGATTTTGGATACGCAGATTCCGATCGGATGATAAGAAAAGAGGACAGTGAAGTAAGAGGAGGGACCAGGGAATGGGCTGCACCTGAACTGCTATCCGGGTGCCCCAAGTCCGTCCGGACGCTAGCAAGAGCCGCTCCTACAGTCAGCGATGTTTTCTCATTTGGGCTTCTAGCCTTCTATATGGGGACAGGAGGCATGAGCCCAGCAAACATTGGAGGCTGGACAATGGATGAACTTGACAAGATCAAGTTTCACGGGGAGACATTCGAGGAGCTCCAAAAGTATTCATCTGGATACACTCACCGTCTAGACAGTTCCCTGTTCGATGAAGGGCCATTTTTATCTGCAGTACGAGATAGTCTAAGGCTGGAACCGACACAGAGACTGGCAACTCTTGGAGGGATGAGATCTGTGTTGTTCGGAAGGTAAGTGCATGTGCCGAAGCATGATAACGCCGTGGACTAAACAATCCCCAATAGTGATCAGTATAGAAAACAGAAGATGGAGCATAAATTCCGAGCGCGTCCGTTTGTTAGTTTCGTATCTCGCTCGCTGGTAAGTGGGTAATCAAACAACGGCCGTTTCCCTTGATTGCTAATCTGTGCACAGCCTCTCAGCAGTATCGTCCATCCGAATCTCACTCTCAATAAAATTGCGTTGGATAGCCTGCCTAAAAAGCTCCGGATCCAAGCCGAAAAGTTAATCGGCAACAAAACAGGGCTCTTCGAGCCAATGGCCCACAGCCTCCGCAGAGGCCAATTCTTCCCCAAGACCTATAAGACCGAGGAAGAGATGACACAGCCAGAAAGGGTTGGGCGTCTCTCAATCGACCAGGTAAAACAGGCCTTTGTATCACTATCACAGAACTACTATGCAATATACTGACAGCATGGCCTGCAGATCCAGTATTTTCCCTCGCTCATTGGCGAAATCTTCGCCATTGGGAAGGTAGCATTAAGCCAAACCTTCACAGCTGAATCAGCAGTCGCCGACCTACTGCAAACAGAATGTACAGAAAGGCCAAGAATATTCACTTTGATCGATGGCAATGATATCAATGCTGTCAAGCGAGAGCTTCTTCTCGACTCGTCCCAAGCCGTGATACCACTACCGATAGAGGCCGGAGGTTGGTATCCTCTTCATCTGGCAGCAGAACTGGGCAGGGTTGAGATCGTGAAACTCTTGCTGAATACGGATGGAGTTGACTGTGACGTCCGTTCTGGGCAATGCCAACTAACTCCACTGCACCAAGCAGTCAATTCCGAAGAGCCAGCAGTTGTTCAGCTTCTTTTAGATTCTGGCGCTCAGATTGATGCCAGATATTACATTCCGAATTCAGGGTACGTAAGAGACATGACACCCCTAGACCTGGCTGTCGAAGCCTATGATGAATCAAGAGGTGGTATAAAGCAGCGCATGAAAATCATTAGACTCCTTCTACATCGCGGGGCCGACTACTTGCACAACAATGCAGGCAGAGGTCAGTATCTGATTTCCCAAGCTTGATACTGTGTCCCGACCTAACTCGAACAGGTTTCTCGGTTGTATTCAGAGCAGCTCTGAAAAGCCTGGACTTGCTCAAAGTCTTTTTCGATTCCATACCCCCAGAGGAATCGAGGCTGTTAGTGACAATTATTGATGATCTAGGGAGTACACTTTTGTCTTCTGCTGCCAGTGCGAGGCAGGTAGAGACTTTCAAATACCTCCTATCTAAAGGGGCCGATCCAGGTGCCCGTGATCGTCTTGGGAGGACCATCTTTGTCCGGCTCGAGGGAGATCGTGTTTTCAAGGGCTCAGCCCTTGGACTTGTAGATCACGCAATGCCTTACCTTAGTGGGAAAACTCCCCGCCAGTGGGACAAAGAGACAGACGAGATTATTGGGCTTATAAAGGCATCGGGGAACTTGGAGGCTACAGCTTACGACGATTTCTGCTTTTCGTCGACAGAGATACATGAAATGTTTGAGCGAGCCCGCCTTCGATCTTCCAAATCCTTCGCATCCAAGCTGCTGGATGCTCTCAAATCACCATCATTCGGTCGAAGGCTTCACCACTCGATGATTATCTTTAACGAGATATCCTCGCAGGCTCACAAGATTGAGTCCTTAGATATTGAAGCCGAAGCACTTCATTTGAAAAAGCAATTACTGGAGTGGCAGCAAAATCGCCAGACAGGCCGCATTCCGATGGATGTGTTACCTGAAGAATGGCAAAGAGGCTTGAGATACTTCGGGAACATTTCCCCCGGAATCTGGGAAGAGTTATTCATAAAGGAAGAATTACCCCAATTGGCAGAGCTCCTGAAGCTCACGTTAGTCCCGATGCTTGATGCGTTCTTACGCTACAACGGATTTCAGGTCATCTACCAGTTTATGAAATTCATAGAAGAGATTGACAGAAGAGGGCTTCTGACTGAGTTCTTCAACGCTATTTACGCTGTATGCAGGTCTCTCCTTTCCTTACGTACACATGACCCGAGATCTCTGCTGCGTAAAGGCCTCCTTGGGATGCACGTGAGGGATGTTTGGAGAATTCTCAAGACCGGGGAAATTCTGGATAGACTTTTCGATTTGGTTGTCGTTGCTGGGATGGAAGAAACAGTTGATCAAACCATCACCCACCTTCCTGTTGTTTTTGAAGCCAGAGCGGTGGCACCTCTGCCATCAACAATCCAGACACTCCGGCTTGCAGAGCGATATCCGGGGTCTCAGATGTTCGTCACAGGGACAAGTCTCAACATTCCGCCTTTTAGAATCCTGATCGCCCTCTTGCAAATTGTCATTTTCACGTTACCCGCGATAGCTTACGCGTTACAATGGTTCCTCGCCTTCGCGCAGCACTCAAGCATGATCGGCTTTTTAGTAATGGCCATCTGGAGGATTAAAAGACCCGGCGAGTGGGTGCTGTTTGATAAACTTCAAATTCATCCAAACGTGGGTCGCGGTATCAGAGCTGTGCTCGCTCTTTTCATCTTTAGATTGAGACATCCCTGGGTCTTAGAGGAGCCCTTGATCGTATCAGTTCCACACCAGTCAGGGAAACGAGTAGATATCGCCTCAGCAATGCATTACATTCCCGCAGGTCGATCGAATGTTTTTCACTTCCTTTCGATATCAAATAGCTCACAACTTGAGTCTATCCCGTGTTACACGGCGATGGGAGAACTCATGGATGGCTGGAAAGATGGAAAATTTCCAAGAAAAGGCTGGTGCAACGGCTGGTGGGAGTTAAACCAATTCGACGAATGGGTGAGAATTAATGCGGCCGGTAAACCAAGCCTAAGCAGTTACAGCGAGGCATCGAAGCATATAAAGGTTAGATAACTCTTATGCTAACCTAGTTATGTGTGCTAATTGTTACCAGGAAATTCTCGCAGGCAAACAGCGTGATGAAGTGTATGAAAACTTCCTACGTGAAAGAGACTATTGGTTAGATACCCCTGCCGAACAACTAAGCAAGATGAAAAAGGTGTTTGGTGAGGCAAACGACGATTGCTTTCAGATTTGGGCGAATTTATACCTTCGAGAACCAATTCCGCGTGTGTCATATTCATACCTTCCTTTGCCTGCCTTGCACACTTTTCTTCAATCTGTGGCAGACTACAGCTGGTATGTAAGAGCTTAGCCTGGGTTTGACGATCGAGGGGAACCTTTGAAATACATGGCTTCCATATTCGCTAATCGGTGTACGATTTTGGGGTAATAAATGTCTAGAAGATCTACCCATCTTCCCGCGAAAAGTAGATATACCAAGAGCCTATACCGCCATAAAATTCAGTGAAGCCGCCAAGACGAGCAGCCCAAGCCCACACCATAATAGACATAGGAACTTCAACTGTACTCGCTGCAGAACAGGGCGTTGCCAGAGAAAGTGATATGATAAAACTCCACCAGGCTGAACCTACTTTGCCGCTTCCTCCGATGTTGCATTGAGCATCCAACATAAGATTGTGGCTGACAATGGGCAACCAATCATTAACGCACAAGCGCAGTCTTCCTGGCTCTCAAAAGTCCTCAGCTCCTTGACACACCCATGTGTTTGACTGATTGGAGAGTAGGCCCTACCGGCTTGCCTTGTCGAGTAGCTTGTAGCACCGCCCGACATGAGGGGGAAGATACGTTGAGGACGATATTAATCAGATTCAATGCACGGAGACGTTTTCTCGAGTGCAAAATTTGAATTTGATGAAGTATTGAATGCCTCTAATCTGTGTCTCTGTTAGAGAATGTGTCAGACACTGCCAAAGTTCAAGAGGCGGGCTGAGGCCAGGAACTTGTGGTGGCCACAGCCTTACCAGCAAGAGAAAAAGTGCATCAATCGGCAATATGACGTCTGCAGGTATGTTTTTAGAATCTGACAAGCATAATACCTGCGCCATCATGAAGAATTTTCATGGCTTGATGTTGCATTTGGCTTGTTTCTTCGAACGAACCAATCAATGGCTGTAACAAAGACGCGGTCACATCACTACCCAGGCCGGTCGGGAAAACGAGGCACTCAATGATCGTCAAATGATCGTCAATGGTTCTTCAGTATGATAAGCTGATTCTCAGCCACAATTAGTCCTGCACTATGGACATGGTGGCCTCGATGCCCGCCAGTTATAAAGACATGGAGTGGCTCCTCTCGTGGGATGAATTAGCTCACCATCCTCAAAGCCACAAGAATCTCCAGAGCCCATTACCTAGTCCCCTTACTTTCACATCCATTGAGAATGTCCCAAAACGGGAAAAAGACCGCCAATGCGGTGGTTACTCCTTTGCCTATGCCAGCCGAATCCAGCAACCGAAGCAGCCAAATTACACACATGAGCAACCCCAAGGAGGAGGTGCCACGCCCAAGCTCAATTGCATCAGATGATTCGGAAGTTGAGCACCACCGATTTCTATCACCATCGAAATGGAAAATCCTCGCTCAGAGTCTTGGTGGACTCAAAGATGTTGAGCGAGCCGTTCCAACCCATCCCTCCTCCTCATGGTGGCCAGCCCGAGGGATGCCCCCAGGGTTATACCGAGACGTTGTAACTCAGCGGACTAGGTACTATTATACCTACTGGGCTACCAGTGTCCTACAGTGGCTCCTTATGATACTGCAGCTGCTCCTGGGTGCCAGCCTCACAGCACTTGGATCTGTGGCGGTGAGGGACGGAACGCCCATCACACTCCTAGGAGCCACCAACACGGTCATAGCGGGTCTCTTGGCTCTTGTTCATAACAGCGGGCTGCCTGAGAGACATAAGCGCAGCATGTATGAATATGAAAAGGTGCAAGACCACATCAAAGAGCTTCTGGACAGTCGGATGGCCCCGGAGGATCTAGATCTTGATCAGGTTATCGCAGAGTGTTTTGATATGTACCAAGAGGCCAAGTCCAATGCCATGTCTGCTAGGCCACTTACGTACGGTCCGCGATATGGTCTATCTGCCCGAGGTGTCGGAAGGCAAGACACGCTGACATTAGGAAGACGAAGATGATTGGAAAGGAAACGGACGGGCATGATATCCAGCTATCACTTGGGACTAGTGAGAGAACTCAAGTTGCAGCTATCAAAGAGATACGCAAGGCTTGAGCAGAGCAAGAGAGGCAAGACAGCCAATACAAACAACAAAATTTTGTGGGCAAGTCAGGGAAGTTGAGGCTATATCAAACTATAAAGTCCCGATGAATGTGAAACCTCAATACATTGAGTTGCCCTCTGTATGAGCTTGATTCTTCAAGCCGCCTCTTGGGGGGGGACATATATGCACGGGATCTCTGAGACCAGGGATTTTGTTGTATCCACCCATGTAGGGAATAATAACGGATCAAACCATTAATTACCAGTCAGCCATCTTAAGAACCTGGTGAAAACATGAATACTATGGCACGAATTTACGATCTTCTGTCATACTAACTATTCCCTTCTGCCATTCAATAAAGAGTTCCAGTACTACCCGGCAATAAACTTATCCTATTATTAAAGGCGCTCCCATTTCCAGCGGCGGATCGACATATGGCGTCAAGAACGGGACCGAGCATCTGAAGTTCTGAATCCATTCAATCCTTTGCTGACCCTTGTAGAACAAGCTTATCAAGGCAACGTAAGACTGCAGGGATTCAACAGCGCTGTGCCTTTCACTGCGACAAAAATAATCACGGCTTACTAAATTTAGCTAGGGCCGGGGATAATGCCAAGTGCTCCTGAAATTTACAAGCAGCAATAATAATGTATGTCCTGCTGTGCCGGGAATTCACAGCGGTTTAATTTCATCAATCTCTGCATAGGTAGGTATGCAAGTGGAAGGTCAGGCTGCTAAACAAGCAACTCAACAATACTAGCAATAGCAAATGACGAGTGCGCTGACCATCATTCTACGACCTTAGTAATAAGTATCCAGAAGCATTGCGTGATGCCGTCAGACGGGGCACAGGTATTACATCGAGTAGTCTCACTTTACACTTGTATGTACGCGACTTTGCAATAAACTGCCACTTCTTGATACAGAACAGAGTGTAATAAGATGTTAAACAGAAAGAAAATAGAGCAGGTTTCGATCTTACTCGGGCGGGCTCATCGCGTGACATGCTTGACCGTCGCTCGGGAATTATGCAGCAGTACATGTTTTTACCCCAGCCAACCCAATCCTTCGCAAGTAACAAAAGAATTGGCCAAGGCTTAATTTCGCCGATTGAGCACAAGCTCACCCTTTTAGCGGGCGATCGTAAGTAAGCCAGAGAGCTCCTCAAGGGCCAGGACAAGGGGCCTACAGTGGTGTTCCTGAAACTGGCGGAGCTGTAATCCCTCGTTTCTTTTTTTGGCACTTTTTATCGCAGCGGTCTTACGCACCTCCCAGCAATCAGAAGAGTCTGTAGCTCAAAATAGCTACGCATGAGGCTCTCCCAGCCCCCAAGCATCTGTATAAAGGCAACTCGATCTTCAATACTCCATAAACAGAACTCACTCATCCCACCAACAAAATTCATTCAACAATAAGATTGATCTAGCCTGCCAATTAGATCGGTATCAAGATCCCTTCACCAACAAGTCCAACAGACACACTTATACCCCTCAAAAAACGAACGGCAACAATCACACAAAATGGCAAGCCTCAAGCAATTTGCCCTCGCCCTGATGCTCGGCGTTGCCGGGCGGGCTATGGCCAATCCTTTGGAGTCTGAATCAGAGGCCGGCATCCTCGCCGCCCGCGCCGAGGGTGATGTCGACACCAACCTCATGGCCATGAAGCGCGACGAGCTCCTCAACAGCGTCGTCGACGGGCTTGTCGCTCGCTTCGCCGAAGATGAGGAAGTCCAGCTGGCCATCCGCGGCAAGAAGAAGGACAAGAAGAACAAGAAGGGCAAGAAGAGCAAGAAGAACTCCAAGAAGAGCAAGAGCACCAAGAACGAGATGAAGCACTGCCAGAACGTCCTGAAGAAGCTGGAAGAAGCTAAGAAGGAGAGCTCAACGGCAAAGAGCGAGCTCAAGAGCTTGAAGTCCAAGAACGACAAGTTGAAGTCCAAGGTCAAGAAGGCGATCAAGAAGAAGGCCGGCAAGAAGAGCAAGTCCAGCAAGGACAAGAAGGAGAAGGATGAGGACAAGGATAAGAAGAAGAAGAAGGAGAAGAAGTCAGGAAAGAAGTCCGAGAAGAAGAAGGAGAAGAAAGAAAAGAAGGGCAAGAAGGAGAAGAAAGAGAAGAAGGAGAAGAAGGAAAACGACGATTAAACCTCCAAACTTCTCGGCCTTGTTCCTGGGACCAGACCACCTACCATTGACATCCAATAAGGTGTCAACTGGAAAGTAGGCCCATGGAACAGGTCTTTTCTTCAAAACAGCTTCTTATTTTTCTCCTTTTATTTTGTTTTAAGCGATATTTATTTCATCATGACACCATCTGTCGGTTTTTCTTAGAGGTTATTGGTAGCATGGCTCATTGGCCAACTCAGCATTTTCAAATAGCATTCAATTGTATAAATGAACGTGAAAATCGGAACATCCTAAATCTCTCGCGCACAGTGTGGCTTTACCGTTCAATGAATCATCCGGTTTGATTGTCCTTTTCCTCGAGGAATTGTAAGTTTGGAATTAGGCCACCTGCCGTTGGGCCAACAAGTTGATAAAAAACTAAAATGGCCTATATGAATGTAAACGACTCCAACTTAGAGACCACTCCTTGGGCTGTCAGGCGAGAGCCCATTTTTGTGAACATGCACGGGATATTTTCAACTTGAGACGCCAAGTATCACTGTGGGCGCGCGTCACCAGGCACATATTACGGAAGGCAGGATCATTAGCACTCTAAAAGCTGAGGGTGCTCTCATAGAAGAAAGGTTAGACGACCTCCATTAGCTAAATCGTCCTCTTCCTAAGGCAGCATGTTGTATAATGTTCAGAAAGGACGACTTCGACCATTTCCACAAGAAGAAGAAAACAAATGAGACAAGACAATTGAAAGCTAAAGGCGCGTAAATTACCTAAGAACATGCCAATTCAGCCGGTGCCGGCCGATTACCTAATGCAAGGGCAGAGCTGACGCGCTTCGGCCTGGCCCATCCCAGAAATTGGGCGAATTCCACAGGAACACAAATCAAGTTCGGATTCCTTCTTTCCAGCAAGTTGACGTTCTCTTCTGCTGCCAGGGTACTGACGTTGTTCTCACCCAGCCAGATTCCGACAAACTGAAGCCCAAGATCCAACAACCTCATCGATGTTCATGTTGTGCGCGACAACAAACGCCCGACCTTTTGTGATCTTCTTTTAAGAAGCATTTCCTACACGCTGTCCAAGATCACGAGGCCTAGCCAGCCGGCGTACATGTTTTCTACATCGCCCAACCGGTCGATCAGACGGGCTACGCAGCGAAGAGCCACTTCCCCTGCCCGAGGGACGTTCCAGTCGCAGCATTCGCCCCGCCCCCGAGCTCCATACATGCGCGAATACAATGTGACAATAGAGACGATGGCCGATGAGAACGCTGGCCGACTGTAGCAGTTCCTGAGGCACGAGGAATCTGTTCAGGCCAATGAAGCAACGCACTTGGCTCGTACCTGTTCCCCGCCACAGGATCTGATGTTTTACAGAGCCTCCCACGATTCCATTGCATAGGTAGTTAAACTTGTCCTCGTCCGTGTAGCATACATCCACCGCGCAATGCCCTTGTTTCTAGAAATAGGACATCTAGGACTGTCCCTACCTATGTCTATTTCCTCGCAATGACTGGTCACGCTTTCTCGTCGACTCGGTCGGATTTAGACGCGTAGAATACTCGTACGAAATAACTAAGGTGTCGATGGACACATTTAATTGGAGCACAACAACACTTCTTACCGTAGCTTTCTGCTTGCACTTCTTGCATCACAGAAGAAAAAAGGCTTGATCCCATCTGTTGCTAATTGTTGCATTCGTTTCGGGAATATACATGCGTCAGATCAATGTTGATCACCTTGAATTCGTCAACTGAAAAGTTGACGCCTAAAAAAAAATAAACAAGAATGTCAGTGATCGTTGGTCTGATTGAATATAGCATCGGAATGAAAAAAGGTTCCGTGTAGTTTTAGTTCCATACAGCCTCTGACAATTCCTTTTCAAGCCCAACATAACCGAAATTTTTATCAATAAGATACCTACACTCAGTATGTATGTAATCACCTATCTTTAAGTGCTTCACGCTCTTGATCAAACTATTTCGGCATCGTCATTATACAGAGTGTAGGGTAGCTCTATTAACGCTTTGATATGATATGTCCAATGTCAACACTGGAAATTATGGGGATTTTGATGACTCATCAGAAAACTTCCACGTGCACATCTGTGGGTCAATGATTATCTAACAAGGGCGACAATCGGGATTTCTTTTTTCCTTCAACACATGAACAGCAAAAGAATGGGAGCTCGCTCTACGGGGCTGCTAAAATGCACCTTTCTCTGTTCTGTGTACTAAAAAGTAGTAGACATGAGACGTCTACTTCAGTTTTGATGACGGCCCACGAATCTACCTAGCAAATACCCGCTTGGATTCAGACGCTCAGCATTTGCCTATGAATGAGTCCTCCCACTCTGGCATAGAGGCTTCTATTTTATACTAGGTAATCATGCACGCACAAAGGGCATTGGCCCCACATACTTCATCATTATCTGAAAATGGTGTGAGAATATGCGGCGAAGGGCCATTTGCGGGTAGAGTAATTCCGCGGCCCTCCCGTTACGGGTTCATCAGACAAAGACATTTTCCCGAAATTGATTCAACCCGAACGCCTGCTTTGGAACTTCTAGCTTCGGGACCGACCGTGGCACAAATTCTCAGTTGGGATTCGTCCTCGGTGCCGTGATGGAGAAATGCTTGGTCCCGAGTACGGACACAGAGCCCATTTTAGAAGGAATTGAAACCAGCTTCTTGAGCATAAAGCGGTGTAGAAGAGAGCCTGCCGGAAGCTAGATAACAATAACTGCAGATCCGAATGGAAACAATGCCAAGAAAGCCGTTGAAGAGCTAGATTGCATTGCAGCTCGAATGTTGTCTTCATATGATGGCTCACCTTGGCGCGTTCCCTCAAGTGAAAGGGATGACATATGAGAGTGGGGGAGGGAAATTATCGCAAGGACGACTCTATGGTTGATTGAAGAGATTGTCTTGGAAGTCCTGCCCAAGAAAACTACAGTGGCCAATCATAAGTTTAGCTTGTAAGACCATACCATTGTCACAGGTGGGTTTTGTGGATGTGAGTCTCAGACATCCTCCTGTCGACAAACCCCTTCATCCGAGACTATCAACCTAGTTGCATTACTGAGCTGAACATTGCTCATGAAGTTGATCCCTTGTACGCGTCGGGCAGTTGCTGCCGACAATCCCAAATCCCCAAGGGCGAGGTCGACGCCCACCCTTCAGAAATTTCCGTCCTGATTCCAGATTGTCTCCCCTTGGAGTAGCCTAGACGCCAATATCTACCAGATTCTACCAAATACATTTCTCGATCTTCTCAAAGGTCGAAAGCCATTCCTTTGATATCTGAGGATTCTCCGATAAGTTGACCGACGTCTCATTGCACGTTCATTGCCAGGAACTGCACGTGGCGCTCAGTCAGCCGCTCTATCCCTACATACACGTCTCCACAATGTTCCGTCTTCTGAATCTGCGACCGAAGGCTTGGGGCGCCAGAGCCTCGGATGAGGGCCGCAAGGACTCTGATGACTCGAAGAACGGTCATCAAACCCCACTGGACCAGTATCAAGAGGATTGTGAGGGTGCCGGGCTCGCGCCAATTGCCATTTGCGGAGTGGCTCTCCGTCTGCCTGGCGGTATTTCCCATCCGGATGAGTTATGGGATCTTCTAACGAGCAATCTGGATGCCCGGTCATTTGGATTGGCTACCAGGCATGCTCGTGGAAATGGACCGATGTCTGAACCTGGTACACCTGATGGACTGTCGCTCGGGCAAGGCAAAAAAGCCCTCGATGCCTCGTTTTTTTCGGACATCCCCAAATCATTTGCGAACCAGCCCCACGGGTGGGAGAAAGTGTTGGAAGTAGCACGCGAGTGTCTCGACGATGCGTGTGAAGCTGGCTCCGAAGGGAAGACCAATTCAAGGGTTTTGGTTGCGGCTTCTAGGGCACAAGCTTCGGGTATGGCAGACGGTTTGTGTCGAGCACTGAAACTCGACGGAGAAAGGTATTTGGACCTTGTCTATCTGATTTAAAGTAGAGCGTTACTGACACAACCTCCAGTAAGGATGTGATTTCCGAATCGTCGGCATCGTTTATTGCACTCAACAAGGTTTTCGACTCCTTGAGTAAGGGTGAGACTGGTTCTGCCCTAGTTGTTGGTGTGAACTTGTTCGCTGGACATAATGGCACAAACCCACTTGAAAAGACTGATACTTCCAAGAATAACAACCAAATTAATGGCTCTTCAAGAGGAGAGGCCATATCTGCAGTATATATCAAGTCTCTGCGAGAGGCTCTCATTGATGGAAACCCCATCCGGGGAGTCATCCGCGCTATACATAAGGACGATGTCGATACAGATGGTGTGCCTGGAGTTTCCCTGGAGGAAACAACAGAAGAACTAATACGAAAGACGTATGAGAAAGCTGGCTTGGATCCCTCCAGGACGGCTTACTTTGAGGTATGACCCTTCTTTGTCTAAAGGGGATTGGCGTTGAAACTGACTTGCTAGACTCATGGCACTGGGTTCCTTAAGAAGGGTAACCCAGAAGCAGATTCTATCTGTCGTGTTTTCGGAGAAAATAATATTAACGTGGGTTCCGCGAAATCCAAGTTGGGTAATAGCGAGGGTGCTGCAGGCATCACCAGCGTTATCAAAGCCTTACTCTCACTTGAGCGAAGAATCATCCCACAAAGTATTCGCCCTGATTTTGCAGGACAAATTAGTATGATCTTCAGACGATCCATCAAATTGGCCTTTCTAATCAAGTGTGGCAGACTCCTCTACTAGACTGCTGGTCCCATCAGAACCCACCACTTTCCCAGATGACCGAGTTGAGAGAGTTAGCATAAACTCTTTGGGGTCTCGAGGGAACAATTTCCATGTGAGTGGTTATGGAAAGTGGCGGCGGATATATCTGAGCTAACCATGAGATAGTTGATCATTGAGTCATTCGCCACTACGAGGACTCAACTCGAAACCCCAGAACCAGCAGACCCTGAACTGTTGCTGTTCTCTGCGGAGACTCCGTCGTCATTGACTAGGCAGATCCGGTCTCAACACGACTATTGCAAAGCCAGTGGGGTTCGAGGGGCTGACATTGCTTACACGAGAGCTATGCGTCGTGAAGCCTTACGGCACAGAGCTTTCTCGATTCTGCATGAGGGAGAGTTTCTCAGCACCTCGAGCAGTATCGAGAGTCGAGCTAAATCACGCAGCTTAGTATTGGTTTTCAGTGGACAGGGAGCACAATGGGCAGGGATGGGTAAGGAACTGATACAAACTAACTCTGAATTTAGGGCAGATATAGAAGCGATGGACGAGATTCTTAGTAATCTGAAAAAGCCCCCAACATGGAAGATTTTGGGTAGGTTGCGTTTAAGTTGGTATATTTGAATGAATGAACAGTCTGCTAACTCTTGGGATAGAGGAGATACAAAAAAGTGCAGAGGATCCTGGAAATCAAATTGGGCATCCCGAGTTGTCGCCTCCTATATGTACCGCCTTCCAAATTGCATTATTTCGATGGCTACAACGTCTGGGTGTGCATGCAGAAGCCGCGATTGGCCATTCAGGCGGCGAAGTAGCTGCGGCATACGCAGCTGGCTATCTGAGCATGGAACATGCCATGACTGTTGCCTACTATTATGGAGACGTAGCCACAGGCAATGGCTCCGATGGAGACATGGCGGCTGTGAGCTTGGGCTCTAGCGAGATACACGGCTTCCTGAGAGATGGCGTCGTGATCGGTTGCGAAAATAGCCCATCGAGCACGACTCTGTCTGGAGACCGAAAGGTCTTGGACGAGATTCTGTCGTCGATTAAAAAGGAAAGACCTGATGTTTCTGCACGTAGGCTGAACGTCAATATGGCCTATCACTCTCGTGAGTCCAATTCCATTGCCTCCACCAAAAGGGTTTAATTTCTAACCCACCATATGTAGACCAAATGAGCCCGGTAACCGAAAGGTTTCTCGAGAATTTGTTGATAGAGGGCGTTTGTTTCTCAAGGCCTCAAGATGGACGTGGATTGGTTTTCATCTCCAGTATACAGGGCCAAGTGGTTGATCACCCAGAGTTCCTCGGCCCTGATTATTGGGCCACCAATCTCAACAGTCGGGTCCGCTTTAGCACGGCTATCAAGAAGTATCTGAAGAACAGAGGAGAGTGTTTGTTCCTCGAGGTTGGACCGCATTCCACGCTTGGTGTGCCACTGCGACAAATTTGCGAGTCTGAGGACATGCCATATAACTATGTGCCGTCTCAGAAGCGGAAAACGAACAGCCAGATCACATTTCTTTCAGCAGTTGGAAGACTCTGGCAAGAGTCTGCAGTCGAAAACTTGGCACCACTTTTCAGCCACGGAAAGGCAATTTCGGGACTTCCATCTTACCCATGGGACTACGGTCACACCAGCAACGACGCAGATGACAGCTCACGAATGAGGCGTGCTTTCTCCAACCTGAATGAAATGGCACCAAAGGAGAGAAGGGAAAGATTAATATCGATCTTCAAAGAGGGGACTTTGGATGAATTGGCCGACGATGAGGTTCCAACAACGGAAGCTGAGATGGTCCTCCGGGTTCTATGGCGACGTGTGCTTCAAGGCATCATGAATACGAGAGCGTCAGCGATTGGCAAAAAGCACAACTTCTTGCTGCTGGGAGGCGATTCTCTCGTTACCATAGAACTGGTTACATTGGCTAGTCGTTTCGGCATTCATCTGGTGCCAGCTGATGTTGTTCGACACCCGCGGCTTTCTCAAATGGCGGCAGTTGCTTCCATCGACGACGAACATGTTGAAGTTGACGTGATACCTTTTAGCATGCTAGGTTCACAGAATCCGAAAGAGACAAAGGAGAAAGTAAGAACCGAGTGCGGTTTACTTGAGGATCAAGAAATCCAGGACGTATACCCTTGTACGACTCTACAAGAAGGCTTCATGGCGCTGGGCGTCAAACAGCCAGGCTCTTATATCCATCGCTGGGTTTATAAGCTACCGAATAGCCTTGATCTTGCGCGCTTCAAAAAAGCATGGGAAAAGGTTATGCAGAACTGTGACAGCCTGCGTTCCAGAATTGTTCTAGTTGAGAACAGAGTTTTGCAGGTCGTCATTAAAAACGACATCGCTTGGGAACATCCTGCTACTGGCGTCAGTCTATCAACTCACGTGAGAAAAATCAGCAACACAGTCAAGATGAGCTACGGAGACCGTCTCAACCGCTTCGGAATCGTGCAGCAAGACGATGGCGAGCTCTATTTCCTCTGGACTATTCACCATGCTGCCTTTGATGGTCTGACGATGAGAATTGTTCTCGATGGTTTATACCAGGCCTACCATGGCTATGACTTGGAACCCGTGCAACCCTACGCCAACTTTATCCACTACATCCAGTCCATTGATACTGAAGACGCGAGTAATTATTGGCGGAATGAGCTGGAGGGCGCAAGCAAGGCCCAGTTTCCCACTTCAAATCTGCTTGCCAAGCCGGCAAACTCTGCGTTGGTGATGAAATCGACAATGCCCTTCCAAAATCTGACGAAACCTTCCTCCACCGCCGGTACTATACTCCGAGCCGCGTGGTCGATTGTTCTTGCAAAGTATTGCGGTACAAAGGATGTGTGTTTCGGAACGACTGTATCTGGAAGGCAGGCGCCAATCTCAGGACTGAGTGAAATTCCAGGGCCTATGATTGCCACCGTTCCTGTTCGTATTCAGATTGACAACACGAAGCTTGTCTCGACTTTCCTCCGCGAGGTACAGTCTCAGTCGGCTGAAATGGCACGATATGAGCAGTTCGGCCTGCAGAATATCTCCAAGCTGAGCCAAGATGCGCAGGACGCTTGCGACTTTGCCCACTTGATGGTTATTCAGCCTATGCACCACCTGGACAGCGTTGCTGTTACGGCTGAGGATAACGTTCTGATAAGTGGAAGAGAGGAGAGGGCCTTGTCCGAAGAGGCGATGAAGACGTATTTCAATTACCCTCTCGTAGTGCAACTGCGTGTTGGTGACGGCCAGGTTGAGATCGACTTTACCTACTATCCAGATGTTATTGGCGAGGTGCAACTGGAAGCACTCTCCCACCACTTCAAGCGGGCAGTTGATGAGATTCTCCTTCCGGAAGACAAAACCCTCGGCGAAATCTCGATCTCAGGGCCTTGGGATGTCCAGTTCGCCCACCTATCGAACAGTCGCGAGGAGCCTGAGATAATCGAGAGTTGCGCTCATGAGCTTGTCGAGGCACACGTAAAGACCAGACCCGATCAATTGGCAATTGATGCCTGGGATATGAAATTAACATACAAAGAACTGAACAAGAAGGCAAATAGACTCGCACACTATTTGGTAAAGACCTACGAGGTTCAGTCGGATGAGTTCATTCCTGTTTGCTTTGAGAAGTCTGCGTGGTTCTTCGTCTCTATCTTAGCGATCAACAAGGCTGGATGTGCTTGGGTCCCTCTTGACCCATCGCACCCCTTCGAGCGTCACCGGCAGGTCGTTTCCCAAACAGAAGCGAGATTTGTGCTTGCGTCTGCGCAGACGGCCGATATGTGTTCTGCGGTGATCGAACAAGTGGTAGAAGTTGGACAAGCTCTTGATAAAAAGCTCCAGAAACGGCAGCCGAAAGTGAATGGGGTTTGCAAGGTATCCCCGGATAACGCTGCCTACGTACTCTTCACATCGGGCAGCACGGGAACGCCCAAGGGGATTGTGATTGAACATCGGGGGCTTTGTACGAGCTTAACGGCAATTGTGAAACGACTAGGGATGCAGCCAGATGCAAGGGCACTTCAGTTTGCGTCTTATGTATTCGACTTCTCCGTTTGCGAAATTATGATGTCTTGGGTTGCGGGTGCTTGCATCTGCGTGCCTCCAGATGCTGTGCGCATGAACGGTCTCGATGTTTTTATCAATGAGATGAAGATTGACTGGCTTTTCCTTACACCCTCTTCTGTTCGTATATTGACCCCGGACAGAGTCCCTGGTGTCGGAAAGCTGTTTCTTGCTGGAGAGGCTGTGACTCGTGATGTTCTTGATAATTGGGCTGGGAAAGTCCGTCTTTTCAATGGATGGGGGCCAGCTGAAACCTGCGTGGTGGATACATTACATGAGTATTCATCTGCACATGAATCACCTATGAAGATCGGATATCCAGTGGGAGGCAACTGTTGGATTGTTGATCCTGATGATTCCAGCAAACTAGCACCTACTGGAACTGTAGGAGAAGTTCTTCTCCAGACCCCTTCAGTACTACGTGAGTATCTTCGGGACAGAGAGAAGACAGGCGAGTCAATACTGGAAACCCCTCCACCGTGGGCTCTCAAGCAAGACACGAAATACTTCAACCGCTGCTTTAAGTCCGGGGACTTGTGTCGGTATAACCCCGACGGAACTTTAGAATTCGTTTCACGGAAGGGCTCCCAGGTCAAAATTCGCGGGTTCCGTATCGAACTTGGGGAAGTACAGCATCATATCTTGGCCGTCTTACCTGGAGTACGTCAAGTAGCCGTGGATGTATACAAGGGCGATACTGGCTCTCAGTTGATTGCATATGTTTGCTTCAATGACAAGAGGCTACAGTCGGCTGAGAAATCGCCATTTCTTCCTCTTAGCGAGGAGCTCCAGTTGCTTCTCTCAGCCGCAGTGGGAGAGTTGAGCGTCAGAGTACCTCAGTACATGATCCCTACTCGCTTCATCCCCTGCTTTTATATGCCCATCTTGACATCGGATAAGATAGACATGAGGAAACTTGGTAGACTCACATCCCTTCTTGACCCGGTTGAGATAAGCAGTTATGGTCTCCAGAGCAGCAAGAAGCGCGAGCCAGAGACCTTAATGGAAAAGAAGATTCAGACCATGTGGGCAGACATTTTGAAACTGCCTCTGGATATGATTGGCCTCGACGATAGTTTCATTGGCCTGGGAGGTGACTCTATCCTTGCCATCCACCTTGTGAGGGTGGCAAATCATGCAGGCATTGGACTCACTGTAAATGCTATCTTCAAAGATCCGCGTCTGTCAGTAGTGGCGGCCTCTGCCACAGTATTACATGGCGAAAGCAGTGTCTCCATCGAAGTTGAGCCCTTCAGCCTATTGAAAGAATCGTTGCGTACCAAGGATGGGCAGGAAACGTTGAGACATAGCGTTAGCCTTTTACCTCACCAAGAACTAGAGGATGCGTTTCCTTGTACGCAGTTTCAAGAAGGTGCAATGGCACTATCGGAGAAACAGCCTGGTTCATACATTGCAAAGTTTATCTATAAGTTGAAAGATGGCATTTGTATGAAAAGGTTTACAAATGCCTGGAAGCAAACTGTCCAGCTTTGTGCCAACCTCCGAACCCGAATCGTATTCATCGATGGACTCTGCTTGCAGGTAGTTGTCCGAAATGATAAGCAGCCCGATTTTGCGGAGTTTGGGAGCGTGAAAGAGGCGGTCTATGAGGCTCAGTCTGTAAAGATGACATATGGATCGCCGCTCAGCCACTTTTCTTTGGTGAACGGTGGCCAAGGTAATAGCACGCATTTCATCTGGACAATGCATCATGCGGTTTTCGATGGATGGAGCGCGAAGATAATAATGGACACTCTCCAACGGGCATACTACAAGCAAGAAATTCGAGAACCACAGCCTTTCCCGCGCTTTGTCAAGCATATATTAGACTTGGATGAACAAAAGTCAAACGACTATTGGAGTACGCAGCTTCAAGGAGCCACTAAAGCATCATTCCCCCCGGATCCGGACTCAGGGGGTCGAGACCAATCCTCGCCAACCAAGATTTGGCACCAAAGAATCGAGCTCAAAGAGTCTAAAAGTGGTCAATCCGTCACCAAACCGATCATTCTCCGTGCCGCTTGGTCAATAATCCTCTCGTCTTACTGTGACACTGAGGATATTTGCTTTGGCACTAGCATGGCTGGTCGTCAAGCAGAAGTTCCAGGCTTATTGGACATGGCGGGCCCAGCGTTAGCAACAATGCCGATCCGGGTCGTACTAGATGGAAACCAAAAGGTGTCTGATTTCTTGCGTCAGCTACAAAAGCAGGCTACCGATATGATTCCTTTCGAGCAATTTGGCCTGCGGAATATCTCCAAACTTGAGCGAGTTGAAAAGGACATATGTGACTTCACTAGCTTGCTGGTGATCCAACCTAGACAGCACCTTGACTGGTCTGGCAACAATGAGGGTCACGATTCAGATGCTGTGTTAATCCCTACAAGTGCTCATGGAGGTACAGACGTGGACTTGATGCAGGGTTATTTCGCCTACCCTCTTGTAATCCAGTGTCACGTATATGACGAATTTGTTCAAATGGACATGACGTACAACTCAGGAGTGCTGTCTGAGTTCCAAATTCAGGCTCTCTGTCACAACTTTGAACATGTTACAAAGCAATTGGTCACATCAGATAAAATCCCCCTTTCGGAGGTATCAGTAGCTGGCACCTGGGACGCCCAGCAAGCGGTGAATTTCAATCCCGACAGATCGGAGGCGGTTCTTGCATGTGTTCACGATTTGATTGAACAGCAGGCCATGAAAACACCAGACAAGCCCGCCGTTTCTGCCTGGGATTCAGAATTGAGTTATTCTCAACTCAATAGCGCTGCGAACCGGCTTTCACATGTGCTCGTCACTGAATATGGTGTGAAAACGCATGATCTTGTTCATACCTGCTTTGAGAAATCCGTATGGATGGTTGTTTCTATGCTAGCTATTAACAAGGCTGGTGCCGCATGGGTGCCTCTAGACCCCTCACACCCTTTGCAGCGCCATGAGCAGGTTATTGAAAAAACAAAGGCCAAGCTCGTACTCGCTTCACCATCTAATACTGAGATGTGTCGAAAGCTGCTCTCGTCTGTACTAGAGGTGACGGCCACACTTGACGAACAACTTGCCCAAAGTAGGCCGGGAACTAGTCAGAGAAAGCCAACATCGGCTGTTACTCCCAGAGATCCATGCTACGTCCTGTTCACCTCTGGTAGCACTGGCACTCCCAAAGGTGTTGTTATTGAACACAAAGCAGTGGCTAGTAGTCAAGCGGCAATGACTGGAGCGTTGGGTATGAAGTCGGACGTGCGAATGTTGCAATTTGCATCTTTCGGGTTTGACCTGTGCATTGGCGAGATTTACTGGCCGCTCATACTGGGTGGCTGTGTATGTATTCCATCAGAGCACATGCGAATGAATGCGCTCAAGGAATTTGTCCATGATAGGCAAGTAAACGCAGCCATTATCACACCTACACTTCTAGATTCTTTGAAACCAGAAGATTACCCAAGCCTCAAAATGATTGTAGCAGCTGGTGAAGCTCTTGGGCATGACGTGTTGCAGTCGTGGTTCGGAAATACCCGACTTATCAACGCTTGGGGACCTGCAGAGGCTTGCGTCATCAATACTATTCATGAGTATAAATCGAGCAGAGAGCACCCGTTAACTATCGGGAAGCCGGTGGGATCTCACTGTTGGATTGTTAACCCAAAGAATCTATCACAACTTGCGCCGATTGGTGTTATAGGCGAGGTTGTTATACAAGGACCTACGTTGTTGAGAGAGTACCTAGGAGATCAAGAAAAGTCACAGGAGGTCTTGGTTGAAGAAGTACCTCCATGGGCGATACGAAGAGAACAGCCGGACTGGAACAGATTCTATAGGTCGGGCGACTTGGGATACTATGACCAGGACGGCAATATTGTGTTCTCTAGCCGTCGTGATGCGCAGGTAAAAATTCGTGGCCTTCGAATCGAGTTGGGCGAGGTTGAGCACCGAATTCTCAATGCCTTAGACGGAGCATCTCAGGTTACTGTCAATGTACTCAAGATCGGGGCAACCATGAGGTTGATCTCGCATTTCTGTTTCACCGAGGAGGAGAAGCAAGCAAGTACCGATGCCAAGGATGCAAGCGAGATGTTTCTTCCCATGACCGAGGCGATCAAAAACAAGGTCTCCGGGATGTTGGGTGAGCTGAACGTGACGATGCCACAGTACATGATCCCTGTGCTTTTTATTCCATGTCAATATATGCCAGTCAACAGCTCTGCCAAGCTGGATCGGAAAGCATTAATACGTCTCACCGAGACGTTAGACCCTGATCAGCTCGCGAGTTATTCATTGAGCGAAAGTATCAAACGACCACCAGAGACATCCATGGAGAAGCGATTGCAAAAGTTGTGGGCAAAAAGCCTTAAGATACCTGCAGAGTCTATTGGACGAGATGACAGCTTTCTCAGGATCGGTGGTGATTCTGTTACTGCTATTCATTTTGTTGCCAACGCGCGCCAGGAGGGAATCAATATCGTTTTCAAAGATGTGTTTGATGACCCGAGGCTATGTAAAGTGGCTGAAAAGGCATCAGAGAGTGTAGGCGCTGGAGCTGATGCTGAGACTTCGGTTGAACCATTTAGCTTGATCGACGAGCAGACTCGCGGGAGGCTGACGGCGGATGATTTCCACATGCGGTGCAATCTACCCCTTGATTTGATCATTGAAGACGCCTACCCATGCACAAAACTCCAAGAAGGATTGATGGCTCTCACAATGAAGGTGCCCGGATCGTATGTCGCCAAACACGTGTATAGAATACCGAGCCGTGTTGACACGCTGCAATTCAGAAAAGCGTGGAACCGCACGGTGGAGATATGCACCAACCTTCGAACTAGGATCGTGTTCGTTGATGGGAAATCATTCCAAGTTATTCCCAAAGAATCTCCTTCGTGGGAGGAGGTTGAGGGTTATAATCTCCAATCCTATCTCAAGACACTAAAGCACTTGGATATGGGGTACGGCTCAAGGCTCAGCCGATATGCCTTGATTGAAGAAAGTAACGGCCAACGATATTTTATATCTATCAATCACCACTCCACATTTGATGGATGGAGTTGGGGTTTGGTTATTGACACTCTGAGTACTGCTTATCACAATGCTCGTATACCTGAACGGCAACCATATTCGGCTTTCGTATCGTATGCGTTGAAGGTTGACAAGATCCAGGCTGAGAATTATTGGACCTCACAACTCGAGGGCGCAAGCAGAGCTCAATTCCCTGTCGAACAAAAAGTGAAGAGCTCAAGTCGGGACACAGGGTCCTTTGACTGCAGCATCCAAATGGGCATCGAAACAAAATCTTCTATTACGAAGGCTACAATCTTGCGAGCAGCATGGGCCATTCTTCTCGCCCGATATAGTGATACCGATGATATATGCTTCGGTGTTACTGTCTCTGGCCGAAATGCCTCTGTACCTGGATTGGAATCCATGGTTGGTCCTGTCTTGGCTACTGTTCCAGTCCGGATCATTCTGGATAAGAGACAGAAGGTGTCAAGCTTTTTGCGCAAAATCCAGGATCAAGCATCCGAGATGGTAGCCTTTGAACAGTACGGACTTGCGGAGATATCTCGAATTCGCCCTTCATTTAAACAAGCATGCGATTTTACCAGCTTGTTTGTTGTCCAATCTCAACAGCCTGGCGATGGTTTGACTGATGCAGTCGTAGAAGTGTTTGATGAAGGAAAAGAACTTACAATGGACATGTTGCAGGATTATTTCAACTACCCTCTGGTGACTCAATGTTCACTAGCAGGGGATCATGCTGATCTCACATTCGTATACGATCGGAACTCATTGACTGAGTCACAGCTTGGTACGATGTCTCGCCACTTTGGCCATATTGTTGACCAGCTCCAGCAAGCAAACGGCAACACTCTTCAATCGGTATCTGTGTCAGGATCTTGGGATTTGGAATACGCTGTGGCACTGAACAAAGACAAAGTTCAGTTCCATGCCGATTGTATTCATCATATGATAACCGATAAAGCCATGGTGCAGCCTGATCACGAAGCTATCTACACAACTGAAGAGTCAATGTCATACGCTATGCTGGAAAACCTGACATCATCCTTAGCAATATACCTTCAGAGCCTAGGTATTAGAAGAGGAAGCGTTGTTGCGTTGTGCACTCAACGATCTATTCTGGGGATAGTGGCCATGTTGGCTATATTCAAAGCAGGCGGTGCCTTTCTACCTTTAGACCCAGCCCACCCTGAAAGCCGCCGAGAGGCGTTGGTCAAGGAAGTAAATGCTTCGATTGTTATAGTATCTCCGGAAACCTTCAATGCTTGTCAAAAAATAGGTTCCACTGCTACGATCTTGAACCTTTCGAAGTCCTTCGTCTCGAAACTCTCAGAACAGAAACAACAAAATCAGGAAAAGTCAATGCCACCTTCTCCAAGTGACTTGGCATATATCTTGTTTACCTCGGGCTCTACCGGCAAACCAAAGGGGATTATGATCAGTCATTCGGCTCTTTGTACATCCATGCATGGACTGGCCGGGTTCATAGATCCCCACCCAAACACTAGATGGTTACAATTCTCAACTTACACTTTTGATGCATGCATTATGGAGATCTTTTTGACACTTGCATACGGCGGAACAGTCTGTGTACCCAGCGATGATGAGCGTCTACAGGGTGCTCCCAAGTTTATGACAGAGGCACGTGTGACAGGAGCAGTTCTTACACCCTCTTTTGTAAGGACTCTCACACCTGAACAAGTACCACTGCTCGAAGTCCTGGTTTTAGCCGGGGAGGCTCCTGCACAAAATGTTCTTGATCTTTGGTTCGGAAAATTGAGACTGCTCAATGCATATGGGCCTACAGAAATCTGCGTCATCTGCTGCATGTACTCCTACAAATCAGTCTTGGACTCTCCTCTTATAATTGGCGGTTCCACGAATAGCGCTTGCTGGATTGTTGAGCCGGATAACCACAACCAGCTCACACCTATTGGATGTGTTGGTGAGCTGATTATTCAAGGAAACACCCTAGCACAAGGTTATTTAAATGACCCGGCTAAGACGGAAATGTGCTTTGTCCAAGATCTCGGTTTCTCGGAATACTGTAATGTCTCAACACGCAACAGATTCTACACGACAGGCGATCTTGTTCGATATACTGCTGAAGGCGAGATCGAATACTGTGGCAGAAAGGACAACCAGATTAAGCTTCGAGGTCAGAGAATCGAACTTGGAGAGATTGAGCATAACGTCAAAACTCTCTTACATGAGGCTGAGAATGTTGCTGTCGATGTTGTTCGCCAACCGTCTGGTGGGGAAGCGTTGATTGCATTTGTCAATTTTGCCGGGACATTGGAGAACGGAAAGCCCACAGAGTATATCGAAGAATCATCGGAATTTCTATTGTTTCCAGATGAGAAAATGGCTCAGCGCCTGAAGGAAGTAGTCCAAAAGTTGAGGAACGTGTTGCCTGGCTACATGATACCAAGCATGATTGTGCCACTCAAGAAGATGCTTTTTATCTCTTCGATGAAGATCGATAGAAGAGGACTAAGATCGATTGGCGAGAACCTCTTGCCAAAGGAGAGGGATGCATTTTCACACGAGAATCAAGATGTGACGGAGCCTTCGACGAGTATGGAGCTTAAGTTAAGAGAACTCTGGGCTCAGGTTCTGAAGCTGCCTTCTGATCATATAGGGAAGTATGACGATTTTCTCCGAGTTGGAGGCGACTCAATTACCATTATTCATTTGGTATCCTTGGCTCGTGAAAACGGAATTACAATCGACATGAACACCGCTTTTGGAAACTCACGCCTTGACGCAATGGCCGCCTCAGCAAGCACCTCATCGATGGATGATGGAAACTCACTTTTCATGCCCGAGCCATTTAGTTTGTTAGCTTTAGATGAAAAGTCTGAAGCGATACATCAAGCAAGTCTGCAGTGCAGTATTTTGACCGAGCAGGATATAGAGGATATTTACCCCTGTACCACCCTCCAGGAAGGCCTCATTACTTTGGCAGCAACGCATCCTGGTTCATATATCGCGAGACATGTTTTCTATCTCCCTGACAGTGTGGATTTAACTCGCTTCAAATCGGCGTGGGATAGGACAGTCTCTGAATGTCAGATCCTCAGAACACGTATAATACTGTTGGGTAAAAGGGCTGTTCAAGTTGTCTTTCGCAACGAGACGTCTTGGGACACGCCTGATGAGGATGGCATCAAATCTCTCCAACATAATATGCAGAATATGCAAATGGGTTATGGGGATAGACTTTGCCGATACAGCCTTATCGAGGATGCCGGAAAGCAGGCATTTGTCTGGACCATACACCATGCAGTCTTCGACGGATGGTCAATGCGTATCATTCTCTCACTGCTGAACCAGTATTACCATGGGCTTGGCACACCGGAGCAGCCACCATATGGAGGATTCATCAAGTACACTCAGGATCTCGACCTAGATGCCTCGTCTCAATACTGGAGAACACAGCTGGAGGGAGCTCAGAGGGCTACATTCCCCCAGAACCCTCTCAACAAAGTTGAAAAGGCCATCAAGATATTCAAAAGGTCGATCAACTTTGCTTCGACTGATATGTCTACAACTAGAGCGTCTGTGCTTCGCGCTGCGTGGGCGTACGTGCTAGCCAGATACTGTAATACAGACGATGTTTGCTTCGGGACAACAGTTTCAGGACGTCAGGCACCAGTTCCTGGCGTTGTCAGCATTGCCGGTCCTACTCTCGCTACAGTGCCCGTCAGAGTTAGAATCGATCAAAATTTTACCATCTCGGAGTTTCTCGAGAGCACACAGACTCAAATCTTGGAGATGGTTCCATTTGAGCAATATGGCCTGCAAAATATCTCCAAGACTAGTCCGGACGCAAAGGAAGCCTGTGACTTTGGTAGCCTGTTCGTTGTGCAGCCTATGCAGCACTTGACTACTACTGATGGCCCTCAGCCTGTCATTGCGCTCAATTCGAGCAACTCTAATGACGAGGAAATGATGGAGAGTTTTTTCAACTACCCTCTCGTCGTTCAAGTACATCTTTACCAAGAATCGATTGATCTCGTGATGTGCTACAACCCTCATGTATTGGCAGAACATCGACTTGAGGCCATGTGCCACCATTTTGGACATGTCCTGCAGCAGTTTTCGTCAATGCCAGATGCTAAACTTGAATCCGTGTCTATTTCTGGTGAATGGGACTTGAAACAAGCGTACGAAGCCAATTCACACTACGAGCCAGAGGTCGTCGACAGCTGCCCACACATTCTCATCGGTAACCACGCACGACAAGACCCAACTGCGATGGCTATCTGCGCCTGGGATGGAACATTCACATACCGGGAGCTGGAACAAGAGACCGACAGACTAGCTAATTACCTGTTCAAAGAGTTGTCGATAACACGTGGCGACTTGGTCGCGTTGTGTTTCGAAAAGTCGGCATGGTACACTATTGCAGCCATCGCGGTCAACAAGACAGGGGCTGCATGGGTGGCTCTGGACCCGGCACACCCTCCACAACGTCTGCAACAGATTGCTCAGCAAGCTAAATTCAAGCTCGTAATTTCTGCTCCAGCTACTGCCGGGGTATCGGCTTGTGTTTCACAGAAATCTCTCCAAATCGACCGCGCGTTTTCTCAGCGTTTGCAGAGAGGAAAGTCTGGCCAAAATAGGCCTGCTCTGGCAGTCTCGCCGCGTGATCTCATGTATGTCCTCTTCACATCTGGAAGTACGGGTACGCCAAAAGGAGTGGCAATCCAGCATGGTGCGGTCTGCTGTAGCATGAGAGCTCTCGGTGACCGGATCGGACTTTCGAATACGACGAAGTACCTCCAATTCAGTTCGCATGTATTTGACCAATCTATTATGGAGATTTTCGGTGTTCTTATACACGGCGGGTGCGTGTATGTGCCCTCGGAACACGACCGAATGAATAACCTTGCGACCTACATTCATGAGTCTTCTATTAACTCGATGATTCTTCCCCCTTCACTGGCACGCACGATCAAGCCCGATGAGGTTCCGTCGATCAGTACGATCCTTATTGGCGGCGAGGCTGGCGGTCGAGAGGTATTTCAGCAATGGTACGGGAGTGCTCGGGTTTTCAACGCGTGGGGTCCTACAGAGGCCTGTGTCGCTGCAGCAGCACATGAATGGAAATCTATCGAGGACTCCAATCTAACACTTGGCCGCCCAATCGGTGGATATTGCTGGATCGTGGAGTCAAATAATCCAAAGAAGCTTGCTCCAGTGGGGTGCTTAGGCGAAATCGCCATTCAAAGTCCCACACTTCTGAAGGAATATCTCTTAGATGAAGAGAAAACGAGGGAGGCCGTGGTGACTGATATGCCTGATTGGGCACCAAATCGCGAGTCTCCATATTGGAATAGGATGTACCGAACCGGAGACTTGGGCTTCCTGAATTCTGATGGTACCGTGGAATACGCGGGTCGGAAGGATGCTCAAACAAAGATTCGTGGTCTGCGGATAGAACTGGGAGATATCGAATACCACGTTCAGGCCGCTCTGGATGGCAGCTACCATGTTGCTGTAGACTCTCTGTTGAGAGATGGGGTAACTAGCTTGGTATGCTATTTCTGCCCTCGAAGTCAGAAACAAGTTCCAAGTGGTAGAAAGGATCCTCATACGGAGGCGCTCTTTTCCAACTTGACCCAGGAGTTGCGAATGATATTGGCATCTCTCGTCGAAAAGCTAAGTGACACGCTGCCCCCTTACATGATACCAACCATATTTATACCATGCAATCATATGCCGCTCCTTGTATCTGGAAAGTTAAACAAGAAGATCCTAAAGGAGACTACGAAAACGCTGAACCGGGAACAATTGAACAGTTACTCGCTTCTCGATGCAGAGAAGCAGGCCCCAGAGACCTCAATGGAAATCACTATGCAAAAGCTGTGGGCAAAGATTCTTAACATAAACGAAGAATCAATTGGACGTGGTGATAGCTTTATGGGAATTGGAGGCGATTCGATTGCTGCAATCCAAGTTGTCAAAGCTGCCCGCGACGAAGGAATCAAGATCACCGTCAAGGATATTTTCGCCGATCCCCGTTTATGGCGTGTTGCAGAAACTGCCAAGTCTTTGAACCCTGATCAGGCTGTGCAGTCTATCTCACCGTTCTCAATGCTTGATCCGTCTATTTCGGAACAGATAAATGCTGGCAGCGTGTCAGAGGAATGCGATCTGGATGTACACCAAGTGATTGAGGATGCCTATCCATGTACAGCCCTCCAAGTTGGACTTATCGCACTTTCGGCCAAACAACCTGGCTCGTACATTGCCAACTTCGTCTATAAGCTATCAAGACATATTGACCTACCTAGATTCAAGGATTCTTGGATGAGGACACTCGAAGCTTGTCCTATTCTTCGCACGCGTATCATCAATTCGAGTGGTCTGCATACTCAGTTGGTTATCAAGAATGACACATTTTGGGATGATTCAACTGGAGATTTAAGGTTATCAGATGCTCTAAAGAGGGCCTATAACCTCCAAATGACATATGGAACACCCCTCTGCCACTACACACTTTCCCGAGACGACGGGGGCGACTACCACTTCGTGGCATCCATTCATCACGCGATCCAGGACGGGTGGACGATTCGGTTGGTCATGAACACATTGCTCAGCATATATTCCAGCACAGAGGTTTCACCATTGGTGCCATATGCTTGTTTCATTCAGCATACAGCCAGCATGAGTATAGATGCAGCTAGGAGCTACTGGGCAACTCACCTCCAAGGTGTCAAGCCGGCCTTGTTCCCTGCCGTTAAGCACGGAAAGCATGAGAATAGGGGCGCGGTTCGCGTGTTGAAGCAATCCCTCAGCCTTCATGAATCAGTGCATAATCGCGTCACAACTGCCACGGTGTTGCGTGCTGCCTGGGCTGTGGTGCTTGCAAAGTATTGCGATACTCAGGATATCTGCTTTGGCGCAACCATATCCGGTCGTCAAGCACCTGTTGATGGGATTGAATCTATGCCCGGACCTATCATTGCAACGGTGCCCATAAGGATTCAACTGGATACTAAACAGTCCGTTGAAACTTATCTTCAGGGTGTTCAGGCCCAGGCGTCAGAAATGGTGAGCTATGAACAGTTTGGTCTCCAAAATATTTCCAAGATCGGACCCGATGCCATGGATGCTTGCAAATTTTCCAGTCTCTTTGTTGTACAGCCAGCCAGCTTTCTTGCCTCGAGAACGAGAGAAGATTTACTGGTTCCGAGGTCTGGCGAAGACGAGTTGGCGGAGGATATATTGCAGGGCTACTTTAATTACCCTCTAGTGATCCAATGTCATGTTCACGCTGAGAACGTTGAGCTTCATGTTATTTACAACGCTGAGCATCTTTCTGAGCTCCAGGCTACTGCAATCTACCACCAATACGACAATGTGGTCCGCCAACTTCTTACGAGAAGAGAAAGCCTGTTAGAAGATGTATCACTTGCTGGTTCATGGGATCTGGAAAAGGCTATCTCTTGGAATACAGAGAATCCCGAGATAATGAACACCTGCTTCCATACGTTAGTCGAAAGTCAAGCATCAACAAGCCCAGCGGCACCCGCAATTTGTGCGTGGGATGGGAATTTTACCTACATGGAACTCAACCAGGCCGCCAATCGTCTTGCTCACAAGCTTGGTAGGATTGGGGTCAAGCCACAAGACTTGGTTCATGTTTGCTTCGACAAATCTGCATGGCATTTTGTTTCAATCCTTGCTATTAACAAAGCAGGCGCTGCTTGGGTGCCGCTCGAGCCATCACATCCTGTTGAACGTCAAAAGCAAGTCGTATCGCAGACCAAGGCGACTGTGGTTCTCTGCTCACTTTCAAACGCCTCAATGTGCGAGGCTATTTTACCGAACGTGATAAAAGTAGATAAAGCTTTGGATGAACAGCTTCAGGGCTCTGGATTTCCGGACTCATCACCTGCAATTACAGTATCCCCCAGATCCGCAATGTACGTGCTGTTTACTTCGGGAAGCACCGGGACACCAAAGGGCTTTGTCATGGAGCACGCTGCTGTCTGCACCAGTCAGACTGCTGTTGCACAGAGGATAGGCATCACTAACAGTGAAAGGGTCTTGCAGTTTGGTGCATTTGTCTTCGATATCACTATTGGTGAAATTGTATTGACACTGATATCTGGAGCCAGCATCTTCGTTCCATCGGAACACGACAGGATGAATAACCTTCCGGAATTTGTTAAAATTAATAGCATTAATTGGGCTTGGTTAACGCCATCATTCATCCGCACCATTACCCCCGAGGAGGTTCCCAGTCTGGAACTTGTTGCTCTTGCCGGAGAGGCTGTTGGCAGGGATATTCTTGACGCCTGGTTTGGGAAAGTCAGGCTACTCAATGGATGGGGTCCAGCGGAGACATGCGTGGTCAGTACACTCCACGAATGGACTGACCTCAAAGAATCACCACTCACGATTGGGCGTCCTATCGGTGGTTTCTGCTGGATAGTGAATCCGGAGGACCCTTCCAAACTGGCCCCTATTGGAACCGTTGGAGAGGTCGTTATACAAGGCCCGACGTTGCTACGCGAGTATCTTAGGGATCAAGAGAAAACAGATGCAAGCATGGTGCAACCGCTTCCTTCGTGGGCGCCTCGACGAACTGTCACTGGGTGGAATCGTGCCTATAAATCTGGAGATCTATGCTCTTATAATTCTGATGGAACGTTGGAGTTTGTTAGTAGGAAGGATACTCAGATCAAGATCAGAGGTCTCAGAGTGGAACTTGGAGAAGTCGAGAGTCAAATCAGACAAGGGCTTCACGACCTTCGTCATGTCGTGGTTGACAGCGTCGAAGTAGCAACTCGCACAAATCTAGTGGCGTACCTGTCATTCACTGACCGGGTTATGTCCGGTTCTTTTCAAGCACAGGATATTTTTGAGTGCTCCTCAGAAGAGAACCAGTCTCGGATTATCGAGTTGGTAGGAAGGCTGAGCGCCAAGTTACCACGCTATATGATCCCGACCTATTTCATATACTGCCGATTTATGCCATCAATCACTTCGACGAAGTTGGATCGGAAAAAGCTGAAAGAGATAACAATAGCTCTTGATGCAAATGAATTGGCCAAATACTCACGCGTCGAAAGTAAGAAGCGTGCACCGGAAACGCGAATGGAGAGGCAGCTTCAAAAGCTCTGGGCCGACATCTTGAAACTTCCGGTTGATTCAATCGGACGAGACGATAATTTCCTACAAATAGGAGGTGATTCCATAGCGGCTATTTCACTGGTTACCTCTGCACGCAACTCCGGAATATCATTGACAATCAAGGACATATTCGACAACCCGACTCTCCTTGCTGTGGCAGAGAATGCGGTTGAATCTACGGACATGCCGTCTGAAGAGCAGCCGCTATCGCCTTTTGATCTGATCGAACCTCATATCCGAGAGAGAATCAATAACCCAGAAATGAGACGAAAATGGCAGCTTTCCCAGACCCAGCTTATAGAGGATGTTTTTCCTTGTTCCTCCATGCAAGAAGGTCTGATGTCCCTAACAGAAAAACAGCCTGGCTCTTACATCGCCAAATACGTGTTCCGAATCCACGACCATGTTGGTCTAGCCCGGTTTAAACATTGTTGGAATACAACAGCACAGATGTGCACCAATATGCGGTCTAGAATCGTATTCGTTCAGCGGAAATCATATCAACTAGTTGTCAAAGAAGAGATGGAATGGGAACATGTCACCGCAGCCAATCCAGCTGCATATATGAACCGGCCCACCACTACTACAATGGGATATGGAACTCGTCTTTCTTTGAACACTGTTGTGTCTTGTGCAGATGGCAAAGATTACATAGTGTGGACGACACATCACGCAATGTATGATGGCTGGGCCTTGAAGATAATTTTTGCCACCCTTCACCAGGTGTTTCAGGAAGAGACATTGACAGCCCTGCACCCGTATTCAAATTTCATCAAGTATTCAATGGATCTGGATATGGAAAAGGCTGGAGAGTACTGGAAGAAGGCGCTTGTTGGAGCAAGGAAGGCATCTTTTCCTCCTCCCCTGGACGAATGTTACTCCACGGGTGAAGACCATCTTCCACGAACACACAATAAACATGTAGATTTGAAGGGCTCTATACACAGCTCAGTTACTAAAGCATCAGTAATGAGAGCTGCTTGGGCTGTGGTGCTTGCACGTTATTGCGAAAGCCACGATATTGTGTTCGGGGCTACTGTGTCTGGCCGTCAAGCCCCCATTCCAGGAGTTGAGACCATGCCTGGTCCATTAATAACCACAGTACCAGTAAGAGTTACGCTTGATCAAAATCAATCTGTGGGAACCTATCTTCGAGCGATTCAAAGTCAAGCTCTGGAGATGGTGCCATACGAGCAAATCGGGTTACGAAAGATCTCGCTTTTGCATCCCGATGCCAGAACTGCGGCAGACTTCAGTAGTCTGTTCGTGGTGCAGCCAACAGCCAAGGCTAGCGACCTTGAAACAGGAGGCCATTCTGTTCTCTTGGCCGGAGAGACAGAAAGAAAACTGACGCAGGATGCAATGGGCAATTACTTCAACTATCCTCTTGTTCTTGTTAGTAACATGTTCGAGGATAGCGCCGATCAAGTATTTTACTACGATGCTCGAGTCATCTCCGATGCGCGGATTATTGCAATCTCAAATCACTTCGACCACGTAGTCCAACAATTATTACACCTGGATGAAGAACCATTGAGTAGCATCTCACTTGTGGGAGAATGGGACAAACGACACGCCATCGAGTCACAAAGGCTTGCAGAGCCAACAAAGGCATGTACACACTGGCTTATTCAGGAACATATCAAAGCCCGGCCGTTGGACCCTGCTATCGTTTCCTGGGATCGCAATCTTACCTATCACGAACTAGGAATATTTGCCTCTCGTCTGGCTGTGAAGTTACAGGAACTTGGCGTGGTACCGGAAGTCCTTGTCCCCGTTTGCTTTCCCAAGTCCACTTGGGCTGTGGTTGCGATGGTAGCTGTCCAAATGGCTGGAGGTGCCTTTGTTCCCCTGGACTCAGCAGCTCCATCTGATCGCCTTAGGTCCATCCTTGAAGACTCAAAAGCCGGATTGGTTCTTTGCTCTTTGGAAACAAAAGAAACCATTCAAAGCACTGGACTCGATATCAACACCCTAGTCGTGAGTGAGGAGGAATTACTTGAGCTTTCCGACCCTCCACACCCAGTGGCATCTTCCGTCAGCTATGAGAATGCTAGTTTTGTTATCTTCACTTCAGGTTCTACAGGCCGACCAAAGGGCATGTTAATACAACATGACCAAGTGTGTACATCTTTCGACGCCTATGGGGTTGAGCTTGGACTGGGGCCTGGAACTCGCGTTTTCCAATTCTGTGCCTTTACGTTTGATTTAGGCATCTTCGACGTGTTGGGCACTCTGAGCAAAGGTGCCTGCATATGTATGCCATCTGACCACCAGCGTCTCAACGACCTCGCTGCGACAATCAGATCTACGGAGGCTAATTGGTTGTTTTGCACGCCTACGGTAGTAAATCTTCTGCATCCGTCTGAAGTCCCAACCTTAAAAACCATCGGCCTGGGAGGCGAGGCTATCACTAAGCAAGTATCGGATCGCTGGAAGGATTACGTGCAACTGAATGGTTTGTACGGCCCAGCTGAGGCATCATCTTGCGCCAGAAACCTCGATGTAGGAAGAGACGATCGACCAACGAACATCGGTGTGCCAATGTCGAGTGCATTTTGGGTTGTTGAACCTCAAGATACAAAGAAGTTAGTGCCTGTGGGCTGTATCGGCGAGCTCCTTATCCAAGGACCTATGCTCGCCCGAGGGTATATCAACGTTACCCCCGAGCAGAATGCAGCCTGGATGGAAGACGTTAACTGGCTCCCAGGGGACATGTCCCGCCGAAGAGCGTATCGAACAGGAGATTTGGTGCGCCGAAACGCAGATGGAACATACGAGTACATCGGCCGAATGGATTCACAGGTCAAGATCCATGGACAGAGAGTGGAACTGGGTGAAATTGAAGCAAGAATCTACCAACACTTACCAAACAACATGAGTGCGATGGTTGAAGTCCTCAAATCAGATAAGAGTACATCGACTGATACCTTGCTTGCTTTCATGTGGTATAATGATGTGACGGACGTGAGGTCTCGTGGCGCCGTCAAGTTGATAGGGTCCGTTTCCTCAGACATCAGGTTGCTGATCTCATCAATCAACAGCTCTCTTGAAGCAGTACTTCCGTTGTACATGATTCCCTCAACCTACCTTATCTTTCAAGGGCATCCAGAGATGTCGGTCTCTGGCAAAGTAAATCGCAAAGCTCTCGTTGCCCACGCCACTGGGCTGACTACACAGGATCGTCTTCGATTTGCCCCCGAGGCGACTAAGCACGAACCCCCAACTACGGCTATGGAATTAAAGCTGAGAAGCCTATGGGCTCAAGTTTTGGATATAACTCCAAAGGACATCGGCAAGTACGACAGCTTTTTGAGAGTTGGCGGTGACTCAGTTACGGCTATTCAACTAGTTTCTACCGCACGATCACAAGGCATAACTCTGCAAGTCAGCGCCATCTTCCACGACCCTAGACTATGTGCCATGGCAGAAGCTGCTACAGAAATTGGCTTTGCTTCTGATACCGAGATTCTTCCATTCAACATGCTGGAAGGCCTCTCTATGGATACAGCAGGCATGGTAACAGAGATTCGAAGAAGGTGTAACCTAAAGGATGATGCTGTGATTGAGGATGCTTTCCCTTGCACAAAACTTCAAGAAGGCCTCTTGTCTTTGACCTCAAAACATCCTGGCTCTTACATCGTCAACAAAGTATACAGATTACCGGAAAGTACCGATGTTTCCAGGTTCAAGACTGCTTGGGAGACAACTGTGGACTTGTGTGGTATCTTGCGAACAAGGATTGTTGTGTTCAAAGAATCTGCCATCCAGGCCGTCTTCAAGAGTCTCGACTGCTGGAGCGTTACCAAAGACATGGACTTAGAACAATACCTCTCTAATATCGAGCTTGTGAATAGAGACTTGGGATACGGAACACCTCTCTCAAGGGCAGCCCTCGTCCAAGACGTTCGGGGTACGAACTATTTTGTATGGACCGTGCACCATTCCGTTTTTGACGGTTGGACCACGCAAATCATCATGAACACTCTCTCACAAGCTTATATGGGCATGCCACTCCCCAAATTGCAGCCCTATTCCCGATTTATCAAATATATCACAGACCTCGACGCAACTGAAGCGAGTAGCTACTGGGCCCAGGAGTTGTTCCAAGCAAAGCGAGCATCCTTCCCAGTACCTACCACTCTGATTGGTGAACCTGCTCACCAAGACGAGAGCAAGGTATTCCAGTATAAGATGGCCTTTCCTGGCTCAACAGGTACATCTATCACCAGAGCAACAATTCTGCGCGCAGCATGGGCTATTCTGCTCTCCAAATATTGCGATGATAACGATATCTGTTTTGGAACAACGGTGTCAGGTCGCCATGCACCTGTTAGCGGTTTAGAGTGCACACCTGGCCCTATATTAGCTACAGTCCCCGTTCGGGTACGATTAGAGCCAGGGAGGACAGTTCCCGGATTGTTGGATGATATGCAAACGCAAGCATCTGAGATGGTGCCATACGAGCAGTTCGGACTTCAGAATATCTCTAAGCTTGGACCTGATGCCAAGGAAGCCTGTGACTTTTCCAGCCTCATCGTAGTACAGTCAAGCCGTCACTCTAAGGCGAGTGAGGATGGATCACTGTTGGTTCCACGAGATGATGACGCAGCTATGACAGAGAAGCAGCTTCAGAACTATTTCAGCTACCCGCTTGTGTCAGAGTGCTTTCTGAACGATGACCATATTCAACTGATCTACGTCTATAAAACCAATTACTTGACTGAAACGCAGATGGTGGCCCTAGCACACCATTACGAACGCATTGTTCAGCAGCTTCTCCTCCAAGATGACACCCAAGTCGGTGATTTGGACATTGCAGGAGAATGGGATTTGATGAAAGCTATGGAATATAATTCTGTGGAGAGTAATACTATAAATATTGTTAATTCCTGCCTGCACCATCTTTTCGAGGCGCAGGTGAAACGCCAACCTCACAAGGTGGCCTTACGGGCTTGGGATGGTGACTTTACTTATCGCCAACTTGACGAGGCTGCCAACCGGCTCGCCAATCATCTGTTTTCAGACTTGAAGGTACAGATAGAAGACTTTGTCCTTGTTTGTTTCGAAAAGTCAGCATGGTACCTCGTGGCAATACTGGCAGTCAATAAAGCAGGCGGGGCGTGGGTGCCTCTTGATCCATCACAGCCCACCACCCGACATCAGTCAGCCGCTACCCAGACCCAAGCTAGGATAGCTTTGGCATCTGCTAGCTGTTTTGAACATTGCAAGACACTCGTTGAAACCGTGGTTGAGGTATCCGAGTCAAGCGACCTGTCACTCCAGAATCGTGGTTTCGATGGGATCAAGGCTCCACGCTGTGATGTCCAGCCTCATCATGCTGCCTTTGTTCTTTTCACTTCTGGTAGCACCGGCACACCAAAAGGTATTGTGAACGAACATAGAGCGGTTTGCACTAGCGAGGTGGAAACTATAAAAAGGTTCGGCCTTCACTCAGAACTTGTGGTGCTTCAGTTTGCATCTTTTGTTTTCGATCTACACATCACGGAATCTCTCACCTCTTTCCTAGCAGGAGCATCGGTGTGTATGCCGGCGGAGGAGACTCGGCTGAACAGCTTGCCTAGCTATATAAATGAAATGGGGGTTACGTGGGCTTACATGACGCCGTCACTGGCCAGGACAATACGGCCAGAGGTTGTTCCTGGCCTCAAGACCTTATCTTTCGGCGGCGAAGCTGTCAGCCCAGATGTGTTTAATCAATGGTTTGGCAAGGTCCAGCTGTTCAATGGTTGGGGCCCCGCGGAGGCCATCGTGCATAGCACGATCCACGAATGGAAATCATGCAATGAGTCCTCAATGACTATTGGATATCCTGTTGGCTGCAATGCTTGGATTGTTGATCCAAATGATGCAAAGAAGCTCTCCCCAATCGGCTGTCTGGGAGAGATTATCTTACAAGGACCAACACTCCTCCGAGAATACCTGGCGGACCCTGATAAAACTAGGTCCTTGCTTCTTACTGACCTTCCAACATGGGTCCCGAGATATAATGAGCCCGGATGGTCAAGATTCTATAAGACGGGAGACTTGGGATTTTACAACCCAGACGGATCTATCAAATTCTCCTCCAGAAAAGACACACAAGTCAAGATTCGAGGCCAGCGTATCGAACTTGGTGAGATTGAAAACAGTATCTTGAGTAGCTTGGAAGGAATCCGGCAGGTTGCGGTGGACATTCTTCAGACCGAGAGAAACAAAAGCTTGGTAGCATTCTTTTGTTTCAACGACGACTCTCGAGTCCCACTCGACAAAGAGGATCAGGATATCTTCCTCAACCATACTGACGACACCCATGCTCGCCTTCTCGCTATGAGGGGCAAAATCGCGACGTCTTTACCAAAATACATGATTCCTACGTTTTATATCATGTGTAGTTATATGCCGCTGGTCACTTCTGGAAAGATGGATCGCAAAACTCTCAAGGCGTTGACTGCAAATCTTTCTCAGGAGAAACTCGCCACATATACCCTTGTCGATGCCGATAAGCAGGCACCGGAAACTGAGATGGAAAAGAAACTACAACTGATATGGGCGGAAATACTGAATATACCAATGGATAGTATTGGTCGCGATGATAGCTTCCTGCAAATCGGCGGTGATTCTATCGCCGCCATCACTCTTGTAGGGGCCGCCAGTGAAGAGGGCATCGAATTCACCGTAAAAGATGTTTTCAACGATCCAAGGCTGTCCGCGATTGCCTCCAAAGCGATCGAATTGCCCAACGCTGGGGATGGCGTCCATGATGCCGACTATCAGCCCTTTAGCCTTCTTGACCCAACCCTCCCCGACTTGGTGACGATGGTTAAGAATCACGCTTCAGAAAATTTCGAATTAGAGCCTGGGCAGACAATCGAAGATGCCTATCCATGCACTGGCTTCCAAGAAGGCCTAATGGCTCTCTCGGTCAAACAGCCTGGTTCCTATATAACGCATCATACATATCGACTTGGAGAAAATGTAGACGTCGACCGCTTCCGTGCTGCATGGGAGCAAACAGTGCAAGCATGCACTAGTTTGCGCACCAAGATATTTAAGCTTTCAGGAGTTGCAATACAAGCTATCACTAGAGGTCCCATAAGATGGGAATCTGAATATGTTGGCATGAACCTCAAGTTGACCCTAGAAGGACTACGCACTACAGAGATGACATTTGGGTCGGAATTGAACGTCTTCGCATTGGTTCAGGATCCCGTTGAAGGATGGCATTTCGTCTGGCTAGCTCATCACGCAGCTCATGATGGCTGGACGGCTCGAATTGTCATGGCCACTTTACATCAAGCTTATCAAGGCTTCGAGCTACCGCCAATCCCTCAGTATGCGAGGTTTATCAAGTTTGTATTGGACCTTGACCCAGAGAGCGCCGCTGAATACTGGGGGAAACAACTTCAAGGGGCTCACCGTGCCGTGTTCCCACCACAATTATCAACCAAGGCACTGTACGGCAGTACCAAAACCCTGGTCAGGTCTATTGATGTTTGCACCACTTCCAAGAGCCCAATAACAATGGCCACAATCCTCCATGCAACGTGGGCCTTTGTTCTCGCAAGATACTGTGACGTAGACGACGTCTGCTTTGGTGTCTCAACATCCGGGAGACAGGCGCCTGTCAGTGGATTACCGCATATGACTGGCCCGGTTGTTACAACTGTTCCCTTGAGGGTCCTTATTGATCCCGAACAATCTGTGCTGGGCTTTTTGCACACTGTTCAAGATATTGCCACTGAAATGGGCACATATGAGCAATTCGGGCTTCAAAACATACAAAAGATAAGTCAGGATACCAAGGAAGCTTGCAATTTCAATAGCTTGTTGGTAGTCCAACCAGTTCAGCACTTGGTTGGAGGGGTGATGGACTCTGATGGGCTGATCTCCCCTGTGGAGGCCCAAGGTGAGGAAGACTTACAAAACTTCTTCAACTACCCCCTCGTCATTCAAGGTCACATGTTCGATGATCATACAGACTTGTACCTTGTCTACAATACAGATTGTGTATCCAAGTCTAAAATGGAAGCGCTGGCTATCCACTTCGAGGAGGTTGCCAAACAGCTTTCAAAACTTGGCTCGACTCCTCTGGGCGATATTTCTCTAGCGGGAGACTGGGATCTAAAACAATCTCTCTCTTTCAACCAAGACGAACCAGTGATAGTTGAGAGCTGCGTTCATGACTTGATTGAAAGCAAGGCCCATGATTTTAGTGAGAGACAGGCCATCGATGCATGGGACGGTTCTTTCACCTATGCTCAGCTCCAAGAATCAGTTGATATGCTCTATATGCACCTTGTCAATGATTTGAATGTGAATGAGGGTGATCTAGTCTTGGCGTGCTTTGAGAAATCGGCTTGGTATATCGTGTCTATCCTTGCTATAAACAAAGCAGGAGCAGCATGGGTTCCAATTGATTCCTCTCATCCTGTCCAGCGACTCAAGAATATCGCCGAGCAAACAAGAGCAAAGCTCGCTCTCACGTCGCCAGCTAATGAAAAGCTGTGCGCCAGCCTGGTAGACAACGTGATCTCGATAACTTCAGAACTCAATGAAACACTGACACAGCATTCAAAACATAAGCTGCGTGCGTCTACCGTGTCAACTCGGTCTGCTGCATATGTTCTTTTCACCTCTGGCAGCACGGGTGTGCCAAAAGGTGTCATCATTGAGCATGTCTCGCTTTGCACGAATCTTCTTGCAATGGCTAAAAGGTTGAAAATCACACCTGATGTGAGGATGTTGCAATTCTCATCCTTTGCGTTCGATTTCAGTGTGGTGGAGATTTTTGTATCCCTGATTTCCGGCGCTTGTGTCTGTGTGCCTTCCGCCCATGATCGGATGAACAATCTCAAACGATTCGTTGCTCAAAAGAAAATCACTTGGATGTGTCAGACGCCCGCGGTTGCCAGAACTTTGAAGCCAGACGATTTTCCAAGTCTGAGGCTACTGCTACTTGGTGGTGAGGCAGTTAGCCAGGAGATTGTCGCTTCATGGACTGGAAAGGTTCGCCTATTGAATGCATGGGGGCCTACCGAGACTACCGTTATGGGCTCGATGCATGAGTATAGGTCTGCTGAGGAGCAGTCTTCTATTATAGGAGCCCCTATCGGTGGATTCTGTTGGATCGTTGACCCGAATGATCACAATAAGCTTGCACCTACAGGGTGCTTGGGCGAGGTAATGATCCAGGGTCCAACTTTGCTTCGAGAGTATCTATTTGATAGTGCCAAGACTACAGCAGCAACAGTGTCCCAACTTCCCCCATGGGCACCTAAGAAGTCTTCCCCTTATTATGGGCGCTTTTTCAAAACCGGTGACTTGTGCTTCTATAATGAAAACGGGGAATTGGTATATTCAGGTCGCAAAGATCAACAAATCAAAATTCGTGGTCTTCGAGTCGAACTTGGAGAAATCGAGTCACACATCCGCCAAGGCTTAGACAAGGCCGAGGAGGTTGTTGTAGATGTTCTCAAGACTGAGCATGGGCCAAGTCTGGCGGCGTTCTACCATTACAAGCACAATTCCACAACCGATGACGGCGCCGTTGACTCTGGCAAATTAATTCTTCCTCTCTGCTCAGACTTAGAAAGCGACATCATCGCTTTAACTGGGCACTTGAAAGTCTCCCTGCCACCGTACATGGTTCCGAATTACTTCTTTCCTTGCAAGTATATTCCACTGATTACCTCGACTAAGCTGGACAGGAAAAAGCTAGTCAGCGAAGCCTTGGCTTTGGAGCGAGGCGATCTTGCCAGTTACGCGCTAACGGCAACTATTAAACGTGCGCCTGAGACAGATTCGGAGCTCGATATGCAAAGAGTTTGGTCTCAAGTCTTGGGGATTTCGCCTCAGTCCATTGGCAGGGATGATAGCTTTCTGCAGATTGGCGGCGACTCTATTCTGGCGATTCAAGCCGTTGAGATAGCCCGTCAGGCTGGGCTTGATATTACTGTCCAAGCTATATTTGATGACCCTCGCCTTTCGAGTGTCGCTTCTAAGGCCGTTGCAACGAGCAAGAAATCTCGCAAAGTTCAGCCATTTAGCCTCCTAGAGGATGGACAGAGACAAACCGTTTTGGAGGCCATATCGGGCCAGATCCCCTCTGACTCTATTGTCGAGGATGCCTTCCCCTGTACCGGGCTTCAAGAAGGACTTATGGCATTAACCGCCAAACAGCCCGGCTCGTACATTGCCAAGCATGTGTACAAGCTATCGAACCATGTGGATATCAATCGATTCAGAATAGCTTGGGAGAAGACAACAGCTCTCTGCAGCAATCTTCGTACGCGAATCTTCTCCATCGATGGACGCATAATCCAAACCACGATCCAAGACGATGGGTGCTGGGAGTCCTCGAATGTGTCCGACATCCAGACATACCTAAAATTCATGAAAGATAGAAAAATGACATATGGTTCGCGTCTTTGCAACTATGCACTGGTTAAAGGGCCTGGGGACTCAACATATTTTTCACTCGATATCCACCATGCGATTTTCGACGGCTGGTCAAACGGCCTGATCCTCACTACTCTGCAGGCGCAGTACTCCGATACAGCTATGCCTTCAATCCAGCCGTTTTCTTCGTTTATCAATTATATCATGAACATTGATACGGACGAGGCTAACGAGTACTGGAGCAATGAGTTGTCAGGGGCTCAAATGTCGACTTTCCCAGCACCAAGAGGCGGCATGACTGGGCTCACACGAGTTGTCCAGAAGACTATCAACCTACCAACACCAGCAAATAAGTCAATTACCCAAGCTTCCATTCTTCGCGCCGCCTGGGCTCTTGTGCTTGGACGGTACTCTGACTCACACGACGTGTGCTTTGGGGTTACCTCATCTGGAAGACATGCCCCAGTTCCTGGGATTCAAAATATGCCGGGCTTAGTGATTGCTACGGTTCCGGTTCGTGTCCAAATCAATGAGAAACAGTCAATTCATGATTTCTTGAAGACTGTCCAAGACCAGGCGATGGCAATGGTACCCTATGAGCAACATGGGCTGCAAAACATCTCAAAGCTAAGCCCCGATGCGAAGCAAGCTTGCAACTTCAGCAGTCTTTTGACGGTTCAGCCAGCCCGGCATATGGGTCTGAATGGGAGCGACGACGACTCGGTTCTCACGTCGGCTGACCTCGAAGATCTCCAATCTAACGACGTGCTCCAGAACTATTTCAGCTATCCTCTCGTGGCGCAATATCATATCCTAGAAGACTCAATAAAGCTGAATCTCATTTACAACACAGGAGCGCTCTCTGAGGATCGGCTAGTAGCCTTGTCTCACCATCTTGGTCACGTAGTGAGCCAACTTGCACTACAAAGTGATCAGCCACTTTCTACAATTTCTATTAGTAGCGAATGGGATCTGAACAAGGCGACGAGCTGGAACTCCCAAGCTCCCACTTATCTTCATGAGGTTTGTGTCCATGATCTCTTCTCACAGCATGCTCGACACATGCCCCATCGTGAGGCAATCTTCACTTCGAGCGAAACCATGACCTATGAAACGCTCGATCGCTACTCTACCGCCATCGCTAGCCACTTGGCACATCTTGGCGTCAAGCCGGAAACTGTTGTCCCCTTCTGTTTCGAGAAGTCGATGTGGACAATTGTCGCAATTCTTGGTATCCTCAAAGCTGGAGGCACTTTTGTTCCACTTGACCCTTCACATCCTACTGCTCGCCGGCAGGCTCTGATGGACGAAACAAAGGCGCAGTTTGTGGTAGTTTCCTCAAACACCGCCCATCTATGCACTGGGATGGCACCGAATATCGTACTGGTACCTGATTGTATACAATCTGCGACAAGCAGTAATGGTGTCCTGGCATCCAGCTACAGAAAACCAAAACCATCAAATGCTGCATATATCATATTCACATCAGGATCGACAGGCAAGCCAAAAGGTGTCATTATGGATCATGCTGCCCTATCATCTAGTACCCTTGGGCATGGCAAATATTTTGGCATAGGACAGCAGTCTCGAGTCTTTCAATTCTCTAATTACGTATTTGACGGCAGTATGGGAGAGATCCTTACAACTTTAGCTTTTGGGGGCACTGTATGCGTACCTTCAGAAGCTGAACGCCTTCAGTATGCCGCTGATTTCATGGTGCGGTCTCGAGCGAACACAGCAATGCTGACGCCTTCATTTGTCAGAACATTCAAACCTGAACAAGTCCCATTGCTGAAAACTCTCGTGTTGGGCGGAGAACCTGCTTCGAAGGACCTTGTTGACACATGGCAAGGGCATGTAAATTTGATCAACGGATATGGCCCCGCGGAAGCCTGCAATTATGCAACCACGCACACTTTTACTTCAAAGGACGAAAGCCCGCGCAATATCGGCCGTCCGTTCAATGGCAATTGCTGGATCGTTGAACCAGATGACTGCAATACTTTAACTCCTCTCGGATGCACCGGAGAACTCGTAATCGAAAGTCATTCCCTTGCTCGGGGTTACTTGAACGAAGCCGAAAAGACCAAGAGCTCATTCCGTGACCGTATTGATTTCTTGCCTGCCAATCGCGCTGAGCAGCCTCGACGTGTCTATCTGACTGGCGATCTTGTGAGATATACACCAGATGGAGACATGGAATACGTTGGGAGAAAAGACACACAGGCGAAGCTACGTGGCCAGAGGCTGGAGCTCGGGGAGATAGAATACCAAATCAAACAGGCACTTCCAACCATGGAACACGTGGCTGTTGATGTCATACGCCGGGACTCTGGGGATGAGCTTGTTGCTTTTGTTTCATTCCCAGGGATGGACGAATCCAAACAACGTGCCTCAACTTTGGTAAACTTGATTACCCTCGATGATTCTTTGCGGGACTCTCTCTCAGAGGTCGTTAGGTCTCTTGAGGCAGCATTACCCGCTTACATGGTGCCCAGAACCATATTGCCACTTCAGCATATGCCTTTCATCACATCGATGAAGATAGACCGGGACAATCTCAAATCTCTTGCGAATTCATTGTCTAAAGAAGAGCTGTCAGGATACGCTCTATATCGTACTGCCCATGAAGAACCTTCGACCCCGATTGAGTTCAAATTGCGCGATATTTGGTCACAAGTGTTGCAGATACAACCTGCACAAATCGGCAAGAATGATTCTTTCCTAGCTATTGGAGGTGACTCAATTTCTGCTATCCACATGGTCTCCTTGGCACAGCAACAAGGTATGAAGATTGAAGTCTCCTCTGTGTTCGAGGACTCGAGATTGTCCCACATGGCAGAATCCGCAATCTTGACAGATGACCCTACCGAGACCTTTTCTGTTCAACCTTTCAGCCTCCTCCCGACTGCTGAAATGGATAGCATTCTTTGTGAAGTCATGAACCAATGCAAACTCTCCGATAAGAGCATGATTGAGGATATTTTCCCGTGTACACCACTGCAGGAGGGTCTCATGGCCTTAGCAGTAAAGCAACCTGGTTCTTATATTGCCAAGCATGTTTACAAACTGTCAGATCACGTTGATATCGATCGTTTCAAAGCTGCATGGGAACGCACGGCGCAGATCTGCGGCAATCTGCGAACAAGAATTCTGAGTATTGACGGCTCACACTTCCAGACAGTGTTGAGCAATGACATTGACTGGGCGACTTCCGACAACATTTCTGTCAATTCATTCCTCAACTCTCCCCGGTCTAACACTGTATGCTACGGGGATAGACTATCTCATTGCGCCATCATTTTAGAGAATGGTCATTATTATTTCGCATGGACTATCCATCATTCCATCTTCGACGGTTGGTCAACTCGTACGGTTCTGAAGACTCTGTATGAGAGCTACTTCAAGATAACTGCTTCGCCGCTCCAGCCGTATTCCAGCTTCATCAGTTATACGATGAAACTTGACAAGGACGCCGCAAAGGAATTTTGGAAGAAGGAGCTTCTTGATGTCAAACGGGCAACATTCCCTTCGACACTCCCAACAACCGAATCTACCCGCAGCCAGGTACAAACCTTGACGCGATCAATATCCTTTACAGAGACCCGTAATACCTCTATTACCACCGCAACTGTGCTCCGCGCGGCATGGGCACTGGTTTTAGCACGCTATTGTGATACTGATGACGTGTGCTTCGGCACAACAATATCAGGTCGTCAAGCCCCTGTACCGGGCTTGGTAGATATGCCTGGGCCGGTGGTCGCCACTGTCCCCGTTCGCGTACAAATTGACTCAGGACGTCTTGTGTCTGATTATCTCCAGGATGTTCAGAACCAAGCTGGTAGGATGATTCCATATGAGCAATATGGTCTCCAGAATATTGCGAAACTCACTCCTGATACAAAGGAGGCGTGTGAGTTCTCCAGCTTGCTCCTCGTTCAGCCAATGAATCATATTGCTTCACAAAATGCGTCGGAAGAAGATCAAATATTCGTTGCAACTGGAGATGATGACGCTCAGGCGACAGGAGAGATGCAAAACTACTTTACCTATCCACTTATCATTCAAGGACAAGTTCGCGAGCAAGGAGTGGACCTTGTTCTGATTTATAATTCTGCTGTTCTTTCTGAGGATAGAGTCACCGCACTGAGCCATCATTTTGATCATGTGGTTCAGCAATTGACGAGAGGTCCGCAGATGGCATTATCGGAAGTGTCCGTATCTGGGGAATGGGATTTGCAGAAGGCCATTGATTGGAATCTCGACGCTCCGGAATACGCAAATGTCTGCGTCCATCAACTAATCGAAAAACAAGCCGAAAGAAATCCAAATGCGACGGCACTTGATGGATGGGACGGTACATTCACTTACAAGGAGCTCAACGACGCTGCGAATAGATTGGCCCACCACCTGGTCTCCAAGCTGCGTGTTCAAGCCGAAGACATGGTTCTAGTATGCTTTGATAAATCAATCTGGTTCATTGTCTCAATTTTAGCAATCAACAAGGCTGGGGCTGCTTGGGTGCCATTAGATCCATCTCATCCTCTCCAACGCCAGCGCCAGATCGTTAAGCAGACACAATCGAGGGTTGCATTGGCGGCATCGCAGATGATTTCGAGATGCTCAGAGCTTGTCTCGAATGTCGTGGAGGTGACTGCCACGTTTGACTCTTCTCTGGCTAGAGACACGATCAGCTCCTCTGGGCTAGAAGTAACCGTAGCTCCAAGCAACGCAACCTACGTCCTCTTCACCTCCGGAACCACTGGCCTGCCAAAAGGTTTAGTAATGGAGCATGGGGCGTTGACCACATGCATTCTTTCTCTTTCGAGCACCTTAGGAGTCCACCAAAACGTCAAAATGCTGCACTTTTCTGCCCACGTATTTGACATTGGCATTGGAGAGATATTCATGCCATTATTTTCTGGCGCTACTCTGTGCATCCCCTCTGAGCATGATAGGATGAATAGCCTATCCGATTTCATTTGCGACAAGGGCGTCAATTGGCTTTTCCTCACTCCATCGTTTACGCGAACCTTGCGGCCAGAGAAAGTTCCAAGTATCGAACTAATCCTCACTGCAGGAGAACCGTTCGGTAAAGATCTGCTAGACATGTGGTTTGGAAAGGTTCGACTTGTAAACTCATGGGGCCCAGCAGAAACTTGCATTATCAATACAACCAACGAGTTCAAGTCACAACATGATTCTGCCTTGAATTTCGGTCGGCCTTTTAACTCCAGGTGTTGGATCGTAGATACCGACAATCCCCACCGTCTTGCCCCAATAGGCTGTGTTGGCGAGATTGTCCTTCAAGGTCCTATTATCTTGAGGGAATACCTTGCAGATGTTGAAAAGACACAAGCAGCTATGATAACCGACCTGCCTAACTGGGTTCCCGATCGGAACGATATTCACTGGAACAGACTTTTCAAATCAGGTGACTTGGGTTTCTACCACCCTGATGGAACCATTGAATTTGTTGCGAGAAAGGATACTCAAGTCAAAATTCGCGGTCTTCGAGTTGAATTAGATGAAGTGGCTCACCATATTCGTCAATCTCTCGAAGGTGTTCAGAAGATCATCGTCGATGTACTCAAGACTAGCAGTGGCGTTAGCCTGGCCGTTTACTTGTGCTTCTCCAATGAAACTCGACCCCCTCAAGAGGTGTTGGGAGATGACGACGACCTCCTCCTTCCACACACGCCAGAACTTCAACAGCGCTTAACAGATATGATCAGCACACTCACAGCGGTGCTACCTCCATATATGATCCCGACTTTCTTCTTTCCCTGCAAGTTCATACCACTCACCGGTTCATCGAAGCAAGATACCAAGCGACTTCGTAATGTAACAGCCGTCCTCAGCCCAGAGGAACTTTCCCGCTTCTCTCCTTCCTCAGGTGAGAAGCGAGCACCGGAGACTCCTATGGAGAATCAGATTCAACGCCTTTGGGCCGACCTCATCAACATTCCAGCCAGCTCGATAGGTCGTGATGACACCTTCCTAGCCGTTGGTGGTGACTCCCTGTTGGCCATCCGGTTCGTCTCTCAACTGCGCGAACTTGGTCTAGTCTTGGCCGTCAAGGATATCTTTGATGACCCTCGCTTGTCATCTGTTGCCAGCAAGATTAGGCAGGGCGGAGAAGGTGATGAAGTCCACAAGACCGTCGCCCCTTTCCAGCTATTAGGCGATGGCCAGCTAGAGGCAGTCCAGGCAGATCCTAGTCTCCGTTCTAGGCATGAAATTGAAGATGCTTTCCCTTGCACCAAGCTTCAGGAGGGCCTGATGACCATTTCTGTCAAACAACCTGGTTCATACATCTCGAAGCAGGTATTCCATATCTCACAGCACGTGGATCTCGACAACTTCAGAACCGCTTGGGAGAGAACAGTCGAACTGTGCAGTAACCTGAGGACAAGGATAGTTCTTCACCAGAATTCTTCGATTCAGAATGTTGTGAAGTATGACAGAGGAGATGTGTGGGATGAAGTCAATGGACTTGATCGGCGGTCATTCTTGCGAAATTCCCACACAATACGTATGGGATATGGATCGCGGCTCTACAGATCTGCGCTGATTCAAGAGCCAAATGGCCAGAATTTCTTTTGTCTTTTGATGCACCACGCAATATTTGACGGCTGGACAATGTCAATTATGTTAAAGACCTTGGTCAGCTTCTACCATCAGAGACAGGCTCCCACCGTCTATCCATACAATAGATTCGTCAAGTATACTCAAGACCTCGACCAGAACGAAGCTACCAGATTCTGGAAAGACCAACTTCAGGATGCACAAAAGGCATCGTTCCCAGATACGGCTGAGAATCTAAATGTCCAAAAACAGACCAAGGTCTTTCAAAAGCAATTGGAAATCTCTTGGCCTAAGGATACCAGTGTTACAAAAGCATCCGTGCTTAGAGCAGCCTGGGCCGTTGTTCTTTCTCGCTATTGCACATCGGATGATATTTGCTTCGGGGCGGTCGTGTCCGGAAGAAACGCGTCAGTATCAGGAATAGAGGGAGTTACCGGTCTCATTACGGCAACTGTTCCTGTCCGCGTACGCCTGTCACGGGACCAACGGGTTTCCCAGTTCGTTCGAGGCATACAAGCTCAGGCATCCGATATGGTAGCATATGAACAGTTCGGTATACAAAACATAGCCAAGCTCGGACCTGACGCAAAAGCAGCCTGTGATTTTTCAAGTCTCATGATCGTTCAACCTGGTCAACATGTGGAAAATCCCACTAGCAAAAACCACGAAGCCGTACTTGAGCCCGATGCATCGCAAGAATGTGTCGTCCAGGACTCGATGCAAAACTTCCTCAATTACCCTCTTGTGGTTCAATTCGTCCTGCAAGGTTCACAAACAGAACTTTTCATTATGTATGACCCCAATGCTGTGACTGAGCAGCAATCAGTCGCTATCTCTCATCAGATAGAACATGTCATCAGCCAAATGCTCAAAGCTGGCGACGTGCTGCTGGGCGAATTGTCCGTGACCGGCCCATGGGACCTGCAACAGGCAATCAAGCTTAACTCTCACGTTAATCATGGCGTTTTTCAAGCTTGCATTCACGATTTAGTTTCCAGCCACGCTTGTCGTGAACCAAGTCGAGAAGCAATTTACTCCACAGGAAAGTCAATCACATACGGAGAGTTGGACAGTCTATCTGATCTGCTAGCGTCGTATCTGCATTTCCTCGGAGTTCGACTTGAAATCATGGTGCCCTTCTGCTTTGAAAAGTCCCCTTGGGCTATCATTGCGATGCTGGGCATAATGAAGGCTGGAGGTGCTTTTGTTCCACTTGATCCAGGCCACCCCTTCGATAGACGAAAGTCTCTAGTCCAGGAAGTGAATGCTAGCATCGTCTTAGTATCGCCGTCAACTGCACAAGCTTGCGAGGGCATTGCCGAACACGTAATCGAAATCTCGGAACAATTCCTCTCACATCTGAAGATCTTAGACATTTCGCTACAACCTCCAAAGACGACCGCTAGTCCAGATAATGCAGCATACACTCTATTCACCTCAGGCTCGACTGGAAAGCCAAAGGGCGTGTTGATCACCCACTCTGCCATCTGCACGTCGCTCATGGGCCAAAGAGAATCCATGGGTTCCTCCTCTAGCTCTCGCTGGTTCCAATTTGCAAACTACATTTTTGACGCCTGTATCAGTGAAATTTGGGGGCCTCTGATCCTAGGTGGTGTAGTCTGCGTGCCGACTGATAGAGAGAGGCTCCATGACGCAGCCAATTTCATCACATCGTCCCAATCCAATATCGGAGTCCTCACTCCATCCTTTGTAAAGACGTTGTCGCCCCTCGCAGTTCCGTCTCTCAAAACTCTAAATCTAGGCGGAGAGGCCCCTACCAAGGACCTATTGGACACTTGGTTTGAGCATGTCGACCTTCGAAATGCGTATGGTCCCACAGAAGCGTGTATCAGTTGTACCTACTATCAATATAAATCTCCTACAGAGTCACCGACCACAATAGGCAATGGTTTTGTTCACAATACCTGGATCGTGGATCCTGAAAATCACAATCGCCTCGCGCCCATAGGGTGCATTGGCGAGTTACTTGTCCAAGGTTGGTCATTGTCTCGTGGTTATATCGGTGATGGTGAGAAGACCAATGCTTCATTCGTTAATGGCGTGAACTGGATGCCACACTCTGTGCCGGGCCATGAGTTTGGATTCTACAAGACTGGCGATCTCGCCAAGTACAACCCGGACGGCACAATTTCCTACCTGGGCCGTAAAGACGCCCAGGTCAAGATTCGAGGCCAACGTATAGAAATCGGTGAGATTGAGTATCAGATCAGTGCGCTAGATCATTCTATCAAACAAGTGGCCGTCGAGCTTGTTCAATCTCGTTCTCACGATTCTCTTGTCGCGCTTTTTACAGTCGGCCATGAAAGCCACGAGGATGATGATGCCCAAACTATCCAAGTGACTGGCAAGACACAGTTGATTTCTAATATCTTGATCAACCTCCATTCCAAACTGGGATCTCAACTCCCTGACCACATGATCCCTCAGTACTTTATCCCTGTGGCACGCATTCCACAGAACACTGCTGGAAAACTTGATCGCAAGTCCCTGGCCAAATTTGTAGCAGCCATGTCCATCGAGGACTTATCAAAATGGTCTCTCAGTCAAAGCTTACCGTTCCGTGAATGCACAACAGACATCCAGCGCTGGCTACGCGACCAGTGGGCGATGGTTCTGGCTATGCCGGCTGCGAATATCAGTGTGGATGACAACTTCTACAATCTTGGGGGTGACTCCATCCGCATTGTGACATTGAACAAACTTATCTCGGAGAAGTTCAATATTCAGCTAGGAATATCACTCCTCAATAGTAAGCAAACCACCATTGGCATCATGGCCAATTATATCGAGGATGCCAGGGAGGAACGTCTCGCCAATGAGACATCCATCAGTGTAGCAGATGAGATTACGGCGGTTACCAACGCGTCATGGGCCAGGCATCCGCAGCGTTTGGTCGAGAATCCGATCACGTCCTTGCCAGACAATGCTACTGTCTTCCTAACAGGAGCCACGGGATATCTGGGCACCGAAATATTACGCCAGCTGGTCCGCTCGGGTGCTATCAGAACCGTTATTGTCCTCGTGCGCAGCAAGTCTTCCCGCATGGGATTAGAACGCGTCAAGGATGCTGCTCGTATCACCGGATGGTGGAGAGACAATGATAAAGACAAGATTGAGGTTTGGACAGGCGACTTGTCCCAACCTCACCTAGGACTTGAAGAAAGCCAATGGTCGCGATTGACAAAGTCAGGCGACGGCCAGATTGATGCTTTTATTCATAACGGTGCAGTCGTCAATTGGAACGCAGACTACACCAAACTCAAAGCTGCCAACGTTGATTCAACAGTTGACCTTCTTCGCCTTGCTTCTGTCTCTGCGTCAAATCCCAAATTCGTGTTCGTGACTGGCGGCATACAGGTCAATCATGATGACGAAGTAGATGTACACGCTCCGATTATCAATTCACTAAACGGTTACATTCAGACAAAATTCGTGGCCGAGAGGATTGTGTACAATATGAGCCAGAAACTACATTCACAGCAGAACAGAATCTCGATCGTAATGCCTGGGCGAATCATTGGAGGCGCAAGTACGGGCGTGGCCAATGTTGATGATTTCCTCTGGCGAATGGTATCGTGTGCAGCTGCCATGCGAAAACATCCTTCCGATACTCAAGGACTTTGGATGCAAATTGCGGATGTGTCCAATGTGGCAGAAGAAATCATCGGTCAGATTTCCGCACAGAACGAGGTGTCACCTTATGTCTCAGCAACAGGCCTCATACCAGAGTCCTTGTTCTGGGATCAAGTGAACGCGGAATTGAAGGTTCAATGCCAGCCTGTATCTTGGGAGGAATGGCAAACATCTGCGATGGAATCGATGAACAAGGCTGGAGAAAAACACCCTCTTTGGCCGGTCCAGCATTTCGTATCTCGTCTTGGAAAACCAGTGGAGAAAGAGGAGATTAACGCAGAAGACTACACGCAGCTTTGCCGCGCAGTAAGAAGCAATGTGAGGTATCTTATGCGCATCGGCTTCATCCATTCGTCAGCAGGCGAATTTGGCGATATTCGCGAGGCAACAATGAAACGTATGCACACCACATGATGTAGTTCTTCACTCTTTAGATTATTTCCTTTTCTGTTACTTTCTTTTTCTTCTATTGTGTTCTTTTACACTCTTTTTCATATTTCCTAATTGTTATGCCAAAATTTCGTTCATCACTCATCAAACAACTTTGATACTAAATATAGAATTCCATAAAGATCATTATCCCTTCATTCTTTTGGTGTAACTAGCAACGTATCTAGAATTTCAAGCATTACGTACAGCTTACTCCCATTGTGGTCCATCGGTAAGATTGTGGCTGTAACTAAAAGTTCAGCTTCGCCTTCCAACAAGTTATATGCGTAGCAGATCATAGACCTGCCGCACTTTATTGGCTCACTGCCGCGATGAGAATGAGACAAATTTGCAACGTGTCCATCGTATATTGGATTAGGTTACGCTTTGGTCATTGTCTCAGTTGTGAGTCTTATCCCAGATATCTGATTCGCGGCTCGGCGCCTCATTCACGGAATATTGGCCAGTAGCGTGAGTAGTTCGGTGTCCGAGAATATCTTTGCCGCAGCCACCAAATTATGCACATCTTGCGAAAATCTTGTTTGATAAAGCATGGTGTGACCCCTCCCATGTGTCTATGAACTCAGTCCTCAACAGAATTCTCTAGTACGCGAACAGCCGTACCGTCTGAACCGAACCGTGTCCTATCCTGCTTGAATTTCACTGTTGAGCAAATCATGCTGCATCCAGCCCTTATTGTTTGGTGGTTTTGGGCAGGTTTTGCCGTCGCTGATGAAGGGGACGATTTCGCGAACAATCTATTCTCTGATCTGGCACCGTAAGTATTCACTAGTGGTTATTTGACGTGTTAATATGCTGAACTTCTCTGCGATCAGTCTGTTGGCCCTTTTCGGAGAACGAGTTACCATGCAATTCATGAGCCAGTCCATGGGTTGGGCGGATAACTTGATACTTGCCATGGGCCCAATAGGAATAGTGACAATCATCGTCAGCGCCATCAGAGTTGGTGGTCCGAACTGGATGAGGGTCTTGGTCGGAAGAGCGAAGGAGAACCTTGCGGCTGCCGAAATGGAGCTCCTGTCATCTACTTCTAAGGAAGTTTGCGAGCTCTGGAATGGGGCAGAAGTTGTTAGGTGTATGGGAAAATGCCCTCTGACAGAGTTCATCATCCTTGTCCCCAACAAGGGGGTAAACAAGGACTCTCACGTTGTAGTCCGTGATAAGTGGGAGACGTATCTGGAAGAAGCTAGTAAGTAATCCGCCAACCCCCCCTCCTCCCTTTGCATATCTAACATTCTATACTGGCGAACATAATGGCTCTAACCCTTTCTCGGATAAAACAGAACACAAAACAGCCGTTATTCAAACATCTCCCGGTAAAACATCCGTTAATAGTTCTTCAGATGAAGAAAAGGGGCAAACAAAAAATGGAAATCCGGAATCTGAGGATAAGCCACCCCCAGTCCATGGCAATAATGGCACAGAAAATCAGGCCACCAAGGACGAACAAAACTCCGATGAAGATAAGAACAACATCATTATCATACGAATTAACGACAAAAAGGTTGAAAATGTTCCAAACATATCTTTGAATTGCTACAAGCTTCCCAGCTCCAGGGAACTTTGGATAGTTGCCATTATTGGGACCATTCTCCAGCTTGGAGTCGTGGCATTCTGGGGCTGTGCTACATATTACCGAACGCTACGGTTCCCCAAAGGCGGTAAAGAAGTTCCGGAGTATGCATATCCTTGCGCTGCAACTGGAACGGTACTCTTGCTGTTCGGTATGATACTTTGCTCGCATGTTGTTGAGAGCAGGACTAAGGAGCGGAAATATGTTCCACGTGGAATGGCGCACGATGTCTACTTTTGTTGGTTACAGCAAGAAAAGATTGTGAACGACCAGTCATTCAACTCACACATTATCTATTGCGAAAAGAAAAACAAGTACATCGTCATGTCGTGGCGAGATGGCGAAGAGAGCAGATTGAAAACACTTACCTTTTTCTCATCACTCATTTCTCTTGCTGGATTCGTCGTACAATTCGTCGGTTTGCGGGGATTGCACTGGTCTGCCTCTGTTAGTCAACTTGTCATCGTAGGGGTCATGCTTGCTTGCAAAGCATGGGTTCGCCGTGGGCTCGCCAGCCCCCCAGAAAGCAGTGACTCCCTCAAACCGGGATTTGAGCTTGAGTGGCTCACCAAAGTACTGTGCGAGCCAAGTGAACCACGTCAGGAACCGCTCCTAGATTTATCTCGAGATTCAGCTGTAGAACCACCTCAAAAGCCACATCAAGATTTATCTCGAGACTCATCTCAAAAGTTAACAGAGGAACCACCTCAGAAACCACCTCAAAATTCATCTCAAGAACCAGACCAAGAGCCGGACCAAGAACCAGACCAAGAACCGGACCAGAAACCAGCTCAACATCCACATCAAGAAGTATCTCAAAACTCATCTCAAAATTCAGCTCAAGATTCACCTCAGGGGCCAGCCCAAGGTCCAGCTATTAAACCACCTCAAGACCTGGCTCTGAATCTAGCTCTCGAGTGGATTAAGGAAAAGATAGAGGAACTTCGGGCTTCCAGACCTCAAGGTTCTGACTCGTTCATCAGATCGTTGCGCAGAGTCTGGGCATGTATTCGGATTTTATTCCTCAGGTTCTTGAATGCATTCTTTAGCGACGCTGGAGATGCAAAATGGTCTGATAATCAAGGCCTAGGGCACCGGTTTGTCGCGTGGTTCATCAAGAAATTGCACAGAAAATATGGTACAGGTGCCGTTTTTCAGTGGTTCAAGGATGGATTGTCGTCTGCGCCGGCAACTGACAACAAGGGAGTAGCCGGTAAACCGGCACAAATACCAGACTGGATGATAAATAATTTTGGAAAGCCCGAGCTTCGAATGGCTAAGGCCGCAATAGGGTCGCCGGCACACAGCATGATGACGCTCCGTCGAGATTTGGGTCGATTGGCTGACTGGCCAGAGCGTCCGTCTAAAGCATCAATCGCTGTTACGAAATCAATTGAAATCGCGATGAACACACTTTTCCCCAAAGTCGTTGAAGGTACTGCGAAACCCACCTACTGGTCCATAAAGAGCTCGAAGGACCAGGTGATTGATTTCCAGATCGAGTACAAGAATGGAAATTTCACGGTCGATTTTATGGAAATGGACGCGATTCTATCTCTGTGGCTATTTTCTGATAGCCAGCAATACTCTGAAGACGAATCTAAACGGTCAAGAGAGGATGAAAAAACTGATTCTTGGCTGAGAAGCAAAGGATTGCTACCAGGGTCTGCCCTCTGCCTCCTCGGACCTTATTCAGAAGCGTTGCACCGAGACATATGGTGGTGGATGCCCACGAAGGAAATGCCAATTTTCCGAGTTCAGAAACGTGAAACGGCGAAGCCAGATTATGACTCTGTTGAAAACTTACGTGAAAGATACGGAAGAGTCGTTGGTAGCGTTTCTGAATATGAATGGATCGAGAAACTGAAAACCAGACTGAAAATCCGTCAGTTGGATGAGCCTAAGTTTGATGAAAAAAGCGCGAAACCCGAAGTTTTCCTTGCTACCGAAAAAAAAAACATCAGTGGATTTGGTCTACGCCCAACACATATTCTCCGCCTTCATGAGCGCAGCTGCTACGGACAACTCTGTTCACGTTAATCCTTCGAAGACGACCTTACGGACAGAAGCCACTATCAATGGTGACGCGTGGAGATCCTTCGCAGTCAAAAACGAAACTCTTTCTAAAATGGCCATTGAAATCCAACAAACAGGTCTTGGTAACCTGGAAGAAATCTACCAATGTATTCTCCCTTCTCTTAGTCTCTCAAACAAACTGCCTCATCCCGATGGCATGATCGAACTAGCACGAAAAGATGCTAGAGTACATGAAAAGGCCGGGCAATGGGAAGAGGCTGGGAGAATATACTTATCCCTGATGCGCAGGATAAAAACGTATCCCAATGAGAGCGTCATCGCAATTAAAGCTGCAGCAACAGTAATGCTATTTTGGAGACAAGTTGTCTTTGGAATTAGCACCGAGATGGCCGGAGATACGGCGGTAGAAGCAATGGGAGAGAAATTGGAAAAGCAGTTGAAAGATATCAACGAGAAAACCTTCCGCCAGCTAATGAGTCTTTATATTACCCAGGGCCGTGGTCGTCCCTGGGAGGACGAACCGGCTAGACGGTTGAGCTTGAATTTTTTCCGAAATGAATTTGGCATCACTGCATCCCACAATGACGCTAGAAACTGTGATCTGCGGAATGTGTGGAATGCCCAAGACATGAGGTCCACTGATATCTTTGGTTGGACACCACTCCACTATGCTTCAGCCGCAGGACCATCACCGGAGGAACACAGGTTCCATGTGCTTGATACAATAAAACGCCTTGCAGAAAGTGCAGACATCAATGCGCGCGATTTGATCGAATGGACTCCGCTACATTATGCTTGCTGTGATGGAGAAATAGGCGTGGTGCAGACAATTATCCGGTTTGGCGCAGACGTGAATGCGCAGGGGACAGATAACTTCACGCCTCTTCACTGTGCGGCTTACCACGGCCACAAAGAGATCGTCGCCGCATTGATTGAAGCAGGAGCCAATGTTAACTTCCAAGACGTGTTTGGCAATTCTCCATTGTTCTGGGCTATAAGGAAACGCCACGAGCCCGTTTGTCGCCTACTTTATGAAATCCCGGATTTGAATAAGAAATTACGAAACTTCAAGGGAATGACTGCTCTCCATCAAGCTGCAGGTTTTGGTAACCAGGCAATAGTGGAGCTGCTACTGCCTGACCAGGATGTCAATACAAGAGACCGCGCCCAGCAAACCCCACTGCATCTGGCAGTGAAACATGGGCAGGAGCAGGCTGTCATAGAGCTTTTGATTGAAAAGGGAGCGGAAATCGAGGCCACGGCCATGCATTCTCAGACCCCACTACACATGGCAATAGCAGCAGGGCGAGAGGCAGTTATTAAGCTGCTTATTACAAAGGGTGCAGACGTCGAAGCTAAAACTGACCTAGGGCAGAACCCCCTATCTATAGCAGTAGTGGCAGGGCCAGAGGCGGTTATTAACCTGCTCCTTGAGAAGGGTGCACAAATTGAAAATCTCAACGTGGGTTATTCACTACATCTAGCAGCAGAGCTAGGTCGAGAGGCAGTTGCTAAGCTGCTGCTTGAAAAGGGTGCAGACATTGAGTTTGAAAATGCCGAGGGGGAAACCCCACTACATGTAGCAGCATGGAAAGGTCGAGAAGCAGTTGTTAAGCTGCTGCTTGAAAAGGGTGCAGATATGAGGTTTCGATCCACGGCAGGCCAAACCCTGCTACACACAGCAGCATTGGCCGGGCATGAGGCGGTTATTAGGCTGCTGCTTGAAAAAGGTGCCAATTTCACGGCTCAAGATTTCCAAGGCAAGATTCCACTACATGCAGCAGCAGTCAGAGGGCGTGAGGCGGTTGTTAGGCTGCTGCTTGAAATGGGTGCAAATATTGAGGCTCAAGATGCAGAAAACCGGACACCACTATATACGGCAGTATCGTCAGGGCATGAGGCGGTTGTTAGGCTACTGCTTGAAAAGGGTGCAAACATTGAGACCAAGGCTAGTGGAAAGTACAGTCACACCCCGCTACACGTAGCAGCAGGGATGGGGTATGAGGCGGTTGTTAGGCTGCTGCTCGATAAGGGTGCAAATACCAAGGCTCAAGATATAGAAGGCAAGACGCCACTACATATAGCAGCAGAGATTGGTCGAGAGGCAGTCATTAAGGTGCTGCTTGAAATGGGTGCAGACCTTGAGGCTAAAAGTGGTCAAGGCAAAACCCCACTAATTATGGCAGAAGAGGCTGGAGAAGAGGCGGCTGTTCGGCTGTTGCGTAATTATGTGCAGATGTAATAGCTAGGTATGATAAGAGTGAGGAAACGTCCCTACACTTAGCAGTACAGAGATAGTGGAAAGGTGCAAAAAGCTGTTACATTAGAAAGGTGCAAAGTAGGAGACATCACCGCCATACCTTACGGCTAGGAATCAAACGCGAAGTATTGAACCAATGCTCGAAGAACGAATAAAAATTCTACAATTTGTGCTGTTCTAGTACGTGTACACATTATAGTAATTGCGGCAAAAGGTTCCACATAGAGGGATGTCCATGTCCAGTGAAAGTTAACCGCTAGCTCAGTCTCAACAATCAGATCGAGACGTCGAATTCTGAGGCCGTGTCTGGGAAAGCAATTAATTTATCGGCTAATTGAATGAAACTACAAACCTACAAATACCCTGCTGATCCGACAAGCTTGCGCCGTTATGACCCTCAAAGCATCCGTTGAGAGCTTCAATGCCAGATAAATCAGTGCACATTGATCTTATTATTCGCGGTTTTGGATTCCTATCCTCAGCGCATCCAGCTACGGGCGAGCGTGCAGTAATTTGGTAAATAAAACTCGTATTTTAGTCAAAGCAGAATATGACTTAAGGCAAGACTTGAAAACCTACCTATAATCACAACTTTCAGGTAACCGGTTGTTTATTCTAGACACCGCCAATAGCGAGAGCATTAATTATAAATTATCAATACCCAAGGACAGTATCAAGGTTCACTTACTACAGGCCGCCAGACATGGGCGGATTTTCATCACTACACGCTCCAAACAGGCTGTCGTGTGAATGGGCGAAGTTTGTTTGATGCAGTTGCAACGGATGAGCTTAGATTATACAAAAGATTTTCTTCACGGAGAGTTAGCCCCAATTGATGAGATTCCTGGTGAAGTATGCAAAGTTTAGCTGATTGAAACCCTCCGCTTTCTGCCGCTTGTACTGTATTAAGCTGTTTCCTACTTGAACATGGATGAAACATCCTTTTTACACCGCTTACATCTATCGAAAACCTTAGAACAAGACGCTGAGGAGTTAGTGAGACAAGACTTTGACGTGATACACATTATGACCCAAGCCAAGGCGCGACATCAACAACGTGACTTTGTATTCTTCGAACAAATATAGGACGAAGCCCTCTCGCCACCTAAATTCTTCTCATTTATCACATAGATTGAACCTAAAGCAATTCATTTCTCTATTCTACTCAGTGTAAAATCTGGGTGACAAAGAGCGACAGCTATCGGAGTTCTAGATGAATATAGCTTTCTATCAAACCTAAGAAGTGACGATGCATTTGAGATGCAAAGTCTAGTTCACTACGTGATGAGGTTAGAAGACTTCGACAAGTCTAGACTGAAAGCACCAGTACTGCATGTAGAAGATACATTAGCAGCAGATTCTTCAGAGAATCGAGCTCTGTAGTAGCAAAAGTGCTTGCCACACGCTCCGGAGATACTTTAGGAGTCGGCTTTATCGAAGCTTCACCTCACCGGTCATTAGTCATCGGCATATGAGTGAGTTTGCCAGTTTCAGAACACGATCGATCTTTTAGAGGGTGAGGTAGCTATCGAGAAAGCTATACTTAAGGGAGATGATCACGATGTAATACACCGGCTTTTATTAGCCTTGAAAAACACGATATTAACAATGAACTTGGTCTTAAGATTTGCTCGTCAAAATCGAAAACCAGCTCTATCTAGTCCAGACAGTGGAGTTTAGCTTCCTCGAGGGATATATGCGAAGAGATGTCTTTCGTCCACAAACCGCCATTCTTATACGCCATGACAGAGACACCATACCCAATACTCAAGCAAAGGACAAACATCCATGAGCTAAAAATAAGTTGAGCGTAGGAGATAAAGGTAGACAAGCACACCAAGTTCTCCTGGGTGATGATGACGCCATAAAAGCCAGCCAGAATAGTGAGGCCACCGTGATGAAAGGCTGTCACTGAGTTCATGGCCATCAAGATCTTCCAAAGCTGAAGGTGTGGGTGTTAGCGGCGGAGAAAGTCAAGAGAAAGACGGGCTGATGGTTTGGGATGTTTCGGGTGGAGGAACTTACTCGCTTCTGAGGTGCCGCGTAATGCTGGCAAGCTGTGCTAATGAGACCACCAATTGAGAAAAGCCACAGAGCAGCATCAAGAGACAATACAGCCATCTTCATGGGCCAAAAAGCGGTATCAACACCTGAGTAGTATAGTTCCGAGCAAGCAAGGTCGGCAGCGTTGATAACCAAGATGCAGATGTATACGACCAGGCCAATGACGTGGGGTACAGGAGAAGCTTCGTCAAAAAAACCACTGACCTCCCGCTCACGAGATAAGATGGAGGCATAGTCCAAACCTATGGTGAACTCGATTTGAGCAACCTGGAACGTGGCTAGGGCAGTATACATGAAAAAATTGGTGAAGATTGGAAACTGTTGCATCCCAAACTCGAAAGAGGAGCTATCACCGCTGCCAGCACGACGGCCTTGCCTCAAGAAATATTCAATGACTGGGCTCACAATGGCAGTGACAAGCCAGCTTAGTGGACGGAGAATAGTCAGCTACCTCGACACCACCTCTGTTAGAGCGAAAGGGAAGGGGGAAAATACTAACAGAGAACCTAGGGCACCCGCGGCCTTGAGCCAGGGGACGCCAGATCGCGCATCATCTCCATGGCGGTTAGCTCTGAAGAAGGCGAGGCTGGAGAGAACACCTGTGATGATGGCGGCTGCGATGACTACGGTTAAGATGGCTCCTACGCCTGCCAGACCCAAGTACGCCTCGGCGTCAAGGATACTGAAGTGCATTCCAGCCGTGCGCAAGATTTATGCAAGTGGTCGATGCGGAACGTGCCCTGCATTTGTTCCCTCATCCACAGGTCATCGCTCCTCGAATTGAGCGCTGTGATCCTTGCTGATTCAACGCCAATCAATTAAAGGAAATAAAGAGAAGAAAAGGTAAAAAGAAAAGAGAAAAAAGAAGAAAAAACGACAATCAAGAAGAGCAGTAGTATTTGCGCCACACGTCCATGTCCAACAAGCCGGACACGGCCATTATAAATATATTACCTACCTATGATCTGAATAACACACAGGCCAATTCAACAATCCGATGCGAAGAGGAATAATTGTACAAACATAGATACAGAATCAAAAACAACCTAGATGCACTGTAACCTGTAATCCGGAAGGTTGTTTCAGGGCATGTCGCTCCCGTCCACCATCGCAATTTTGCCCTGATGTCACCATCTGCCGAAACGCACCAACGGCCCAAAATAGCAAATCAATTGATCCAGAGGATCCTCATGGATTCGCAGTTGACTAACACCCCAGTTCGGCAACAAAGCCACAGTCGGAATCGTATAAATTCCGGCACGCACCAGTGATCAACGATGAACTGAAATCGAGAATTGTTCATATAATAGTTATTCAAATACAATGGTTTCTTTCATTGATCCAGGATCCAGGACCCAGGCTTGGTCATATTACGTGTTACTAAGCAGCCAGATTCTTATTGATTGGCGGAGTGCCGGTGCCGGGAGTCACGTGTCAGGGTTGAACCGATGGCATACAGGCCTCCGCGTTCACGCTCTCTACAGCGTCTCGAACTGTTAGATGACGAGATTTTAGTGTAGATTGGGGTTCATAGTCTCGAAAGATGCGCAATTTTTAATGGTTTCCCGCTCACATACCTGGGTAAGCTTTACCTTTGGCTGCGATCTCAAGATTGATGATACCTTCTCTGTGCTATGGGCGCATATTTCTGTCTGCCCAAATGATCCTAGCTTCAGTTCTAGACAAAAAGAGAAGAAAGGCATAAATAGATAGAGGATATTCATGGGAGAGAAATCTAATATGAAAAATATCCTCATTACCTTATTATTTTCGCTGTTGCCGGGATGGTATGCAGATTCTCTCTCTTAGTACAGGGTAGGCAGCTCCGATAAGGAGATCGGGAAAAGTTTCCTTTTTAGGACTAGCTGACCCGATTCTCTTGGCCAATGGCAATCGAGTTATCTCCAAAGTGCTTGACTAGGACGGGAAATACTCACGACACCGCGGCGTGAGTATTGCCTGATCAGGACCAATTTCTTGCCTGTTCTGGCAGAGATGCGAAGCCACATCAATTAAAATGATTTGACCGTCGCTCCCACATCCAGATATCTTCTGCTTGTCTCTCAATCTTGCAATAAACCCTCCTATATCTGCCCAGTCTGCAAGAAGCCAACGGCTTTTCAAAGCTGAGCGCGCACACCTCCTCCATGGCGCCGTCTACCGCTCCTTCTGCGCTCGCCTTTCTTGCTCGGAAGCATGATGATGCGCAAAAGGCCATAGAGCATTTCCACAGCCTGCTCCACACACGCGAGGGCCACGATGTCACGCTCTGGTTCCTGGGCGAGGCCACTCGCCTCGTCGCCGTCCTTCTCGACACATTGAGCCAGTCTGACACATTCCGCCATCCAAAAGAATCCTTACTTTTTGGCCCCTGGCTGAAGCTGGCGGCAAAATTGCGACTGCCGTGGGGGCTGACGCCGCGCGCCTCCACCCGGCTGCCCCTTTCTGCGATTTCCGGTCGGGCTGCGGAGCGAATGGGAGTTCTTGCTGATATTTTGGAGGATTGGCAGATTTTGAATCGTTTTTGGGGTCTGTTGGATATGTGGGTTGCGATAAAGACCCTCCTTGCCGATACGTTGCGCAGCTTACGGGAGAAGAAGCCCGTCAATTGGCCGGATACTCTAGGTCGTGCTTTGGAGCACCTGTGCCTGGTTGGATATCACTTCGGGGAAGCGACAGCTTGGCTGACGGGACGGAGATTTCTTGGGTGGTCGACTAAGATGCAGGAAAAGATGGCCCTGCTGTCAGTTCGATCCTGGGCTGGCTATTTGGTACTAGTCATGATACGCCGCCTTGCTCAGCTGATGCCACAGCGGATAGATGGCAGTTCCGAGAAGCGCGCACCTGAATGGGATGCCCAGTCGAAAAAAGAATGGAACAGGGAGTTCTTCAACAACTTGGCCTGGTTCCCAGTTGCGATTTCCCTCAGTGTGCCTGGTGGATTATTGCCACCTACTCTCACTAGCATCCTGGCATTTAATGCCTCTGTGAGACCTGTTCGTGATATTTGGGAGGATACAGAAGAAGAAGGAAAGGAGGAAGGGGGAGAAACATGATAATGAAGATGGTTACCGCTTCTATACTTTGATGATTAATTAGACTGACAAGGAGAGTAAAAAGGCCATTGTAGGGTTGATGCTGAGATCCGGATTAATGTACTCCATGCTATGCTATCATCGAATGATAAACAAGTTCCTCCACATCGCACTGCTGAGATAGTTCCTGGTGAGAGGTAAATGATAACTTATTGCGTTTGTTCGTGAAATGACATATATTTTGATTGTTTACCATTCAATGCAACTGAAGCGTGACTAGCTGGACGGGAAAAGAGTGCGGTAAAGTGTAGGCGGGGTTGCATCCCGAGGCTTCCTCGGCTTATTACTCCGCTTTGTGCAGCGGACGACAAATATCAAGCTTGTTCGCACACATAGCTTACTAAATTCATTTCTCAAGATGAAGAACAGCAAACCCTCGGCTATTTTCGATATATTTCGGCTCCGTCACCCCATACGCGGGTAGGATTTAATGTCTTTCGTCCAGACTGGTGTCTTTCTCTACTCCCATCATTAATTTCGTCACCTCTATTCCGTAAAGCATTTTCATAACTCTGCCTTACCACTTGCCAATAGTCAGGCGAATCTACTGGCACAATGTCCCCGGCAGCCTCAAATTCCGGTTCACGTCATGACTTAGCCGATGAAGCATTGGGTCAATACCTTCTTCAGTCAGGGAAAATCCCGAATCTCAGGCTACCCATCGTTTCAACTAAAATTGGGTACGGGCAAAGCAACCCAACCTACTTTGTTGACGACAAGGCGTAAGTAGATGGCAATTTCTCTGTTAAAGGTATTCAAGAATGTTGTGAACTAATATTGCATCCACAGCGGGTCTAGATATATTCTCAGGAAAAAGCCCCCGGGGAAAATTATCAGCCCCGTGGCCCATCAAGTTGATCGTGAATTCCGGGTGCTTCAAGCTCTCGGCACAGTCGAAGGGTTTCCAGTACCAAAAGCCTACCTCCTCTGCGACGACCCTTCGGTTATTGGAACAGCATTCTATGTTAGTTAAGAGCGGACGAATTCTCTTTTACGGCACCGTTGCTAATGGTTCCCGCTAGGTAATGGAATTTGTCAAAGGCAGAATTTTTACCGATAATAACCTGGGCGAATTATCACCCACAGACAGAAGAAAGGCGTGAGAATTTTCTACTTCTTCTACGGAGATAGAGCCACAAGCTAACAGGCATTCTGAAGGTGGTTTTCAGCTATCGAAACTCTCGCCTGGCTCCATTCCATTGACCCGGACTCAATAGGCCTAGAAGGATACGGCAAGAAAACGGCCTTTTATGCCCGGCACTGCAATACCTGGAGCCGTATCGAGGCCCAGCAAGCCCTCGTCAAAGATGCCAAAACAGGAGTCGCTCTGGGTAGAGCCCATGAGAAATATGATGAGATAATCAACTTCGTGAAAAATAACGTGCCTGGAGATAGGTACGCTATCATGCACGGGGACTTTAAACTCGACAATCTGGTAAGTCTGGCCTTCTTATGGTGCAGAATCTGTGCTAAGTCCTTCTGATTAGATATTTCATCCTACCGAGCCTAAAGTAATTGCCATTCTTGATTGGGAGCTTTCCACCATTGGTCACCCCCTCCTGGACCTGGTGTATTGCGTAAGTTCTTTCTTTGAAGAAAGCGTCGCGATGGGCCAGTCAGACCCATCCTCGAAAGAGTTTCCGTATAAGCCAGAAAACAGGAAAGCAAGTGGTATGCCGGAACCAGAGGAACTTCTCGATCGCTACGCCGAACTCGTTGGCTATGACCCGAGGCGAGATGGAGGGGGGAAGGACTGGGAGGTGGCCGCGATCGTGCACTTCATCCGGGGCGGCACAATCAGCCATGGCATTCAGGCACGAGCTATCAGCGGTCAATCAAGCAGCGATTTTGCCCACCAGTACTTTGAACGAACCAAAGCGTTCCTTGATATAGCTTTCCGGCGGATGAAGAAACTTCAGGGAAGAGAAGGTGGGGTGGCCAAGCTTTAAAATATGTTTTCTAGTCCAACCCAATAAACAATTCGGGATGTTATATTAGCAGATCTCCCTGCTAGACAAGTTGGCTATGGCTAGCACTTTGAAAGTAGTATCCCAAGGATGTTTCAATATTCAGTTCTACTGGCTAAATCTGATCAATAACCCATTGGATGCCGATGTAAGATTGTTCCATAAACTTGTCCGTCTCTGGGAGATATGGAACAATCCAATAGCAATGGGGAAGACCAGAATAAGAGTCAGACTTGACATTGACCCCCGCCGCTCTCAGAGACGCCTCGAACACCGTTGCGTCATCTCGCAATGAATCCATTTCACAACTGACCAAGTAAGTAGGTGGAAACCTCTTGTGACTATCCCCGTCCAGTGCCGGGAAATAGTCAGGATCATCGGGACGTTGTCCGGCCAGGCTTATGAAGAGGCGAAGTGACTCTCCGTCTACAAGAGGCGTATTGATTTTGTTCTCGACGCTGGACTTGTGCAGTGATTTGTAATTGGAAGGGATGTTGTCTGGGTGTAGCAGCACGGGACAAAAGGCTGCGACTCCCTTGATTGTTCTTGGATCAAGAGGAGTTTGACCTAGAAGAATCTTGCGAGTGACAGATACTGATAGACCACCGCCGGCCGAGACACCGATGACATATATTTTGGACGCATCACCTCCAAATGAAGCGGCATTCCCAAATACCTGTACCAATTTAGTAAGTATTAGATATCTGATCACATATGTGTCTCTCTACGTACCCATTCGACTCCTTTTAATGCATCTTCTAAATGAGCTGGCGCCTTGTGTTCGGGAGAGAGTCTGTAGCTGATTGCAACAATCACAGTCTGATTCTTGTCTGCGACTGCCGCGCAAAAGTACTCATCGGCGATTGAAGGGCCGACAACCAATCCACCCGGGTGATAATATATCCCGACTGGTAGCAATGTGCCGTCGGTGCTGCCAGATGGCCGATATACACGGTAGCCAAAAGTGTCATGCTTGCCTTCCTGGATGGTAACGGACACGGGATTTGGAGGATATTGTGGCTTGAGTGCGCTCATTAAACCGGCATGAGCGGTTCGCATCTCCTCCGGAGTGCCACTGAGAATAGGCCTTGTGCCAACGCCCTCCTCGAACTTAATGCACAAGAGTAAGCGACTGCCCAGTTTCGTGTTATTGGAATGGTCCGGAACTCACCTTGAGCCACGAATCTGCGTAGTTGCTCATGATGAAGTCTTGAGTGGCCACTTAATTTCAGCAAATATTTTAGTAAATAATCATCTGATGGAAAAAGTTGTTGTCTCTATGATGACAGATATGAAGGAGAGGACTGAATACTTGATATCATATATGTCCAAAGCCTGGTGGCTGCGCTGTGGCTGTCCGCATCCGAACAGAGCCGGTCCGCGGATGGATGAAACATGAAGGAGTGGGGGATCTATCGGGAGAGATGGGGTAAAATTCGCAGTCATGAGCGTAAAATAATATAAAAGCGCAGTCTCTCTTCATAAGATTGTTCAGCATGAGTCTTGATCTATTTGTACGTGTGACACTACCTACTTAACTTGAATTCGTAGCTTTTATCTTCCGGCTGATAAAATGGATGATATTAAAGCATTGATGAATATTTATTTTTCATTTTTAGATAGATGACTATCATTTCTAGACCTTGACGAGACTCTTACTTAAATAGCTGTCCACTTGGGCGACATCCACGAGTGACGAAATGACACCCACATAACCGTCTGGGCGAACGACAACCAGAGCGCCTTCTTTGGGGTCCACTCCATACGTGTTGTAGAGGCTATCGTCTATTGGCCCGTGGAAACGCATCTCAGCCAACTTTTTGATAGTTCCTGGGATATCAACCCATTCAAAACTCCTTTCTAGGAATGGGTGTAACACTACCAACTCAACGGTGCCGGCAGGGAAGTTAGGGAATATAGACTGGCCAATCTGAGTTAAACTCTTAGCAGAACGGCCCTCCTTCTGGGCCAAGTCGAGTGATGTAAAGGCAAGGACTCGGAATCTTCCGGTGGAAATGAAGTCTGGGATAAGTCAGCTTTGAGTGTGAAAGGAGTAAGTGTGAAGGGAAATTATACCATCTTGCAAGTCCCGTAGGTTTGCGTCTGCATATCTTCTGACTTTGGAGTTGAGTAAACGACGTCCAGGCTTGAGTGTACCGTGCAAATAGTTGTCTCCTGTCACTGGATAGTCGCTTTCAGAGCTCGGTGGCTCTACAAGAATACCGGCTGGGTACTCGATACCGCATCCACTAGTGAATCCACTGCCATCACTGAATACCTTGAGGAACTGCTCATGAGTGAGGCCTTCCACACTCTTGTCCGAATCGATCTTGCCTGAAAACATGGACGAGAACTGTGTGTCAAACTCGATAAGCATTTTGGCAATTGTTGTGCGCTCGAATCCATATGTTGAGAGCACCGATGGAATCTCTGTTTGAGGGCTTAAGCCATGAATTTGATGAGTGAGTTTCCAGGCAAGATTGTACGAGTCCATCATAGAGACGTTCATCCCCTGACCTGCCTTGGGGCTATGAGTGTGGCAAGCTAATTTTTACGTCAGTGTCTGCCCTTTGGAACATGTAAATGGGAACATAGGGCAGGCTTACCATCACCAGCAATGAAGACTCGATCGTGCCCTTTGGAGTCCTGGAACGAAAACTTGGGAGTCATACGCTGTCCAATTTGATAAGCAGCCCACCAATCAACTTTAGTGCCTTCTTTGATCTTGATTTCGTAAGGCTGGAAGACTCGCCGTGCTTGTTCCAAGATGGATTCCAGAGTGATGCCAGCCCTCCTACTCTTCGACTTTTCTTTCGATTTGACACCATTGGAACTGGAGCCATTGGTACCAACGTCCTCAGAAGGATCAACCTCCTCGACAGTCTGAACGTAGAGCCGGGTAAGATATTCACCACTTTGAATGCGTTCTCGAGGAATAATCATGACAGAGCCGGCATCACTGTGGATGGCCGATCGCTTTCGCACATCAGGAAA